TATATTACGTACGTCATCTATTTGAGGTTAGGTTGCGCGGGGAATGTTTATTTGTCTTGAGTTAGTGCACATTACGCGTACCATCTTGATTTACTACGGCTAAAGAAAATAAATTACAATAATAAACGGTATGTAGATACAGTGTTAACATTTTACGTAAAATACCGTAATTTCCTGTTATTCGAGATTCTTGTAAATTCAATTTTTCCTTTAGACTTTTTATTTTGAAATTTTTCTTTAACAACATTTGTTACTTTGTAAAACAAAGTAAAGTATTGGTTATAACATATATATGTTTTCAAGTGAATACTTATTCCGCTGGCGAATCGACCCAAAGTGGGTCTTGGCCTCCGACACAAGAGATCGCCAAAGTCGCCTGTCTTGCGCCTTCTCCTGCCAGTCCATCGCTTGTAGTTCCCGCAGATCTAGCTCTACGGCGTCTTGCCAGCGGTACCAGGTCCGATCGATGGGTCGGCGGCCAGTCGGGGTCCCGAGATATGCTGCTTTGGCCTTTCGATCTTCCCCCATGTTTAGGAGGTGGCCCAGCCAAGTGAATAAATATTTATTTATGTTTTAAAATTTCTTTAAGAACTTTACTGGGAAGTAGCAAGTGGTGTCCATTGACGGTTGTCTGTGAATAATTTATTGAAGTATTGATTTTGTTGCATACTTAGCTAACGATGTATGATTACATTGGGTTTTCAAAGTTCTATAAGTTTATGGAAAATTTACTTTTTTATATTATAAGGTGGCAAACGAGGAAAGCGGCCAAATTAATTTGCCGAAATGGCGGCCGTTGCCCATAGACATTTGCAAGTGATGCATTATCTTTAAATCCACGTACCCTTTCAATTATTTCCCTATCAGTAAAGATAAAAAGGGAACGCGGACTAAAATAACAGACAGACACAGTCATTATACGAAACGCGGAATTGTTTCTTTTTATATTATAAGCAGGCAAATGAGGAAACCGGCCAAATGAATTTGACGAAATAGCGACTGTTGCCCATAGACATTTGCAAGCGTTGCCTACCTTTATCGACAGGAGAGGGGACACATAGAAAGAGAATATTTACAATTAAACACAGAAACAAGATAAGAGCTGACAAAAAAGGTCCGACAAATTGTCTTACTCTTACTAATATAACTTTGAATGTTTGGATGGATGTATCATCATCATCAGCTCACTATACGTCCCCACCGAGGGGCTCGGAGCTTACCCTAAGTTAAGGGTGATTAGGCCATAGTCAACCACGCTGCGCCAAGTGCGGGTTGGTTGACTTCACACATATCTTTGAATTTCTTCTCAGATATGTGCAGGTTGCATCACGATGTTTTCCTTCACCGTAAGAACGAAGGATAAATGTACATATATAAATCGCAAATCGAAAAACACATTGGTACATGGCGGGATTCGAACCCAGGACCTGCAGATTGCAAGTCAAGTGCTTGACTACTGAGCCACCGACGTTGGATGGACGTATGTTTGAAAGTATCTCCGAAACGCCTCAACGGATTTTGATGAAATTTGGCACACATGTAGAACATAGTCTGGAAAAACACATAGGCTACTTATTAAGTTTTTGAATTCCACGCGGACGAAGTCACATCGCTAGTTCAATCTAAAAATGGACTATTTGATGATTAGAATTTGTACGGGACACACAGTGATGAAAGACAAAGGCTGATATATTTGTCAGGTATTTGGTGACGAGACATTGCAGCTAAATTTACTTTAACTACAGTTAAATTTTACTATAGTCTCATTTTTATCCATCGGGTCAATTAAGTTTGTCGTGATATACTAGTGTTGTGCAAACGTATTTTTAACGATAACGTGACCTCACGTCACATCGGATTGTATCTTGATAAATATCGATCGTTACATCGTTGGTAATTAGCACGAACTAGTGATGTGCCGATACTTAAATATATCGATAGTAATTAAATATGTTGATGTGTCCTTATCATAGTGAAATGTTAAAAAAAATGTTTATAAATACATTAAGCGTACATACAATAATTACTACAACTTTTTTTTGTATATTATACAGTGTCAAACGAGCAAGAGGACATCTGAATTTACCGAAGTAGCTAAGCGACTAATACCCGTAGACATCCACAATTTCAGATGCGTTGTCTACCCTTAATCCACCGCGTAAGGAACACACAGTCAGCTTTCCTCGTCCTATGCTGCAATTCTTCCGTCCAATACATTTTCCTCTTGCCATCTTTTCCTTATAAGACAATCGGAAGGGTCGGGACTTATAACACGTGGGTAGGGAAAGAGTACTAAAATCAGGCCAAAGCACGCTAACTCATCAGGTGAAACGTTCAAATGCTTCCACATCACGACTGTCTTCTGTGTAATCGTAGGATTGGATATCGATATATGTATTATACACATCCCTAGACAAGGGTTTATGGTTAATAAGCCTTTTTCTGCGTCATGTTAAAGGGAAGTTGTTTTTTATAATCTTCCGGTTGACCTACACGTGTGTACAATGTAATAAATCCTTATTAGATGGTAACCAGTTTTTAACAGTGGTAGAGCCCGCTTTAACATTTTCGCACGAATTGGCTCGGCTCGGTGAAATACCATGACCATACAGTAGACAGGCGTCAAGTGGAAGCTATTCCGCGTTTCGTCTGATGAGTGTACATCCCGGAGGCCTAATTTAGTCCTCTTTCCCTTCCCACCCTTTTTCTCATGTGATGAGAGGATGCATAGGAAGGGAAAATACTCTCTTTATGTGCATTCTCTGTAGATTAAAGGCAACGTATCTGCAATTCAGTATGGGCAACGGTCGCGTCGCTATTTCAGGTGGCCACTTTTGTTTATGATATAAAAATTATCTTTAGCAATAAAGATTATTCGTCATGTTTATTGGCTGACCAAAATGTGCATGGCCATGTAGACAACAATGCTATATACTCTGTTGGACAATAAAACGAGGCGTCGGAGCATAGTTCTGTCTGTTAGTTTTGCATAGAAATGGTCCGACATTTGCATGTATATGTAGCTGAAATCTAGGTCATAGGATTTGGGAGAGCGTTTTCAATATTTGTTATATTTGGTTGTGGATAGCCAATAAAATAAGTAATAGAATGGCGACATTTTTATTTCTTTTCATAAGTCACTGGCAGGTTTGAATGTTCTGGATTTTTATTTTATTAAAAAATTGTCTTTAGGTAAAAAATACAGGTTTTTTTTAATATCATAAGGTGGCAAACGAGCGAGCGGCCACCTGAAATCGCTGAAATAGGGAAGTGACCGTTGCCCATAGACATACGCATATGCGTTGCTTACCTTTAATCGACTTCTTTTCCTTTCCTTGTAAGAAAAAGGGTGGGAAGGGAAAGAGGACTTAATTAGTCCTCCGGGACGCACACTCATCAGACTGTAGTTGGAATAGCTTCCACTTGACGCCTGTCTTCTCCGTGGTCGTGGTATTTCACCGCGCGAGACGGGACAATACGTGCGAAGATGTTAAAGCTCGCTCTACCACTGTAAAACATAACACTGTAACATCTTTTCTTTCCCACATAAATCACAGTTTGAGTAAACATTGGATAAACAAATTGTAGCTTTTGTTTTTAAAATGTTTCAATTATTTTTCTGACAGATTGTTTTTTTAAATTTTTATTTTCAGCCAGACTTTGTTTAATTGTCTTCATAAGATTACAAACTATTTTGAACAAAAACGTGCGATGTAAAAAGCCGAATAACCTTAAATATTATATTTTTATTTCATAAATATCAAAAATAGGCATATCTTAAGTAAGGTTATATCAAGAGGTTTTCTTATTATCTTGAAGGGATGAAAAATGTCAAGTGATTGTTATAAAATGCTTGGATAGACAGAAACTATAATATTGTTATATATACGAGAGGACATCTTGAATAAAATTAAAGTTCCATACCACAAACATATTTGGGAAAATTTAAAACATTGAAACGAAATCAAAGGAATCTAAATTATTTTCTATTTCTAGATTTTAAGAACATCCATAATATTAGTTTTTTTTATAAACTTAACCCAAAATCGACGAGCATATGTGGATGTATGACTTTGACATCTGTCATCTCGGCATACCTCTGTAGGTTACGTTAAGTAAACATTGTATGAAATGAATTTACTTTACAGTTTTAACATTTACGCTTTAAGTTATTCATTTTTAAATCTAATTTGTCTTAATATGTAAACCACATATCTTGTAAAATATTTAAAGATGGTGTAAAAATTTTAACGATGTGTCAAATGCCAAAATTATCACCGGGCGTTACCGTGGCGGGATCGTTTGGCGCCAAACCTGCGCAAAGATGGCGGCCGGCCAAATCCCGCGCGATTTGACGCTTCAATTGAATTAGTTTACATAGGTTTGTATTATGTCTACGATTTGATGGATGAAAATATTTTCCTGTTTTTTTTTTTGAAAAAAAAATTACTAGAAATATCATTTGGTTGTTCCGCTTGCAAAATATTACTATTAGATTTGTCCAATATTATCTTTATTATGTGGTCTATAGCTCCGTCGTGAAAATTAAAAAAATAATATATAATCATCTTAGCAATGTAATACAAACCAGCTGTCGCCCGCGACAACGTCCACGCGAAATTAAAAAAAAACTTAATTAGTAGCCTATGTGTTCTTCCAGACTATGTTCTATATCTATGACAAATATCACTAAAATGCTTGTAGCTATTCTGGAGATACCTTCTAACATCCATCTATATAAACTTTCGCATTTATAATATTAGTTAGTTTATTGCTTTATATTTATATATATATATTTTTTTTATATTCTGTCCTATTTTTACTAATTTCAGACCCAGCATTACCAATCTTAAAATATGTACATTTGAATTGAAATTGAATCAATAAACGTTACGACACCTAAGACATAAGCCAGCCCAAGCTCTTGAAGTCCTATTTTTTTCTTTACAGCTCTTTAAATACTTGAACATTGATTTAAACATTTTTTTATCTTGTTTCAGATTCGGATTCCTGCCTTTTAGCCATCCATAAAACTCAAATAATACAAATTAAATAATCTCCCGCCAATCTATGGCCTCGAACTGTCAAATTGAAGAGTTAATCCAGCTCGCCAAAATATTAACATAGATTAAAAATAAACGTCAGTGATAAATTAGATATAGTGTTGTCAGTATGTTGTGATTAATAGTGTTGTTGTTAAAAATATTTAGTGAAGATGGCCACTCCTCCGGAATCACCAGTTGAAGAACATGCGTACGAATTAGAACCTAGCAGAACGCCGAAACCGATTCCAGTTGCATTGGAAGAGTTATGCAGACAGACAAAATTCTCAAAACAAGAAATCAGAGTTATGTATAGAGGTTTTAAGACGGTAAGTGACATATGTCAAATTTTTATTTTTTTATTTTTAATCTGTAATGTCAAAAGTTTAATGACATTTTTAAAAACAAGGCAAAAGTTTATACCATTCAGCCACTTGGCAAGCTGACGAAATTGGATATTTTATATTCGACTTTAAACTTAACTCATTCGAAATGTCTTAAGTATACCTAACATGGTGCAAAAATCTAGAATATGCATGAATATTTGAGGCCTCGCCGGCGTTAGGGAGACCTAGATTTGCTGCATTTCCTGTTGCCTTGGCGTCGACGTTGGCTTCGTAATTTTACAGATAGTGTGCTCACCTTGAAATGATTTAAAAGGAAAATTTCTTTTAATCGCTTATATGCGTCACTATTTAAGTTACGTAAAAGAAAGGATGGATGGATGTTAGAATGTATCTCCAGAGCTGAATGGTTCTCACTGAAATTTGGCACAGATGTAGAAAATAAAGACGAAGGAAAATATGAGGATGGAAAAAGCGGTTTAATTAAGATAAATTTTGGAATATTATATTATAAAATAAAAAGACAAAATTAAATTATGAAAAAGAAGAGGCACGCACTGTTAGAGGATATATTTAGAACTGATATAAAAAACAAAGAAAAAGGAAGAAAAATATATTAAGTTCCAAATACAAAAATATAAAAATTATGATTAAAAAACGTGTAAAAAGATTCCGTATCTGTCGGCACCAAGGACTGCTAGAACACATAGACTACTAATTGTGTTTCTTTAATCCCGCGCGGACGGATTCGCGGGCGATAACTAAATTAATTATAGAAAATGGGGTAAGATTTTCGCGAACCAAGAAATGGCTTAACCTTTTTAATTTTGGAAATCTGGTTAGTAATGTTCAAAACTGTAATCGCTAGATGGCGTTCGTGTAGCGACGTAAGCGGTCGTTTGACATCGGAGCTGGCACTGACGACGAGTGCCACTCAGAAATGATGAGTGTGGTACAATTTATAAGCGATTAGCGATTTTATATTTTCATTTATAAATATAACAAAACTGAAAATTAAACAGTCTAGATTTTACGCTTTTTAGATTGTCGGGACGAGGTAGGCTAATCGACCATGATTGAAAATATGTACAAAAATTTATTGAATCTTTAAAGCTAACTTAGTTTATTTTCCAGTGATATTATTTATGACGGGGACAGAATTTTAATTTTATAATAATTTAATATAAGCAAAAAAGTAATGAGATTGAATATGGATGGCTACAAGGGTAGGGGAAGACAAAAAAAAGTATGGAATGACTGTGTGAAAGAGGATATGCGTAAGAAGGGGGTAGACTTGGATATGACGGCTGATAGAGATGTATGGAGGAGTAGTACATACTGTGCCGACCCTCGATAGGGATAAGGGCAGGTTGATGATGACAGAAATTTAATTTCTATTGAGGCTCTTTTTTCAAAGACAATTCAAATTGTTTTTGTAAAATAACTTATCCAGACAGTTGCTCGGTACGAACGCAGCGTTACACCAATTATGCTCACCACAATTATATATGCCACGCTCTACATTGGTTGTATTAATTGATTATGCAATTGCTTGGAAAGACAGTTTTTGTTGTGTTCCGATACAAACGCGTCTATTGATGTGAGCTGACAGTAATTCTATCTTTATTCTTAGTTATCCCCGCTACCATGAGCGCCAAAATGGTGAAAATCAAATGGGCACAAAATACTACGTCTTACACCCTGTCTATTATTTTAGACATTATTAATTAGAATCATTTGGCGCGAATGACGTGCTTTCGTTACAATGTCAAGTGTCAGATTGAATAGTGAAGGGACATAAACGTCCACATTTTAGTAAGGCTAGTGTTTCGTCAATACACTGCCACATTTTCGGATTTACTCCCTATCAATTAATAGAGGTCAGTCAGTGCTCGCTTTTCATTTATATTTTGTACCAAATACATCGCTCACCAGGGCTCCATGAGGCCTAGCGTAACAAGTGTCGAGAAGTGACGCAGTTTCCGGCACAAACTGTTCCAACGTTTTATACAGGCATTAAGAAATTAACTGTAATAAAGATTTAATTAAAATTAATATACTAAAGCAACACAAGGATGGAAAGACTTACATGTGGCAAGGAGAATGTTATGTGTGGAGTGGCACACCGGTAGTGAGCCTATGAAGAAATGGATTGTGTGAAATATGACATATTCCATGCACCCTCTCATCCGGAAAGTTCACTTCCACGTCTTGTCCTTTCCTTATAAGAAAAAGTGTGGGAAGGGAAAGAGGACTAAATTAGGCCTCCGGGACGCACACTCATCAGACTGTACGCGGAACTGCTTTCTGTCTTCTGTGTGGTCGTGGTATTTCACCGGGCGGGACAATTTGTGCGAAAATGTTAAAGAGGGCTCTACCACTGTTAAATTTGCTACAGATATATAAAAGAGTCTGGAAGTACACATAGGCTACTTGTTAGATTTTTTTAACTCCGTGTGGACGTAGTTACTGTCGATAACTATGTTCTATATCTGTACCCATTCAATAAGATGTGTTCAACCGTTGCGTAGCTATCGAGTAAATATGTAAATCGAAGTATGACGTTCGGAAACCTTACAACTTCTAAATCTTAACCAATTAACTGGTAATCTTGTTATTTGCGCACACAAACGCGTTATAAAGATATAAGCTTTCATTTTAAAAACAACTTTTGAGGTTATGTTTATTCCTGGCTGTTTTCATTCGACGTAAAAAAATGCTGATTCCACTGACATCTATAAATGGACAGGTTATAAGACATAGTATTATGTGCCTATTTGAATTTCGCCATTTTGTCGCTGATGATAGATGTAGATAGAAAGTCTATGTAGAAGTGTCACGTCACATCAACAGCGTTGTAATCGGGACGAAAGAAAGGCTATCATTTCCAAACCTATCCATTTTAAGAGAGCAGTGTCTTACTCAGGGGTTTTGTACTAATGCAAGATATAAAACTGTCTTCAAAAAACTCCTCTTCACGTTAATTTATTCCAAATTAAGTACTTATTTAGTTCTAACAATTTTTAATTCTTTTAGTTTAAGAGAAAATCCTTTCTAGCTTTTAAAGCTAGAAATAATTTATTTTTCTTAGGGTTGTGAAATATTTTTTACCCCTTTTACAAGCAATTTTATTTAGCTGGGGTAACTAAGAAGTGGATAAAATCAGCTTCATAGAAAGTTGAAGTGTTAGTCGGCACTTGTTACAGCCTAGAGGTGTGATCGGGTGTGGTCCAAGTGATATACTTATAGCGTTCTAATTAAATTATACATTTTATTTTAATATTTAAATTATTTTTTTTTATTAATGACTTGATGACTATAAATGTGCGTTTGCTTGGAAGGAATTGCTTGATGTTAGGCAGTTTATCAGTAAAATTGTCACCACAGCTGTGTGTGTGGTAGCTACCATCATCGCCAATATGGCAAAAATCAAATAGGCACAAATTACCACGTCTTAAAGCCAGTCCATTTATGGTTAGGTTAGGTTACAAAAGTATGGATGAATTGCAGACGTTACTGAAATATAACGACTGATGAAGAGTATGGAATACAGGTTCATTTTTTCTTTACAATCTTGTGACAAACGAACAAACGGCACATAACAAACAAGAAGTAATAAGTTAGAAACTTATAGATACACCGACCTTTAATGAACGGGGGATGAATAGAAGGAAGATATTTCCACTTCATAATCGTCACTTTCTCTATCACAGACAATTTCCTTTGCATTCCTTATTAAAAAGTTAGGAAAGGAGGAATAGAATTTGACGTCTGTCAAACACTGTACACAAACGCGGAATTATTTCCATTTGACGCCTGCCTTGTGTGGTCGTCGTATAACGCGTTTGGTTGTGCAGAAGCTAAAGCAGATGTGTACTCTACCATAACTATCTTACTAATATTATAAACTAGCTGTTGACCGCGACTCCGTCCGCGTGGATATATAAGAAAACTTAATATATAGATAAGTTAAATAAAAAGCAGCTCTTCAAGGCATAAATTCGAAAAAAAAATTGTATCCTATGTCCGTCTCCTGGCTCTAAGTTACCTCCTCGACAATTTTCAGTCATATCGGTAAAGCCGTTCTTGAGTTATAAATAGTGTTATAAATGTGAATGTTTGGATGGATAGATGGATGTTTGTTTGAAAGTATCTGTAGAACGGTTAAACGAATCTCGATGAAATTTGGCATAAATGTAGAACATAGTCTGTAAGAGCACATAGGCTATTAATTAAGTTCTTTAATTCCGCGCGGACGGAGTCTCGGACAGCTAGTTTAGAAATAAAAATAGCTGTAACACTTCTATCCAACACTTGTCAAGAAATTTACCTTCATTTTCCATTTCAAAGCGCGTTGTATTTCCCTGCGGGAACATGTAGTTATGTAGATGTATCGCATACCTTTGTGAATGTCTAAGCGAGATTCCGAGCGACGTTTTTATGAATGCAGAAGGAATGGCGCGATTTACGATCGTTAATGTAAGATGGCGCGAATATATGTAGATTGTTTTTAGGTTATGTTATGTACAAAAATTGTTTTGGTGTTATAAAAAGATCGATTGTATAGATTTATAACCTAAAATTCCTTTAGTGTGATTAGTATCGCCCATTTTAGTTCTATAGACGTCTTTTTTTTACTATGACTTAAGGGGGATTAATAGAGTTATGTCCAGCGCCCTGGGCGGTAGGTTAACCGCGCCCTATTTCCCCAGTAAAGGACTTCAGGATTAAGTTTTTACAGGTGTGTTTTATTCGTATTGTTTTATTTTTGGCATATTTAAAATCGTGATGATTAAGACGGCATAGTAGAATTTAAAGTTACGTAAGTTACCCATTGATTTAAAAAAATAACGACTTGTTTGTGGTAGACCTTAAAACTATATTCGAATAAAGTAATCCTTTGAACAATGGCCTATATTTAATCGAGGTGTGAAATAATTCACAATGAAAAGGTCAGTAGGTGAACGAGTCGACGACCGTTCCCGCCGAAATAACTCTAAGCGCGCGCCTCATGTCAAAATGACAGCTGTATGTCGGCCATCTTTGAAAATAAATGCGTTATGTAAAGTTTATTTGCGTTCAGGTTAATGTTGTAACGTGCAATATTTATTTTGAATCTACTTAAATCGTAACTGAAATTTATTATTATCTACTACTAGCTGTCGCCGGCGACTACGTCCGCGTGGATATATAAAAAACTTAATTAGTGTAGCCCACCCATCCATTTAAACATTCGCATTTATAATATTAGTAAGTTAAATAAAAAGCAGCTCGTCAAGGCTTAAATTAAAAAAATGAATAAATAGTATCCTATGTCCGTCTCCTGGCTCTAAGCTACCTCCTCAACAATTTTCACGCATATCGGTAAAGCCGTTCTTGAGTTATAAATAGTGTAACTAACACGACTTCTTCTTTTATATATATATGTGGTCGCCTAATAAAAGTTGAATGGACTGTACAATATTTAACACATAGACTTATGAATTAAAAGCGTGAATACTAACATTTTTGTAATGTTTTGTGCCGCGTATACAGTACAAAGACATAACCTCAAAATGCAAGAACTTAATTGTCACTCATAACGCCTTCGTAGAATTCTACGGACATACTCTGACATAATGGCGACGTTTAAAAATGACTGTAAAGAATTTCTTCTCGCTTGCAAGAACAATGTAGACTAACATCTGATTTAATATTAAATGGCGGTAAATTCCATAAAAATTACAATATCGATCGCTTTTACCGAACTTCAGTAAATTAGTTTAATTTTTTAAATCTTTGTTTTTGATTTAATCTCTGACACAAACAGTAAAATTATTTTAATTTTAATATATTTTAATGCGCATTTCATGTTCAACAAACATAACCTCCAAAATAACCTATTCGCAATTAAAATACGATAAGCGAATCGTAAATTACTCATGTTATCTTTTATCGGACATCAAAAAACTAATTTGAGTTAACCTCAATTTAAATTATAGCTATAAAGTTTTCGCGCCATTTCGGCCTATTTTCAATTTTGAACAGGGTTGCTAGAAAAAAAAAATCGTATATCATTAAATCTTCTATACAACATAATTAAGAGAAATAATATTTATGTACGTAATTTGTCACTTATAAATTTCTTCTTTATGTATTATAATTTATCCGACATTAAAAGCTACAATAAAAAAATACTTATGTTAAACTAGCTGTTGCTGGCGACTCCGTCTGTGCGGAATTAAAAGAACCGAACCGTAATAAGCAACAAATATGTTCTATTTGTATGCCTAATTTCATCAAGATCGATTCAGCCGTCCTGGAGATACCTTCAAATCATCCATCCATCTAAACATTCGCATTTATAATATTAGTAAGATGTATGTATTTTTAAAAATAACATATAAATGAAAATACTGCAGCAAACGTAAATTAATGCCTGATTATCTCTAATCCATGCAAATTTTGACGTTAACACTGGCAACCCTGGCCTACAAGGCCGCTTCCCTGACACTCGCCGCACGCGATCTGTCGTGGCGTTACTGCTTTGTTTTGGAAATGCGCATTTTATTCTGTTTATTACCATTACTATTGTACAGTCAGCGTCATATAGATCGTAACAGACAAGATATGCAAATATATAGGTACACCAAAAGTAATCAATTATATCGGTACAACAAAAGTCCTCAAATTAATAGATACATTCACCCTGCTCAAATACATCGGTACATACACAGCGTCAAATATATGAGTACATGCAAGGTGCCCATAAATATCGTGTGCCATAATATATGGCTGCTAAGCCACAGCGTCATAAGTAACGAAGCAGTCAAGGTGTGCAAAATATCGTAACATTTGACAAAATTGAACTCTATTGGTTTGTATTAGCCAAACGAACAAACTTCTTCTTCTTCGTGCCGCTTTATAAGGAAAATTGAAACCCTCTTCTCTTAAAATTTTGGAAACGTTTTTAAATTATATTGGTACGACTCTATACCTAAAACGTCTTTTATTTTTTGGCTAACACTACAAACAAATTGTTTTATCTCAACCAATGAAATTATTCACAACATAGAAATTTTTATATCATATCTTGTTTGTTACGATCTATATGACGCTGACTGTACTTTGATTTTAGTACTACTTTTATTTATAATAAATATAACGATCTTCACTTAAAATTATTATGAATTCAAAACAACTAATATATAAGACAGATAGGTAATTGGATAAACAGTGTCTTCACGTATCGAATACGTTTTAGTGCTGCCGAAAAATATGTATATAAACATAGGAATGAATGCCAATACGGTCTGTCCTCGGTACTTCCAAACCAATACCACTTGGGGACATTCAAGAAGGGAGCAAACCATTTCCTTAAAGGCCGGCAACACATCTGCAGTTCCTCTGGTGTTGATGTTCATGGATGTCGTTGATCATCTCGGTGTTCCCGACGCTCGTTTGCCCCTTTTATTAAAAAAAAGAAATATTACCATTCCAACACAGTTCTTGTAAAGGTGCTTCTAGAGTAGAAAAGGATAGACTAGTCAAAATACTACAGTACAGTCCCTCCGAGAAATGACGTTACGTTTACTATAATTGGTGCAAACTGTCCGATAATTATAGGAAATTTACGAAACTAATAAATAATGTAATTAAATATCAGTTACTTCACTATACTTGTTTATTTTCTTTTTTTTACTAGACTAAAAACTTTAGTAGTCGTTCAGAAACATTCGTGCGATAATTGGGACGTCACATTTTAGCGCCATAGGTTAAGGTTGCGCGGGAAACGCCATGTTTTGTCTTACCTACAAGCGATATATTTATTACAAACTAGTTGTCGCCCGAGATTCTGTCCACGCGGAATTAAAAAAAAACATAAAGTAGCCTATTTGTTCTTCCAGATTATGTTCTATATGTATGATAAATTTCATCAAGATCTGTTCAGCTGTTCTAGAGATACCTTCAAACATCCATTCATCCATCCATCCATCCATCCATCCATCCTTTTATTTATCTAAATATTGGCATTTATAATATTATAAAGCAATACTATAAACTAAAACTAAACCAAACCTGCGGTCGCAGCGATTTGGGATCGATTTTTTATATTATTTAGTTTGGTTTAGTTTTAGTTTATAGTTTATAGTATTATTTTGGTAGATTAATTTTAATTTAATTAGTCACTTAATAATTAATATAGAGTTAAGTAATTCAATAATAAGTTTATGTATATATTTTTAAGTTATTATATTTTTCAATTGCTAAATAGTTATATATTTTTAAGTTATATACTTAATTTTATAAAGTAATATTATAAAGTAAGCCAATAATATCTTAGTTTTCTTCCCCTTCTTCTTCTCTTTTTCTCTGTTATTCAATTTTCTTTTTTTCAATTACGTTTGCGAAAATTTCCAATGGACAATAATGTGCTATTATGTTCTGTTTCAGGAGTGTCCAGAAGGTGTGGTCCACGAAGAATCATTTAAAGATATTTATGCCAAATTCTTTCCACATGGAAGTAAGTACTATCATGCTATACCTATCCTAGACGTTAAAAAACCCATGGGTGATTAAGATAGAATACAAATATTCATAAAATAGTAGATATTTGAAACATTAGTCATGAATGAATAACTTAATGACAATTTAATTGACGTTAAATTATTTGTTAATTTAAGATTCAGCACTGTACGCGCATTATGTCTTCAAAGCGTTCGATGTTAACTGCAGCGGGGCAATCAGCTTTAGAGTGAGTACGACCACAATTTTATACTAAATATACGTATTTATTAATTAAACAAGCTGTCGTCCGCGAATCCGTCCGCGCGGGAATAAAAAATGGTTCCTAAAGGGTTTCTCCGGTAACTATTGGAGTTTTTCACACCTTTTAAACCTTCCCTAGACATCTACGAACATTTCAAGACCAAGATAAGATAAATCCGTTCAGCCGTTCTCGAGTTTTAGCGATACTAGCTAATAGCAATTGCTATTATATATATATGTGTATATCCTAAACACAGTACCACTATTCCTTTTTATTTTGATTAAGTTAGCGCTTGACCACGATCCCGCCTCCTGTTAAGTGATGTGGTCGAAAGATGATACGCGCTAGCTTGGTAGCCTCTTCACTCCGGCAACGTGTTCCAATACAAATTTTCTTTCGAACAAGCGCGATATCTTCCCCTAAGTTTTTGACTACTTAGGGAATCATTACTAATCGAATTAAAGCCTTCTCGTCAAAATAGGTCGTTTACAGAAAGTCACAGCGAAATTTTCATACTTACAAAGATATACACAAAATTAAAAACGCGTGAAAATATTTACATTAAATATAAAAAAAACTGTTAAAATAGGGCGATAACAATTAATATATTTACAATAAGAAATCAATAACATACATTAAGTAATATTTCGCATTATTTCACGCATGACGGCCAAAGCTGGCAACATATTTTACATTACTCACATGCTTAGGACATTATGCGCTCATTTTTCAATGCTATGACAAATATCCGAACGCGCGACTCATTGCATAATGCAAGCATTACACATCTTGCCAACATTTAAAATCGGAATATTGTCTTGCGAATTAAAGAATATAATACAAAGAAATTATTTATTTCTTTTCATGCAAGATTATTAATTTATTGTTTATAAAAAAAGATAACTCTGCGACTCTTGTCTTTTAAAACGTTTTGTATCATTTTGACCGAAAACAAGACTATTATAAAACCCAGCAGATTTAAGCTACGATAAAAGAAGTATAAAACCTCTTTATAGATATTTAAAACAATTTTTAATAGCTTTTGCTACTAGCTATCTGATGCCTTTAAAGAGTTTTAAGAAAAATAAAATAAAATCTTGTTCGAACTTTGAATGTAAAGTTTTGTTGTCGGATTTTTATCTGTTACTAGCAAAGTTTTTAGTTTATGAAAGTTGAGTGAAAACGAGTAAGCGTTACTAGTTGTTAAATGACGCTACCGTATTTAACAACTAGTAACGCTTACTCGCTATTTTAAAAGGAAAGGCTATGAGTTAACTGCTTATATATAACTATACCTTGCCTTTTGGTAAGAAACGGTTAGATTTCTACTAACTAAAACCCCATAGGCATCCTTAAGAGTGTCTAGGCGGGCCCCGGGACCTTCAAAGTAACTCAAGAGGGCCGTCCACCGTACAGAGACCTTATTCCCATGAGCAAATCACCTAGTATATATGCTACACTTTGTCAAACAGCTAGTGTAATAATAAAATTAGACTCTGTATGACGCATTCAAAACTAAAATAATATATTTCCCTCTAGTTATTTGTTTTGCGAAAATGCGAACACGAAAACAACTCACTGCGATAAAAACAAAAACAATAACATCTAACTTTGCCCGTTTACAACAGTAACTATGGACTTGATAAACTATGAAGCTCTATAGATATATAGATATAGGTTGACTTCTTTGAATTTCTTCTCAGATATGTGCAGCATCACGATGTTTTCCTTCACCATAAGAACATAGGATAAATGTACATATGTAAATCGGAAATCGAAAAACACATTGGTGCATTCGAACCCGTGCAGATTGCAAGTCAAGTGCTAGTTAATCCCTGAGCCACCGACGCTCTGTTTAGAATATACAAACTATAATATGTTGCTTTAGCCTTTGTCCATTGTCAACAATATAAAATGCCAAATAACTTATTTCTTCGTAAATGCTTTGTAGATTTTCATACTTTTAAGAGTTAATTCGTCGTAGGTAATATGGCGTCGGGACAAAGTGTTGGCAAGCTTCCAAATGCAGAGACGGTTTGGGATGATTTTTTTTGGATTGTTAGTTTCTTGTCATCAAAATAGGTAAGAATTCTTCGAAGTTCGTTAGATTTGTTTTGGAGGTTAGAAAAGCAAATGTATATTCAGAAAATTGAGGACTGTATTAGCACTAGCTGTCGCCCGCGACTCTATCCCTGCGGAATTAAAAAAGGCATAATTAGTAACCTATGTGTTCTTCCAGACTATGTTCTACATATATGACAAATTTCAGTAATATCCATACAGCGGTTATGGAGATACCTTAAACAACTCCTATCCATCCATTGAAACATTCTTATATATAGTTAAAACATAAGAATAAATTGTTGATTGTAAAAAAAAAACACTAATAAGTACGTCTAATCGTAGTTTATTTAAACTTGATATAAAAAACTAATAATCTTATAAGTAACTAAAAACATTTCATTGAATTTTAAGTAAAAATGAATATTAAAAAATATATTTGTCCTAACCTAGTACAATTTTCTTGAGCACGATTACACGACTCGTCTAATGCTACAAGTATCCGAACGGGCGACAATTTGCTTGCCAATGTTGCCATATCGAAATTGAAATCTACCGAGTGCTGCCAACATTGTTAATTACATCACTTTAATTGTCTTGTTTGTTGCTGTATCTACAATAGAAATGTACCTAAATATTGAAGAAGAAGAAGAAAGAAAGAAAAGTTTTTATTATAGGTAATACCGATTAAACCAAGAAACAATAACTAACATAATAAAATTGCACATAACTAAGAAATTAAATTAGACCTAAGTTACCATTTATGGTTAATTTGGATAATCTAGTGATGCCCACACTAGGCAATGCCTGTATCGTGGGCACCGATATTCAGATAGCTATATAATATTCAGTCCACAAAATTACAAAACCCACACTCACGACACTTTAGCATTTAACAATTCAGTTACTCCGGTATACATATAATAAAAAACAAAATTTAAGTTAATGAAAAGAAGAAAAACTTAAGTTAAATATATATTATAAATGTGTATGTACGGATATATAAATTGATAAGAGATAAATATGTTACAGGCTCTAGGATTGTATCTTCAAAAGATTCTCAGTATCATTATAATTTAAAGTTAGCAGCCACTTCAGTAAGGTAGATTTGGCTTGTGGTAGGGATTTTTCTAACAAGTCGCAGCGTTTAACTACAGAGTTATAAATATGAAATGACTTGTGCGATTTTATACATACTAGAAACATTTTAATAAAATTAATATTTGAAACACTTTAAGTAATGATCTTGTCTTCCCAATCGATATATAAAATCTTTGGAATCTTACTAATTTGATGGATGTTTGTTGGAAGTTATCTTCAGAATGGCTGAACGGATTTCGATGAAATTTTTCATACACGTTGAACATAGTCTAGAAGAACGTGTAGGCTATTAATTAGTTCCGCGCGGAGTCGCGGGCGACCGCTATTTGACAGTAACTAAAAAACATGCAACGTGCTTGTTACGTTGTTGGTTTTGACTGCTGTAATAAGTGAATTAATATATATTAGTCTCTGTTTTGTCTAAAAGAATGTGAAGGATGACATTAACTGGAAATTCAAGTATCATTGTAGTTGAGACATAGGAATAGTATTATAAGCTTAATTGGCCCGGTGAAAGGCTTTGCTACCGCTGTTAGTCCTCAGAAAACCTGTAAAAAATTATGACAAGACAGCTAGAGTATCATGTAATACTTTTTGACATTGCATGAGGGCGTTAGTGAGGTTTAAAAATTTAAATTGACTTCACTGGGTGAAATAACTTTGTCAATCTATAATTATTTATTAATTTTGACAATTCTAATAGCAATATCGCTAAACTTTGTCTAGGTGGGTTCCTTTCAAATCTGGCAAACGGCCAAACCACTTGACAGTTAAATTAGCCCGACTCGATTGACATGAGGTTAAGCTGGATGTACACCTTCAGTGTTGTGCACAGATTTATCTGAATAGTTAAAAAGTACGTGTGTCTCAGTTCAACTACAGTTTTGTTTTACCTACACTGTTCTGTTCAGTTGAAATTGCGCAGTTAAGACTCAAGGTGTGTAAATGGCTTTAATTTTTTAATGGTACACAGTCCAATATGTTCTTACTTGTACTTCTTACCTCATTACAATGTTTAGTCCAATAATAACGTTTGCATAAAAGTTTTATGTTGTTATTAAAAATTTTTGGTCATAATTCTGTAAGACGAAGAGAGTCGTTAAAAAGTTTGCCAAATTTCTTGCTGACAGGAACCAACTTGCAACTTTAGGCGTCACTTTAAAGTTATTCGTCTTCTTTTATTGGTAATTAAAAACTTAAACAATGTCTTTTTAAATTACGTCATCACATATTTACATTTTTGTCCGATTAGGAAAGACATGTGACCTCCTTCCTTTATTATACTATATTTAGAAAATAGGAAAATAATATATGTTTTAACCCTATTGATTCAGGAGGATTACACTCTTTGCTCGCATGTATTTTTTATGCACGGATAAAATTGTTACCCGTAGCCTAAACACTGACATCTATATTTGGACATGATATTTTGTGTCTGTATTTCGTCATTTTGGCGCTGACGGTAAAAGTAGCGGTGGTGAGAATTGGAAGTGATAATAAAGGGAATTAATTGTCTGTAACATCAACAATCGTGTTTAATATAACAAAAGCTAACATTTACAAGCAATAGGCTTTATATAGATCAGGGGGTTTAGACAAAGTGCATTCGCTTCGAAGCGAAACTTCAAAAATATATGTAACTGAGTCGCGACAATCACATTACTTATCGAAAGTTATTGTCAGTTTAACGACTGAACCGATTTTGATGAGTGTGGAGTCATTCGTATTCTTCCACTGAGCGTCATAGGTCCCTAGTGATTTTTTCTTCTTTACGTGTTCAGAACACGTTTATCAGCCGTGGAATTATGAGATTCATATTGTGATGCCTGATGTTATTGTGGTCTATTCGTAGTGAATGTTAATTAAACTGCACACGGAGAAGTACAAATAATTCCACGATCTAGAATCTAGAATCCAGTTCGTATTGTTAGGGTTGACTCATCCGTGAAAAATAATCGCGGTTGTTTTTTAACTGATTTTATAATTGTCGCATATGCAATTTTAACCAAATATGTAAAAATAATTCGTTTAGTCTATGAATTATGTCAAGTTAAGCAACCTATACTTTCACAAGAAACACAATATGGTCGAAAAAATCAAGCAATTTTTATTACGACGATAATCAATAGTATTTACTTAATACATTAAAAATCTTCATTTCGTAACAATTTCTACCATAATTTTCGGGTAAAATATTTGATGTGGCAACCCTAACTTATCAGTTCATTTCCTGTATTCCAAGTTCCAATTAACTACGGACGGTGCTTCCCCGACAGATGGCTCTGGAACTTTGCTACTTTATTTACTTGCCAGTACATAAAACATAGATTAACTTTTGAGCAAATAATTAAGATGAATGTACTTGTGAATAAATTAATCTTTGGATAGCAAAAAAATATTTTTCTTAGTAATAGTCTTTGTGGGTAGAGATTTTTGCCGTCAATAAAGTTTGCATGGAACTGTACATATTTTTTATTTTAAAAATTGGCATAGAAAGAGGATATTTGCCCCTGTCACTTCACCGTCAAACCACACAAAGCTGGGAAGGGGAAAGGAAGAATTTAACGGCACATAAAATCATTATGTTAACCATATTTCAGGAGCTTCTCGTCACACTATCCACGCTACTTCGAGGTTCGGTATACGAGCGTCTACGCTGGGCGTTCAGGTTGTACGACGTGGATGGAGACGGAGCCATCACACGACAGGAACTTGCTGAAGTTGTGGTAGCTGTTCACGAGTTGTTGGGCAGACGTGCACCGCCTGGCTCGCCTGCTGCTAGACTGGATGATGCTAAGGCTAATGAACAGGTATATATGCTTGTAATCGTGAGGGGTACACTGGAATGGCTGTCACGGACAGATGCATCGATCTGGTCAAGGTTGCGGGTATCCTGGATGCGGGTAGCACACGACTGATCATCGTGACGATGTTTGGGTGAGGACTGTGCCCAACAGTGGGCGACTCATGCCTAAGCAACAACAACAACTCAGTGGCGGATTAAATTGCTGAATTATAAGACTGGGGGAAAGTATTTGACAAATATAATAAATAGCATAGCTTCTTCTCTTTCTTTCTACTTCATTGTATATCTTTCATCTCACTCGTATAACGATACGTATGTTTTCAGGTGGACAGGGTGTTCAGGAAGCTGGACCTGAACCAGGACGGCGTGATTACGATCGAGGAGTTTCTGGAGTCGTGCCTCAAGGATGACGTCATCACACGTTCACTGCAGATGTTTGATACGGGGCTATGACGCCAGACTGACCCAGCGCACACGCGCGTTGCTGCCAGGTAAGAGTTTCTAGGGTTAAGAACCTTCTAGAATGTTAATTACCATAGTATTAATAGACTTAGTAGAGTAAAAAATGTTGTACAAAAGGTTTTGCGTCTGTATTTTAAACTACCAATGATTCCCTCGTCCCGGCGACAGGGTATAATGATGACAAATAATCTTAATAATTGAAGGAGAAATGACAAGGGTACATGAGAGAAATATTTTGGCAATCTTTTAAGCTCGACAATAGAGACTGTCAATATTTCTACACACTTTCCTTGTAAATGCTAAGCTTTAAAAAGGTAATTATTTATTTTAAAAGCATTGCTTATTTTCTTATAAGGAGTGTGGTGAAGCGCACAGCGTACTGCCGCTGTCGCCGTGAGCGGAGTGGCGCGGCGTGGCGCGCGGCGGCCGCGCTGGCGGAGTGCGCGCGCTGCTTTGCCGCCTTCGACCACTTCTACCGGCGCGTGCTCATGCCCAAAATAAAAAGCGTCATGTTTTTCCATTTCTAGGTTAATTACGTCAAGAAAACGCGGGAAATCAACGTACTGTCAGCTGCTTTTTTTTTTGACCTTGTGATTTTTTTTAATTGTTCGTTTTGTGCCAGTACCGAATTATGAAAATGAGGTTGGATTATACTGTAATTTCGTTTTAATAATCTGTCAATTTTTTTTGTTATATAGATGGAAAATAGCGTTTGATGGAAAAAATAAGTCTAATAGTTAAAATGCCCCCGGAAATGATTAAATAGTAGCTAGATGTTTAATATCGCTGTTTTAGGTTAGAAAATTTTGTTTTCAACCTTTATTCCTACATTTTAAATATTCTAGTGTAATTAAATATCTATGGTATGTTTTTAATCTATGGTCGTAATGAGTATTGGTAGGAATTTGGAAAAGGTTTAGTAGAGAGAAGATTTGAATGTAATATTAAAGGATTTTACCAAAAAAAACAGCGATTGCTGTGATCTTATTGCATTTTAAAAGTGATAAAAATTTATTCTAAATATAAATAAAATTAAATAAGAGCAAGTATCAAGTTTTGGTTGATCGCTATAGAGTTTGACGTTCTGATTTACGTACTGGGTTGACAAGTTTAAAAATACGTCGTAAAAACTTCACATACATTTTCTTTTCTTAAATCAAAACAGGGTATATGCCGCTTTATTAAAAGCGAGTACTTTATAATTTATATGAACAGACACAAATCAACGATATTAAAATTTTGGACGTGCTTAAGAAGTATTTTTGAGAATTATATTATTTTTACGTAATTTTGTGCAAAGATTTCTGATATGGTAACATTTAACAATGTCAAATGTAATCTGCACAGATTATTTATTTCCCCACATTTTATTACATTTTGAGGTTATAAACGTAAAAAGTACATTAAATTCAAAATCTTAAATAATCAATCGACCCAAAATAACTAGGATACTTGGATTTTTTTATCAAATTATCAAGAAAATTTACACTTCATATTATTACAGTCTGTTAATTATCGTTTTTGAAAAATATTTCTTAACATTGCTACTTATTTAAGAAAACTTTTCCGTTTTGAATAAATTATTTAAATTATTCCTGACCATAGACAAAGTACGCTGATGTTTCCTTACCTTTAAATTCCTATTCTCGTGAATAGCATTCGTGTAAAATTTACTGGCGTCATAAATATGTTAACTTTATGTCAATTTTATGAATTAAAAAATCCTATAAGCAATCATTTTAATCATATCATAGTTTATTTTGACAGTTATAGCGAAATAATACTTTCTAGAATATTTATTAGAAATAATTTTCCTATATAAGTGTTAAAAACATAATTGTAACCTAAAGAGGTGTAATCCGGAACACAATAGTTAGACGAAAACCTCCCAAAGACTTTTGTTGGAGTAAACTTTCTAAAATTTGATTTACAATATAAAATAACATTTAAACAGATTCATTCTTTGAAGACAAACTTGTCTATGACACTCTATCTATAGGTTACATGTCTATGGTTAAAAATATAGTGGATTTATCAAATAGTTCCTTCGTTATAATCTTTAAAAATATTATAGTATAGTCACGAAATTATGTGTTTAACATATACTTTTTTTAATGTTACATGCTTTTTTTGTTTAAATCATTTTCAATCTCTGTTATAGTGTGTCTAAGATCGATTAGTTTGACAATTCACTAGATATGGGTTGAGTAAAATCGATTAAGTATTTTTTTCGATTTTCGATAGTTGTTCTCATAGAACTTGCAATCGAGATATCGTGATTATTGTTTTTGTATTATAATATAAATAAAATTTGTTCGATTAATTTTATTACAAGACCGATTCTCGATAGTTCCAGTTAGTTATTGTGCGCGACAGTTCGACATTCTGACAACCGTGCATTAAATACAGTGTTTCCCAAAGTGTGCGATAACGCCACCTTGTGGGCGCTACAGGTCTCAAGTTGCGGGTTATAGTAAAAGTTTCGTTTTGAATTCTCCGTTAATATACATATATAGGTCACAATAATTAATTAATTTAATTTGAAGTTATAGTGGTTTTATATATAGCCTCAAAAGACGAACACTTCTGGCGTCAAGGTATTCGAGCTCTACCAGAAAGATGGGAAAAAGTTGTGTCTAGCGATGGGCAATACTTTGAATGATTCATTTGTAACAATTTTTTAATATATTTTTATCGAAAAAAAGCGAGAACTTAGTTGCGCACCTAATAAATATGTGAAAATATGGGGGCGCTAAAAATATTTATTCTCAAAGTGGGCAGTAGACAAAATAAGTTTGAAATATTTTAGTCAGTTGTCAAACTAATCTATCTTAAATAGACACACTGAAATAAGTGTATAAACGTATTAAAATTCGCTAGTGCATAATTTGACAGCTGTCAAAACGTGTAACATGTTTTTTTTTTTTGGAGATATCAAAAGAAAACAGACAAAGGTAATAAAATATTTTTAAAGCTTATTCCTTATAATTATTAATAGTTTAAATGTTAAATATCTTATGAATTAGAAGGTTATGGAGATGGCTAATAGTCGTTTGTTGGATGTGCGAGTGAGATAGATTCTAAATGTAATCTGTCGAACAACAAAGATAAATATAGTTTTCAAATATTTTTACGTCTATTAAATCGCGGGAGTCGCTGAACACGACGATGGTGTGTAGCGGGATGAGGGGGGAGGGCATTGCTCATGACCTTGAGCCACCAAGACATTTGAAAAGTGAACATTTTTTTTTTCAATAATACGACGCGATCAAACTAGTAAACCCTATTTATGTACTAAGTAAGTAAGATTCAAACTGTAATTTATTTTTATTTCTTCATATGTATAGTATACCAATAAAAATATATATATTCTGTTAAATATATTAATAAATTTTATGAAACAGTTGATTTTCCAGATATTAAAATATTAATTGAATGTTGGCTTTAGTTTTTAAGGATTATTTTGTACGCGTTAAGTCTTTAAACATTTCACGATTACCAATTTGTGTCTAGTTTTATCTGTGAACGTTATAATTAATTTAAATTAATCTTTGTTCATTTAATAATTTACCAACAAGAAATAATTCAAATTAAAATTATTTAAATAAAATAACATTCAAAAACAATTTACAAATTTTTTTTTGTGTTGAAGGAAACAAACGTTCTGCATCATTCTGCCAACGTTAAAAAAAATAATTATAATCAAATTAACATTTACATGCTATGATTGTTTTTGTATAATATTTCTTTGTTAAATTTCTACAATTTCCAAAGAATTCATGATTAATAATGTAATTAAATAATTATCATTCTATTAAATCCGTGTATGTGTACCTTTGTATATTTAATCTGTTTAAATCTAAATGTGTAACGTAAAAATTAAATATCGTTTTTAATGCAAAGATGTTCAATGAAAACATTAACCATACTGCCAATATAATATAAGGTCAAGAAGAAAGTACTAAATCATTTTTAAAAGAATATATAAAAGTGAACTCTCCTTATTCGCGGGTACCAAACGGAATTTTCCCACGTGTTAACGCGGTTTTCGGGATCGCGAATAAGGAGATTTGACTGTACAATCGGGGAATCTGGTGGTGTTCCACATCAAAAGCTGTAGTCGTCTTAACTTTCTATACACATTGAGACGACGACATGGAACAACAAATAAAAGACAGCTTATAAATGTGTGCATGAAAAATGTTGAATTCAGAAGCACAACAGATTCCCGCGACTGTACATAGACGAATTAAAATGCGTTTGTCATTAAGGATGTTAAAACAGGCTTTTATAAACCAATATAAAGCCGTTAAAGTAATGATAATATTTTAGTAGCTTCAAATAACCCATTGTCTTAGTAAAATGAATAGTTCATAGATAAAATAGAAATAGACTGCGTGTTTAATATAGGACGAAAAATAGAAAAAACTTTGAATTATATTATAATAGTTTAAAAAATTGTTGATTAGAAACAAAACTGGCAACAAAAATCGCATTACAATGTCTTAGGAAAAACAAAAACGCTCGTATCCCAACAACTTGTTATCATTGCTTACCCTTCTCAAAAAAAAAACAATAGCATCTTGTCAATGGAAACATGGTTTAGTATGAATGTTTAATAATTCTTTTGGATACTTTAGTATGAAGCCCATTGCATGTATTGTCATTTTTATTCTTAAGACGTTAAAAGATTGTGAAGCGTGTAATTATTATGTAAATACAATTTGTCGCTGTGTCAAAACGTCCACGTTACGTCTGATAGTAAAGTCAGTTCTTCATGTTTGAAATTGTTTTATTTTCTCGGTGAATCCAGAACGCAAAGAAGTTAGTTAATTTATAGTAAAAACCTGTCATAAAATCTTATTAAAATGTTTTACTGGACTCTAAGATCTAAGTTACGTAATTATTCATTATTTTTCGCATTGCCTAAAAGTGTGAATAGAAAAAAAAAATCGTATGACATAAATTTTAACTCCATGTAATGAATTCTACCAATAGTTCTAATTATTAATAAAATGTTTTTATAACACACAAGATGTTCGTACGATCACAAAACCTTTGACTAGAAATGAATTAAAAAAAAAACAATCCTATTGAAAATGACAGTTGACAATTGACATTGACAGATAAGCGTAAACAAATTCTTCGAAGGTATATTTATAATAATTTTCAATTAAATTAAGTATTTAATATCGATAAAACATGTCAAAATCCGCACACGTAGTGGACGGTGAAGCTTCAGAGTCAGACTCGGAAATAGAAATAGCTAAATCACCTGTAAGTATTATAAAAGACATCTCTTGTATCTCGTGTAATGGGGCAAACGTTTTAATACTATAATATCGCATAGCTCTTGCCTGTGACAGGGTCCGCGCAGAATTAAAAAAACCTAAATAGTAGCCCATGTGTTCTAACAGGGTATGTTGTCAAATTTTAGCAAGATCTATGCAGCCTTTCTGGAGATACCCTCTAACAATTAATCATCCATCCAAACATAAAATATTCCTTGTTAGTCCTCTTGTTTGTTTTTAAAAAGCTATTTTGTGTTCAATTCTTGTCTAGGACTCCATTCGGTCTACTTCTAAAGCATTTGTGATCAGCGGAGAAGCTCCAGAATCTGATGATGGTGAGTATGTAAAATATTAAAGTTTTTATAATGTATAAAAGAAAAAACTTTCTCTTGTAAGGAAGGGATGGGATTTGCTAGAGCAGGGGACATTTAGGAAGGGGAAATATCCTCTGTCTGTGCATTCTCTCCCCTGTTAAAGGTGGGTAATGCTTCTGCAAATTCTATGCCTATGGGAAGCGTCCTCTTCATTTTTTCAGTGAATTTAGGTGGCCATTTGCTTGTTTATTGCCTTATATCTTACTAATATTATAAATGCAAATGTTTGGATGGATGTTTGTTAGATGGTATCTCCAGATCTACTGCATGGATCTCACTGAAATTGGGCATAGTTGTAGAACATGTTCTAATCAGTACATCAAGTTTTTTAACACCACACAGACAGAGCCACCGGCAACAGCTAGTATTATAATAAAAAAGTACAAATGAACAGACAGTCTTATTTTTTAACATATTAAAAGCCATGAAGTGACAAGAGGTTGTACTTTTTTCAGACACTTTTTAATGTTAAACATTTGACTATATCTATGCACTCAACTGCAGAAGATGGCAACACTGTACCTTGTTCTAACTTTACAGAATCAAAGCTGCCATCACCATGTGATGATACTGAGTTAGATTCACCTCTACAAGTATCTATGGCACCGCAGACACCAACAAAGATGTTGTACAATTCTCTACTACATCAGAAGTTGTGTATGTATACTTTCATCATCATCAGCTCACTATTCGTCCCCACCGAGGGGCTCGGATCCTACCCTAAGTTAAGGGTGATTAGGCCATAGTCAACCACACTGGCCAAGTACGAGTTGACTTCACACATATTGTTGAATTTCTTCTCAGATATGTGCAGCATCAAGATGTTTTCCTTCACCGTAAGAACATAGGATAAATGTACACATGTAAATCGGAAATCAAAAAACACATTGGTACATGGCGGGATTCGAACCCAGGACCTGCTGATTGCAAATCAAGTACTTGACCCCTGAGCCACCAATGCTCTATTATTTATTATATCTATTTTATATTATAAAGTAGGAAACTATGGCCTAGTCACATAACTTAGGGTAGGCTTCGAGCACCTCAGTGGGGATGTATTGTGAGCTGATGATGATGAATATAAAATAGTTAAATATCTTAATATAATAATTTTACTGTTGAAAAATTAGCTTTGAATAGTTGTGACATTAACTATAACTTTTTTAACTCTGTTCTTTTATATAAGGGGAATGCAATGTATCATTGCGAGCTACATTGGAAGGTCTATTAAGACATACAACAGATATATCCGTGGAGAAATTGACAAAAACTGACAAGATGTTGCTTACAGTACAAGTAAGTTTGAATTGCTTTGATTATCAACAGTGGTAGAGCCCGCTTTAACATCTTTGCACGAATTGTCCCGGCTCGCCCGGTGAAATACCACGACCATACAGAAGACAGGCGGCAAGTGGAAGCTATTCCGCGTTTAGTCTGATGAGTGTGCGTCCCGGAGGACTAATTTAGTCCTCTTTTCCTTCCGACCCTCTTATAAGGAAAGGATGGGAAATGGAAGTGGACTTTCCGGATGAGAGAAAGCATGGAAAGGGTAAATATTTTCTTTCTATGCATCCTCTCCTCCGTGGATTAAAGGTAGGCAACGCATATACAATTGCGTATGTCTATGGGCAACGGTCTCTTCGCTATTTCAGCGATTTCAGGTGGCCGCTCGCTCGTTTGCCACCTTGTGATATAAAAAAAAATATCAAATATTTAAGCCGTTAAGGGACAGATTGCATGAGACAAGAACTTTAATGTATGTAAATGACGTAATCGGATCAGAGTAGTGATTTTATGACCTATTCAGTATTATTTTGATTGAACAAAACATGTGTATACAGCTTTGAATCGATTCAATAGTTCAGCTCATTGTCTTGAACAGTTGAGCCGGCTCAACAACTAATTGGGAACTTACAGCTCATTGATGTGTATACTATGTGTCGTGAAATTAACAGATCGAAAGATAAATCATAACTCTATGTATAGATTTTTTACAATAAAATATTAGCAGATTTTTGTTAATTAACTAATATTTCTTGTACCATTCTATTATAACTAAGCTCTATGCTTGTGATAGGATATGGTTTTCAATAGTCGAATGTCGGGATTTGAACCAGCGACCACGTAATCGGAAATCCATACCCTTAACCATTAGGTTGACGCTTTGAGCTGAGCTGTGAATCGATGCACTGATCTGCTTCACATGTAACTGAACTGATCTGCAGGTCATCAATTTTAGTTTTTATTTTCAGGAAAGCATGAGAGCAACTAATGCTAATTTAACTCTAGCTAAAGCTCGGCTCAAACAACTGCAAGCTGAATTAGAGAAAGCTAACTGTAGTAATGTGTTGCCAACTATAAAAATTAAATAGATTATATAATAAAACTCATAGAACAAATTGCATGAGCGATAATTTAAGTTAATTTAGTAAAGATTTAAAGAAGGGAAATGAAAAGAATTGTGTAAATAGCGAAAGGAAATAGTTTAACACACACGTCAAGAAGATTTGACATTTAAGAATAAAAAAAACAAACATTTTAAAATATTCTAAATTCAAAAATATAAGAAAATATGCAAAAGGAGGTCGGATTGCATCGGCGACAACTGTTTTTTTAATTAAAAAAACAAAATATGCCACTCGAGTTTTTAAGTATTCATACTACATTCCTTTTTTTTTTTAATTGTAAAAATGTTACGAAAAGATGTTTAATTGTAAAATAATATATTTATATATATTAAATTGTTTTATTTATAAAAAAAATCAGTTTATTTTTACATAAATAATGTTGTTTTATTTAATGCATCCAAATAATCTGTTATATTTCAAACATTATTGGCACTTGTATCGAAACCCCATGCCGCCATCTTGCTGTCAATAAGGGCGCGATATTTTGACACGTTGACATAAACAGCTGGAACTCCTTTCTCCCCACAACCGATACCCCACGCGACTAAACCTGTCAGCTTATATCTGTCATCGCCTATAGGACAAGCTAATGGTGCTCCACCATCACCCTGGAAATAAAAATAAACAGTGGTAGAGCGAACTTTGACATGTTCGCAGGAATAGTCCCGACTCGTCCGGTGAAATACAACGACCATACAGAAGACGTACAGTCTGATGAGTGTGCGTCCCGGAGAACTTATTTACTCCTCTTTCCATTCCCATCCTTTTCTTTATAATTAAAGAATGGGAAGTGAAAGGATCTTCATGGGTAGAGAAAATATTCTCTTTTTGTGCATTCCTCTGTCGATTAAAGGTAACGCATATGCAATTGCGTATGTCTATGGTCAACGGTCGCTTCGCTATTACAGCGATTTCAGGCCACTCGCTCGTTTGACATCTCATAATATAAAAAAACGAATGGATTGACATCTCACTTGTCAAAATCGGATAAGTAGTTTACGATATAGGATGTTACAAAATAATTGACATACAAACAAACTCGCAAACATGTATCTTACTAATATTATAAATGCGAATGTTTAGATCGGCTGAACGTTTAAAGGTATCTCCATAACGGCTGAACAGATCTCAATGGCCTACATATAGAACATAGTTTAGAAGAACACATAGACTACTTATTATTTTTTTTTAATTCCAGACGAATAGACAGCAATTTTTATATAAAAACCTGTAAACCAAATATTACAAACCTGACAAGTATCTTTGCCTTCTTCCCCACCGGCGCATACAAAACTATCGTGCAGTCTGAAGTTGTACCCGAGTCGTGTTGACTTCAGTATCGCAGCGCAAGTATCATGTCGCACCATGTTTACTTCAACACGCTTCAATATAACTGCATAACGACCTTTTTGACCTAATAATAGATAAAATAGTTGCTAAAATAAAAAATTGCATCCCGGAGGCCTAATTTAGTCCTCTTTCCCTTCCCACACTTTTTCTTATAAAGAAAGGATGGAAAGTGGATGTGGCCTTTCCGGATGAGATGTATGGAAAGGGAAGATATTTTCTCCTCCCTGAATTAAAGGTAGGCAACGCATATGCAATTGCATATGTCTATTGGCAACGGTCACTTCGCTATTTGCCACCTTATGATATTAAAAAAAAATTACCAGCTTGATACCTTCACGAGTTTTTAAGAAAAAAGTGTCTTGACATACAGACGGACAACAAAGTGATCCTATAAGGGTTCCGTTGTTTCCTATGAGGTACGGAACCCGAAAAAGATGCTACATTTACAATATATTTATGTAAAATACTTGATAATTCAAGATTGCTTCAAAATGGTGGATAAAATTTTAGATTATGAAATGGATATCGTATGATGCCTATTTCATTGTCTAAAATTATTATACAGTGTGTCTATTTAAGATAGATTACTTTGACAATTGAGTTAAATCTATTACGAACTTCTTCGATTTTCGATAGTTCTTCTCATAGAACTTGCAATCGAAAATTCATGATTTTTTGAATAACAATATCTGTCATAACTATATATATACTATCGGAGCCGACAGACGTTGTCTGACAATTTGACAGTGCGATGTTAGCGCCGTCTGTCGGATCCAATGTAAAACATTCCAAAATCAACAACTACTAATAAATTAAAAATTAATTAAAAAAAACATTGTCCAGCGGACAAAATTGTGAATCTAAACCATTCCCAGATCCCCTTGAACACACACAAAAAATTTCATCAAAATCGCTCCAGTCGTTTGAGAGAAGTTCAGCGACATACACACTCACAGAAGATATGACATCAAGCCTAAAATTTCGGTGTTGAAGAAGAAAAAATATATATTTTTTTAAATTAATTGTGCGATACATAACCAAATAACTGTAATATATTCAAAAAGTTAAAAATACCTTAATTATAGTACCCATTTGTTGGATTAATTTTAATACAAGACTCTCGATAGTTCATAGTTGTTAGTTATGTACACTCCGACACTATAACATCCATTAAGTACAACAATAATTCTCATACAAAATTAATTCCATACTTTATAGGCAGTTGTCAAACTAATCTATCTTAAAATGGCCGCCATATTTAAAATTTTACGAATGTACCTTACTCTTTTTTGTAGCAAAGTCACTTACCAAAGCTATCTTTACCCCAGCCGTTAGCAACACAGTCTTTGCTAGTCTCAAACAGTTCATCCTGTGTCGGCAGACAGATGACGTTAATATGATCTGCTAGATCCACTGGCTCCTTCAGCAAGAGGAGTGCTAAGTCATTACGTAGACTCTTCGAATGGAATTCTAGAAAAAAAAATGATCAGTTCACTATAGGTCCCCGCTAAGGATCTAACCTACCTTAAAGTGACTAGGTGATGAATGCTGGTCCAGTGCATCACTTCACACATATCTTTGACATTCACAGATATGTGCAGCATCAACATGTTTTCCTTCACACTAACAACATAAGATAAATGTACATATGTAACACACATTGGTACATGGCGGGATTCGAACCCACGATCAGCAGTTCACAAGTCAAATGCTTAACCCCTGAGCCACCGACGTTCTTAGGCGTAATTAACGCGAATAATTTGATTTAATTTTGATGTTAAAATGAAATAAACGCATGAAAATAATACCTGGATGTATGAAAATGTCCTGTACTATCCTTTCCTGTGAAGGCAGACGCTCCTTGTTCGTCTGTGTGTCCCATTCACCAGCTCTGATCTTCAAAGCACCAGGCTGGAATCTAAAAGACGGTATTTAAAAAAAAACTAGACACTTACATCTGTTATTCTTTATCTTACTAATATTATAAATGCGAATGTTTAGATGTATGTTTGTTAGAAGATATCTTCAGAAAGCCTGAACGGATCTTGATGAAATTTGTCATAGATGTAGAACATAGTCTGGAAGAACACATAGACTACTAATTACGTTTTATTCTACGCGGACGTAGTCACAGGCAACTAGTATACAAATAGCCGACAATTTGTAACCTAGACCGACTTCGCATTAACGTAATCCTCAATCTACCAGCAACGCGTTTCGTCTGATGAGTGTGTCCCGGAGGCCTAATCTATTCCCCTTTCCCTTCTCTCACTTTTTCTTATAAGGAAAGTATGTGAAGTGGAAGTGGACTTTCCGGATGAGATGCATGGAAAGGGAAAATATTATCTTTCTGTGCATCCTCTCCTCAGTCGATTAAAGGTAGGCAACGCATATGCAACTGCGTATGTCTATGGGCAACGGTCACTTCGCTATTTCAGCGATTTCAGGTGGCTGCTCGCTCGTTTGCAATCTTATGATATAAAAAAAACATACTTGTAAGCAATGTGTGCGCCTGTCATGACGACTTGGGGATGTATGAGGACTCCAACACCCGCGTAGCGTCCATTCACTGCATCCAGGAGTGCCACCACCCATGGGAACTCACCGAACTGTGCCTCCGCACCCTAGGAGATAAGACACGATCTATAAGATTTTGCAGGCTTTTTAAGGCGGTACATACGCACCGCATGCACGGCACGCAACAGATTTAATTCGAACCCAGGACCTGCAGATTACAAGTCAAGTGCTTGACCACTGAGCCACCAAAGCTTTTATGCGTGTTACGACTTGACGCGAATTATTTGACCAAAGTAAAACTCACGGAGCCCCCAGTGACGCTGAAGTCGATTCCTTTACGGTTCCTGTAGCCACAGCCTTTTAAGTTCTTGGCGTCGGGCTTCGGTGGTGGCTGTGGGGGCTTCGGATCCTTGCAGCATCGTTCCACACTTTCCTGACACTCGTCAACCCCGAATCTAATAAAGATGTTAAATCAGTTGGCTTAAGTCTATAAAAATAATTGTTTTCCCCGGTTGAAACTTTGCTAGGGTGAATTTCTATGTTTACGTGTCGTTATTTTGAGAAATACTGATTAGGGGGCGTCCATAAATTACGTGAGGTGTTTAAGGGAGGGGATCGAGTCAAATCTCATCTAATCTTACGTCGGAGAGGATCTAGGCAAATATCAAGCTATTTTTTTTTGTAATTGAAACAAAAAAAAAGCAAAAGCACGAAGCAATTTTTTTTTTACAGTAACAATCCAACGCGATTACGTAACTCACATTTTGAAAAATCTCACGTGAGATTGGGGGATGGGTGTAGAAGGGTTGAATAAAATCTCACCAGGAAGGGGGGGAAGGGCAGGTAATTTAAAAAAAACACCTCACGTAATATATGGACGCCCCTTTACATTATTAAAATTACTATAAATTACTACAGTACACATCAGCGCCTTTCCAGTTAAAGTTACTTCAAAACCAGTCCAGCTAATTTTGAGATTACCAGAACAAATACAGACTTTTATACAGATAGACAATATCTTTGAAATCGTATCTATTATCGTAGTATTTAAGTAGTCCCGAACAGGGTTTGGCGTCAGGCAGGCGGCCGGCCAGTAAAAACATTTAAAGCCAAAACATTTTACAGTATGTATTACAGGGTTAGAGATGTATGGAGGAGTAGTACATGCTGTGCCGACCCTCGATAGGGATAAGGGCAGGTTGATGACAATATCTTTGAAATAGTAGTAAGTAAATATAAAGACGAATTTTTTTATAGATGGATGAATGTTAGAAAGTATCTTCAGAACGGTTGCATGGATCTTGCTGAAATTTGTCATACATATAGAACATAGTCTGGAAGAACAGTGGTAGAGCGAGCTTTAACATCTTCGCAGGAATTGTCTCGGCTCGTCCGGTGAAATACCACGACCATACAGAAGACGTGCAGTCTGATGAGTGTGCGTCCCGGAGGACTAATCTACTCCTCTTACCCTTCCCACCCTGTTTCTTATAAGGAAATGATGGGAAGTGGAAGTCGTCTTCCCGGATGGGAATATGCATGGAAAGGGAAAATATTTTCTTTCTGTGCATCCTCTCCTCCGTTGATTAAAGGTAGGCAACGCATATGCAATTGCGTATGTCTATGGGCAACGGTCACTTCGCTATATCAGCGATTTCAGGTGACCGCTCGCTCGTTTGCTAAATAAGTTTTTTTTTAATTCCTGGTAGACGAAGTACGACATACCTGATATCCAGCTTGAAAGCACCAGTGACAGTCTCGTTGTACGCATCCACGGCATTTAAGTTTGTATCACATAAGTAATACGGTACACATTTGCATGCATCGCCGTTACTGTCGACGAACATAGATGTACTATCGGTTGGTCGCACTGTTATCTGGAAGGGATAACAAGAAGTTTGTTGGACTGATACATATTGCTATCTCTTACATACTCTTTGATAAAAAACGAGACGACAATATGACGACGAGATGCACAATCTTATTATCTTATAAATGCGAATGTCTAGATGGATGTTTGTTCGAATGTATCTCTGGAACGGCTTAACGGATCTTGATGAAATCTATATATATAAAAGAAAGTGGTGTTAGTTACATTATTTATAACTCAAGAACGGCTTTACCGATATGCCTGAAAATTGGTGAGGAGGTAGCTTAGAACCAGGAGACGGACATAGGATACTATTTATTTATTTTCATATTTTTTTCGAATTTATTCATTGAAGAGCTACTTTTTATTTCACTTGCTAATATTATAAATGCGAATGTTTAGATGGATGTGATGTGGATGGATGGATGGGTGGGTGGGTTACACTAATTAAGTTTTTTTTTATGTATCCACGCGGATAGAGTCTCGGGCGACAGCTAGTTTAATATAGATGTAGAACATAGTCTGGATGAACTTTAGAAGAGCGTTGAATGCAACACAACGTTGACTCGTCGACTTCGTCATGTCAACTATATAGCTCGTTAGCAACTATATAGTTTGCGAGTTTGAGAAGAGAAGAAGAGAGAAAGTTCTATGACATTGTATTGCGTAAGATTTACGTTGGCTATTGAATGAAAGGACTAAATTTGCTTTTTTGTACATCGGTTTGTATGTTACTTTGTGAAGACTTAGAACGTTAACAACTGGACTAATTTTGACGAGTGAAGAGTCAATCGTATTCTTTGCCTGACTCTTTGTATCGAGTCTTGTCTATTAAACGAATACTCTTTGGTTTTGGGTTTCAAAGTCGGGTTTTAAATTTTACAATTGCATACTTACATCTTCAAGTCCTGGTACTTTCTTGGTTGTGGGCGGTGTACCGAACACATCGATCAGGACGTCTGGTTTTATCGACACTTGAGGGTACGCGAGGGTTGAACCCAATAGTAGAAAGTAGAACAGCATTTTCTGTAGGCAGATAAATAAACATTTAAAAATATTATATTTGTATTTTTAGACATTATTAGTTAGAATCCTTTAGAGCGAATGGCGTGCTTACGTTACAAAGTCAAGTGTCAGAATGAATAGTGAGGGGACATAAACGTCGACACTCTAGTAAGGCTAATGTTGAGTCAATACACTACCTCATTTTCGGATTTTCTTCCTTAACATTATGATAAATTTTGTATTTCAATAAATTAAATAAATTATAATATTATTCATAATTTGTTGACTGTACTTGAATCATATATCATCTGCTTTTTTAATATTTTAATCGGCTGGGTTATTCTAGTTGTTTGAATTCCGTGACATTTAAATTCGTATCAAAACTTCTTTAATTTATAGTAACCAAAAAAAACACCACAAAGCCACATTTAACGACGGAAACATATTCAATTCATTCTATCTTCTTTACATGGCCAATAATAATAATAATAACTAAACACGAATCGAACAAAATTATATTTAAAGTAAAAATACAAATTAATTGCTCAATTATGAATTTTAAAAACATGATCAATTAGTTAATTTAAAAACATAAAATACTGCCATAAATTACGTTCTTAATCTGTCAAAACAATTATTAATTTCGCGCTAAAACGCAGTCGATTAGAGGCACTGACATCTATCAAATGGACAGGCTATCAGCCGTTGTATTTTGTGCTTGTTTGATTGTCGCCATTTTGGCGCTGATTGTTACGGTTGATAGCGGTGGTGAGGATACGAACTAATAATAGAGATAGAATTAATTAAAAATAATATCGACGTGTACGTTTAAGCCGGAACAAAACAGAAGCTGTCATTTCAGATCAGTGTTTAGGACAAGAAAAGGACAAAGTTACTTTTTTTTAATGGCTATGAAAAGGTTGTGAAGATTTCCAGCCACCGATACTTTTATAACATTTGCTTATAATTATTAAAATAAATTTTTATAAATTAAGTAAATATTAAATACTTGACCTGTTATACATTGCAATCAGTTAATTAATTTATAAATAAATAACAGACAAGGTTATAAATGTAACTTATATGATTAACAAACAGAAATAAAATTTATACTAAATCCCGCAATAATATGGCTTATAAAATGACTAGCTGTCGCCCGCGACTCCGTCTGCGAGCGATTAAAAAAAAACTTAAAATGCAGTCTGTTCTTTCAGACCATGTTCTCCATTTGTGCCACACTTACATACATTTTTTTTATAACAAAAGCTGGCAAACGAGCGAGCAGCCACCTGAAATCACTGAAATAGCGAAGTGACCGTTGCCCATAGAAATACGCAATTTCATATGCGTCGCCTACCTTTAATCGACGGAGGAGAGGATGCACAGAGAGAAAATATTTTCCCTTCTCATGCATCCTCTCATCCGGAAAGTCCACTTCTACTTCCCATCCTTCCCTTATAAGAAAAAGGGTGGGAAAGGGAAGAGGACTAAATTAGGCCTCCGGGACACACACTCATCAAACGAAACGCGGAATAGCTTCCACTTGACGCCTGTCTTCTGTGTGGTCGTGGTATTTCACCGGGCGAGCCGGGCCGATTCGTGCGAAGATGTTAAAGCGGGCTCTACCACTGTTACATACATCCATTCATCTAAACATTTGCATTTATAATATTAGTAAGATAGTAAGATTTACTCATAATTTATTAACCATCCGTAACTTCGAGGTTAAATTACGTACGTATTTATATCTTGATGTGACCTTTACTTCCAGTATATATGTCAACCTATTTATTATGTCTTATAAGTTGTAATGCAAAATATAATAGTATCATTGTATAATGTATACTAATATTATAAATGTGAATGTTTGGATGGATTGATATATAAACACGGCTAAACACTCACGTATATTCGTCCGGTGGCGGCACCGACTAATTTCGAGAAGTGCCCCCGATGGGCTCGAAACTAGTCGGTGCCGCCACCGGACGAATATACGTGAGTGTTTAGCCGTGTTTATATATCAATTTAGTATAATGTCTCACGAAAGTTTGAATAGTTTGGATGGATGTTTGTTTAAAGGTATCTACAGAACGGCTGCATGAATTGGCATAGTAGAAAACAGCCTGGAAGAACACATAAGCTACTAATTAAGGTTTTTTTTTCAGTCCGCGTGGTCGGAGTCGTTGGCGACAGCTGTAATACGACCTAATACAGAACTGTAATAATTCTTTCACGTAAACGGAATTGTTATCGCCAAATATGTTGTGACATCAGGGTCTTTGATCTTTGTCTATTGAAAACCTTGTGCAATGTGTACACATTTATTTTCCTTCCTTAATCAAATACGTACTTACTAGTCCCTTAAAAAGTATATTTGCTACGACAATGCCTATAAATAAATTTTAATCACATTTTCAAAAGGATCGATCAATCGAGAAGGGTTACAAGATTGTTTTAAGATATATCTTTGAATTTTAATCAATAATTTCTTTATGAGTCTTATTATGTTGTTCATGGTCTTGATTTTTTTTAATTTAAAGTAATAAGCGTTGTTAACATTTCATTTCAATTTAAAATGAACTCGTAAAAATAAAATAAGTGTGAATGAAACATCAATGAACAAAATCGAAATCGATTGCATTATGGCTGTACGACCTTTACCTTTTTCACGGCATGAGGAAAAAATTAAGAATAAATTGAAGTCTGACAATAAAATTTTTGGCGCGAAACATACAATGGCATTTAATTATGTCTCATTTAATAATCTGATTGCTTTTTATAATTTATTATACGCATATAAAAGAAACCAAACTATCCTAAAGAGACATCATTCTCCACGAAGAATTTTATTATTAAAAACTTTTTTGTAGAAGTACGTTAAGCATTATAATATTACATTTACATTAATTGGTCTAAAATTTTTATAAAAACAAAGTAATATACTTACTTATTTATGTAAATACGTAATTATAAATCCAATTCCACGTTAACTACAAAAACAGCGATGAAATTTGATTGTATCAAATATAAACATTGTTCGTAATTGTAATGAAAAATAGGGTTAACAATTACGTCACAATATCGCGTCATTAGTAGATGAATGATTAATATCCGCAATACAAAAACCCACTGGTTTTTATCTTATACCTGAATCACCTTCATCATTAGAAGACGTCACCAAACACAAATTAAATCACAGACAATCCCAGACTATAATAAGTGCACGTCAAACATGGCGGCCATTACGATTTTTCAACAATAATATTCATTTTGTCGAAATTGTGTAATAAAGATTGCTAATGTTATGTTATCTGAGACGGGGTTTTGTTTCTAAAAACATTTAATACTAGTCATTGCCCGCGTCTCCATCCGAGCGGTAAAAAAAATATGTTGTTCCAGACTATGTTCTATATCTATGCCAAATTTTATCGAGATCCATGCACCCGTTCTGTAGATACCTTTTAACAAACCATCCATCTAAACTAAACTATCTATAGAATTAATAAAACTTTAGTGTCTTACTTCTTACTAATATTATAAATACGAATGTTTAGATGGATGGATGAATGAATGCTTGAATATATCTCCAGAACAAATGAACGGAACTTAATTAAATTTTAGATACCTACAGAACATATTCTAGAAGAACAGATAGGCTGCTAATTAAGTTTTTTTTTTTTAATTCCGCGAGTACGGAGTCGCGGGCGACCGCTAGTTTTACATAAAAGAAAAATAATATTATTTACACATGATTAATTTGCATAGTAAATGAAAAAAAAAAATTATTAAAATTGTTTGTCTGTCCACAATTCTGCGTTTGGTTCCGGGTAATCTCCAAAACGGCTGGACTGATTTTGATAGGAGTTTTATTGGAAGATAGCTGATGTGAGCAAGACTAACATGGACTATTTTTGTCTATGATAAATTAAAATCGAAAAATAAAAAGGAAAGATAAACTACTGGACGGATTTCAGTACTTATTACTACTTTTTATGCTATACGGATGTAGTCAAATTCAACGAAGACGAAGTTTTATGAGTTGGGTTGACATTGACAATGATATTTCAAAACAAGGAAAACTCGAATACATCGTCTATTCAAATAATAACTAAAACTAGAATTTATCTATTATTTTCTGTTTCTCGTGTCAATTTATGTTTAAGGAAAACAAGACAGAAAATTAATTACAGTAAAACAATCAAACGTACCTTATATTCCCTGATGTGTTTCACATAAAACTATATTTAACACTATTTTAAGCACAGCACTTGTTTTTTATTGATAATTTACTTATTATAAAGATCTTATTCTATTTATTTGAATATTTTAATTGAACGTTATACACGCGTCACTCACGCGTTGCGTTTAAACGCGAACTAAGCTTGAGGCCAAAGTTGATGATGCTAAATAGAGATGTACTGATAATGACGTTAACATTTTCGATAAATACATTTTATTTATATTTCGATAGCTTACAGATGTATTCATCAATCGAATTATAAGTATTAATAAACGTTAATTTATTCGACTTTCTTACTGTAAAGGAAAATATCTTGATACTGCACATATCTGTGAAGAAATGTTAAAGATATGTGTGAAGTGTTACCTAACTGGACCAGCATTGACTATGACCTTGTCACATAATTTAGGGTAGGCTCCGAGACCCTCAATGGGGAAGTATACTGAACTGATGATGATGTTGGTGTTCATTAAGACACCTTTTCCATTATGCGTTTAGCGTCTAGTTGTAATTACTCGTTCTTTTGCGCCAGTAAAAAAGAGCATTAAGTTTCCATACAAATTGCAGTCACGTGTACGAGTTGCAAAACTAGTTGGAATAGTGCAAAAAGGTTCTAAGTTACTTTTAAAATGAATATGTTTCAAAAAGAATTGTTGAAAATATAGCAAAAGAAAAATATTCCATTTTGTATGAAAAAGACATTATGAATATACTAGCGGTCGCCCGCAACTTTGCCTGGGTAGAATTTAAAAAAAACTTAAATAGTATTCTTTGTGTTCTTCCAGACTATGTTCTATATGTATGCCAAATTTCATCGAGATCCGTTCAGCCGTTCTGAAGGTACCTTCAAACAAACATCTATCCATCTAAACTTTTGCATTTATAATATTAGTAACATTTATTGTGTTTTATAACCTCCTGCGTTTTGGTAGTCATTCTTGATGGGATAAGTGGTACTATCTTAAAATTCACAATTCGATTATCAACAAGACGTTTGTATAAATTTCAAAAATATTATCGAAACGATGCTTACATGTTACTTACATCACTACTCAACCGGCCAGTCCGGTTTTCTGTGAATTTGTTAAATAATTTGAAATGTAATTATACTTATAAATGTTTATCTTGCAATGATCACGATCCAAGGTGATTCTGAGCAAATGTCAGACAGGTTGAATGATCTTCCCGCCACACACACACACTGATATCTCAAGTAATAAAATTGAAATTAAATTTTTAAAATGGCTATTAACTTAGGATTTTACGTAGATATTTATTACACATTAATTATAGTTTTGGGGAAATTATCAAATTAAAAGCAAGTATTCTATCATCATCATCATCATCAGCCTATATTCGTCCAGTGCTTGACATAGGCCTCTTCCATGGCACGCCACTGAGCACGATCCTCGGCCACTCTAATCCAGCTCTTGCCAGCCGCCCTGTGTTCTGTATTACTCTGAAATAAATCACAAAGAAATAGTCAAACATTACATCATAGGACTTTTTTAAAACTATTTATAAAGTAACCTATGTGTTCATCCAGACTATGTAACACATTTTGTCAAATTTCATCAAAAATCCGTTGAACTGTTTCGGAGATATCTTCTAATAAATATGCATCTAAACATTTACATTTATAATATAAGAAAGGTTAATAATGCACACAAATAACTAATAATAGGTTAATTAATTACATAAAACGGGTAATCATTGTGGTATTACCCGCGTTAACATTATCTTTAACCGGAAAAATTATAACGATTTGATGACTTAATTTCTAAGATTTCTTCATCACATAGTTAAAAATATTCAAACGTACTTTTTATTAATTTAAAAATTAAATATAAGCAGATTTTATACTCATATTGCTTGTAAAATTAACGTTTTCATCATTTTCAAACAAAATATTCAAATTTGGCCGTTTAAAATATTTGACAACAAATAATTTTTTCATCGTAACTTTTCCTTTTTGTACTAGATGGCGCTTGTTTTAAATTTCAGATTAACCTCAATTCTACTTAAGAAATAAGAAAGTTAAAATAACGCTTAAATGAAAGAATTACGTAGTTGATTCTACACTAAATTAAAAAAGAAAATGTCCTAGTCCTCTTACTAATATTATAAATGCGAATGTTTGGATAGATGTTTGACGGTAACTCTAGAACGGCTGAACGGGTCTCGTTAAAATTTGGCATACATGTAGAATACTGGCTATCGCCCGCGCGGAATTAAAAAGTTCTACATCTATGCCAAATTTCAGCGAGATCTGTTCAGCCGTTGTGGAGATACCTTCAAATAAACATCCATCCAAACATTCGCATTTATAATACTTTAAGATATCTGGAAGAACACGTAGGTAAAGTTTAATACCACGCGGACAGAGTCGCGGGTGACAGCTAGCAACTTTATATGTCACAAATTTTCGTATTAGGGACACAATGGCAGGGTAATAAAACAATATTTAGCAGTAACAAATTCATTTACTCGTGGGCATTATTTGCATGTTTATAGATTCTCGTGCAGGAAGTGCAGTAACGTCGCCTCGTAGTGTTTTGCAGCGTGCATCGAGCGTAGAGAATGTCTCTCCCCTGGGTACACCTGGTAATTAATTATTTCATATGATTTTTCTCTTATACAGTGTTATTTTTTTAATTACTAGAAAAAAAAAAACAGGAATTACATTATACTTTTTGTTTTTTTTTATCATAAGGTGGCAAACGAGCGAGCGGTCACCTGAAATCGCTGAAATAGCGAAGTGATCGTTGCCCATAGACATACGCAATTGCATACGCGTTGCCTACCTTTAATCGACGGAGGAGAGGATGCACAGAAAGAAAATATTTTCCCTTTCCATGCATCCTCTCATCCGAAAAGTCCACTTCCACTTCCCATCCTTTCCTTATAAGAAAAAGTGTGGTAAGGGAAAGAGGAGTAAATAAGTTCTCCGGGACGCACACTCATCAGACTGTACGTCTTCTGTATGGTCGTGGTATTTCACCGGACGAGTCGGGACTATTCCTGCGAACATGTTAAAGCTCACTCTACCACTGTTTAATTTTGGTCGTTGTTGTTAAAAGTTGATTTTTATTGCAGAAAAAATCCTGTAAAAATCATGGACACAGTTTATCTATGCGTCCTCTGACAATTAAAGATAGGCAACTGCAATTGGGTATGTCTACTGTTCGCTTAGCTATATCGGCGAATTCAGGTGGGTAGTATAAAAACATAGTTATTTGTTGGTGTACACTGACTTGCACACGATGAGGCTTGCCCAGACGCACGAGTTCAGCAAGCAGCGCCGCAGTATGACAGAAGTGTACATTCTCGTCAGCTAAACCGTGGATGATGAGTAGTCTGCCTTCACTGGAAACAAATTCATATGGTCCTTCGAGCTGGATAATTTATTATAAATGAGAATGTTTGGATGGATGGAAGTTAGATGATATCTCTAGAACGGATGTATGGATTTTTATGAAATTTGTCATAGATGTAGCACATAGTCTGGAAGAACACATAGACTAATAATTTTTTTTTATAATTCCGCGTGGACGGAGTTGCGGGCGACAGCTAGTTTAAAGCAAAACAATCTGATTATCGTTACGGATTATTGATTAAATGGTCGTGGGTTCGAATTCTTCTTAAAATATTTTCTTAAAGTCTTGATTTAGTCACTTTTCTTTTACAAAAAAAAATATTCTACAATTTAAGTGACTTTAAAATGCATATATAATTTACTCCTTCCCTTCCTATCCTTTTCCTACAAGGTAAGGAAGCGGATTTGATGAACAAAGGCACGTATAGAAAGGGAAAATATTATATTTCTGTACATTCTCTGTCTATTGAATGTAGGCAAATCTACAAATCACTTCGCTATTTAGGCGAATTCATGAGCTTTGCCATGTTTTTTACCGTTCAGGGAAGAAAGGTGCATGTGCCAGAACGCTGGCTCTGCTGTACGCGTGCGGAGCCCGAGCGGGGAGCCCCATGTAGCGCTCCGTGTACGCCGTGTCGTAGAGCCGCCAGCTCGTCACCGGAGCACCCGCTACACACACCTTGAAGATGTTAGGACGTGTCGCCAAACCTAACAGAGATAGGTAACCACCTGGATAGAGAAAAAAAAACAAATTATAGTCAAAAAAGCAATTGAATTAAAAATGATTAAAATAAGATTTTACTATGTTATATGTAAGAGCGTCGATGGCTCAGTGGTCAAGCACTTGATTTGTCAGCAGGCCCTGGGTTCGAATCACGCCATATGTACATTTATCCTATGTTCTTAAGGTGAAGGAAAACATCGTAAAGCACATATCTGAGAAGAAATTCAAAGATATATGTGAAGTCAACTCGCACTTGGCCAGCGTTGACTATGACCTGGTCACATAACTTAGGGTAGGCTCCGAGCCCCTCAGTGGGGACCTATTTTGATACCCATATTGGGTGTTGTATTTTGTGGCCATCTTGGATTTACAATAACACTATTAAGCATGCAATATCATTAGGACTAAAGGTATGTAACAAATTTAAAAGTTAATCCAGGAACTGAATGTCAATCTCTCACCGTAACTCCATCCATGTATGGCAACCCTTTCCATATCTATACAGCCGGTCTCTTTAGCCAGCCATTGTAACACTTCAACCTAAGAAAAATAGAAAACTATGTTTATTTTTCTCTATTTAAAAATGGCAATTTTTATAATCAAAATAAATTCATCCAGCTCGAAGGACCAAAATATTTTTCAAAAAAAAATGTACAAAAATATACTGTTTTAAAGACTATATGGATTGTAGTAAAAAACAGTATAGAAAAGAAACGCATCTACATTATTTATGCAGCGTTCGTTTCGCTATTTCGGCGAATTCAGGTATCTCGTTTGCCACATTATATAAAAGTACCTGGATGACGGAGCTTTGCTCTTAATTGTGTTTTTAGTAAATTACATTTAAGTACGAATTACTAATAAAATGATGAAATATGAATAATATTTTTCCATCTTACCGATAGAAAAATGTTAAAGTTGATTATCGATAAAACACGAATAAAATGACATTTTCTAAAAATGATTCCTAGCTAGATCGATTTATCGCCCCCGAAACCACCTATATACTAAATTTTGTGAAAATCGTTGAAGCCGATTCCGAGATTCCAATTATATATATATACATGAATTGCTCATTTAAAGATATAAGATAACATAGATTCAACACATCATCTTACTAATATTATAAATGCGAATGTTTGTATGTATGATTGTTTGAAGTTATCTCCAGAATAAATGCATGTATCTTACTGAAATGACACAGATGTAAAACATAGTCTGGAATACATCTATATATATAAAAGAAAGTGGTGTTAGTTACACTATTTATAACTCAAGAACGGTTTTACCGATATGCCTGAAAATTGTTGAGGAGGTAGCTTAGAGCCAGGAGACGGACATAGGATACTATTTTTTAATTTTTTTTTTACTAATATTATAAATGCGAATGTTTAGATGGATGTGATATGGATGGATGGATGGGTGGGCTATACTAATTAAGTTTTTTATCCACGCGGACGGAGTCACGGGCGACAGCTAATATTTTTTTATATTCACCTGGTCATCAAGTTCAACTTGTCCCATCTTGCCACGTATAGCAGCTTCCCATGCACGTCCGCGATGCTTCGACCCTCTGGAGTCGACAGACACCACATTGAAGCCTCGAGCAGCCAGCATATGCATGCGTAACTGTCGGATACCCTGCAATAGGGTCATCTATTAAGCATATGCTTTTTTTTTAAATATCTTGACACTCATACTATGGCGATGTTTGGTAAGATTAATAATCGTATATTTTTTAGTATAAATTTACTTCATCAGTCTGAAGACACTTGATATGTTATTTTAACAGTGGTAGAGCTCTCTTTAACATATTCGCAGGAATAGTCCCGACTCGTCCGGTGAAATACCACGACCATACAGAAGACGTGCAGTCTGATGAGTGTGCGTCCCGGAGAACTCATTTACTCCTCTTTCCCTTCCCACACTTTTTCTTATAACGAAAGGATGGGAAGTGGAAGTGAACTTTCCGGATGAGAGGATGCTTGGAAAGGGAAGATATTTTCTTTCTGTGCATCCTCTCCTCCGTGGATTAAAGGTAGGCAACGCGTATGCAATTGCGTATGTCTATGGGCAACGATCACTTCGCTATTTCAGCGATTTCAGGTGACCGCTTTCTCGTTTACCACATTATAATATAAAAAAAGCCTCTGATATTGTTTTGCGTTAAATCGCTTAGCGACTAAAATCGCCGAGATTTATATTGCCTTGTGTAAAAAAAAATTCTAACTTACTAATATTATAAATGCGAACGTTTATATAGATATGTTAGGAGATATCTCCAAAATGGCTAAAGAGATCTAGATGAAATTTGTCATAGATATAGAACATAGTCTGGAAGAACACATAGACTAATAATTAGTAATATACCTTGTAGCTATTAGTGACAGTCTGTACTTCAGGTCCTCCATACACATGCAGTACTGTGGGACTCCGACCTGCGCGTGCGCAGCGCCACAGCGTACAATACGCAGGTGCGCCACATGACAGACGGGTCTGCAGAATTTGTGGCGGAGGTACATTCACACCGCTCAGACTACGCTCTGTTAAAGCAAAACGTAGACATATGTAAAAAATACCTAATGGTTAAGGGTACGAGTTTCTTTTTAAGAAAAAAAGTAGGGATAGATTATTTGATTTTATTTTAATTATTTTTTATTTATTTATTTTTCATACAAAAGATTTGACAAAGAATTTTATCCCGCCAAGCTGTAATGCTTAACGGAGAGACGCGAAATTTGAATCAATAGCCTAATGGTTAAGGGTAGGGGTTTCTTTTTAGACAAAAAAGTAGGCACAGATTTTTATTTTTTAATAATGCGATCAAATTTGAATAGCTTACGAAGCCTATCAAGGGTACGGGTTTCCAATCACGAAGTCTAGTTCGAATCTTACCATTCGACTTATAAATCTAGCAGAGGCATATACCTTAGTCGAAATTGTAGAAAAAATTAATAAAATAAAAAAAATCTGTTAATAATTTACAAAAAAAAAGACAATGACGTAATTATTATTTTATTTTAAAGAAAGAACAAATATGTTATAGTTATGAATATATAAATTTACCTCTGACTAATATCGTACTATCACCGTCCTCGTCTCCATCACCACGACTGTCCCAGGTGCCGTTGAAGCTGCGACTGTCTGATGATGAATCTAATAACATTTTCATTATATTAATACTAGCCATCGCACGCGATTCCATCCGTAAAAAAAAAACTTAATAAGTAACCTATGTGTTCTTCCAGACTATGTTCTATATGTGTGACAAATTTCATCAAGATCCGTTCAGCTCTTCTGGAGATATCTTCTAACAAACATCCATCCAAACATTCGCATTTATAATCTCACTAGTATTATAAATGCGAATATTTAGATGAATGTATGGATGGATGTTTCTTTGAAGGTATCTTCAGAACGGCTGTATGGATTTTGATGAAATTTGTCACACATATAGAACATAGTCTGGAAGAACACATAGACTACTTTAAGCTTTTTTTCATTATGAACAAAAAAAGTGAAGCTGAACAAATCTTTATGAAATTTGGCACACATATAAAAAATATGTATGTTTGTGTACATATGTGTACGTATGTGTGTGTGTACGTATGTAATGTATATACAGACCGCATGTGATCTTCTCCATGAGTGTCCCCTGCACGAGGAGCGTGGTGTGGTCCGTGTGGGCGATGCGGTAGACGCGTGTGCTCGGAACACTACTTATGTTGGATGTCGTTATAACAGCTGTTGTACATTCCTGTAACAAATATCATCATCATCACCTCACTATAAGTCCCCATTGAAGATCTCGGAGTCTACCCTTAGTTATGTGACCAGGTCATAGTCAATGCTGACCCAGTGCAGTAATAACTTCGTACTAATATTCACATTTGAATGTTTAGATGAATGTATGGATGGATGTTAATATATCTTCAGAACGACTGCATGGATCTTAATGAAATTTGTCATAGATGTAGAACATAGTCTGGAATAGGCTACTTAGTTTTTTAATTCCGCGCAGACGCAGTCACGGGCGATAGCTAGTGCACAATAATTATATTCGTATTAAAATTTAAAAACCTAATAATTCAATGAATCTATTTGACTTTATACAGATTAACGATTCTCGACTTTGTAACGTGAAAATATGTCAGAGTTTGTTTGAGGTTTTTTTTTGGGATACCCCAACGAGATACATCTAGAGAAATTCCTTTTTATAAAGATTAATTTTGAACACTTGTAACTTATACTACAAATCGTATTATCAGCTGTGAGACCAGGGCCAGTTTTAAAATGTCCAGCGCCCTGGGCGAGATTTTTGTGACCTTTTTTATGGTATAGGCGAAAATGTTGCAAAGAAAAGGAGTCTTAGGAGGCACCGCAAGCGCCCCTTTTATATTCCGATGGTGCGACGCCCCCTGGCATCGCCCTGGGCAGTTGGCCCGTCTCGCTCTAACGGCCTGGGCGTTGGCCCCATCTCACTCTACTGTATGTAAACTCACATCATCAATATCCACTGTGTGTGAGTGTCCGGGGCTGGTCAGCAGGGTGAGGGGTGCTGCGGGGCGGAGGGGGGCGACATATAAATGTCGCTCCAGGGGCGTCTCCTTAAGTCCCACAAAGTACACCAATTGCCGACCTTCATCTACCTGGAAAGAGGAATTAATACTTAATTAAGCCTAATTTATCCTCTTTCTTTTCCCTTTTCAAACAAGGCGAAGATGGGAAGGGGAGATATCTTCTTTCTGCGCGTCAGGCAACATTTGCAAGTATGAATGTAGATGTACAGCCGTTACTTAGCTATATTAACCAATTCTAATCTATACATATAGAAAAAAATTGTTTATTTCCTTGAATTAAAGTTCGAAACTATTGAACCGATATGAAAAACTCTTTCTCTTTTAGCTAGTCGAAGCTACACTATCCCCGGTTGACATAGCCTATTCGTTAGTAGATATATTTCGCGGACAGAGTCGCGGGCGACAGCTAGTATTATTTAAATCTTTAACAAAGTAAACTTTCCTCACCCAAATCTTCCTATCCATCACCTCCCATTCACCGCTGGTGATGGCCTCTTTACTGATGATATTAGGTCCCACAGCATTCGACTCATCATCCGTTATCATTTCAATCACCGCTAAAATGTGATAAAAAGCTTTCACAGACAACGTGTTTATATTACAAATTATATAACGTGACACCAGACTCTTTGCGGTACAGGTGGAGAGTCTGTGATACAGGTGGACCGTCTGTGATACAGCTGGACCGTGTGTGGTACAGGTGGACCGTCTGTGATATAGGTGGACCGTGTGTGGTACAGGTGGACCGTCTGTGATACAGGTGGAGCGTCTGTGATACAGGTGGGCCGTCTGTGGTACAGGTGGACAGTCTGTGATATAGGTGGACCGTGTGTGGTACAGGTGGACCGTCTGTGGTACAGGTGGACCGTCTGTGGTACAGGTGGACCGTCTGTGGTACAGGTGGACCGTCTGTGATACAGGTGGAGCGTCTGTGGTACAGGTGGACAGTCTGTGATACAGGTGGACCGTCTGTGATACAGGTGGACAGTCTGTGATATTTTTATTTTTTTTAAATTTTACTGGGTTCTGTAGCCCCCTGTTGCTACATTTCTTCAACTAGCAAGTGTCAATATTAAATCCCTCCATACAGACACCAGGTCTTCCCCGGGCATCAGCGTCTTGTATGGACTCCAGGGGGTCTTCTGCATGGACCTAGTGGGGTCTTGCCTTGATTTCAGGGGGTTTTTACTTACATCGTGTTCTTTCCGTGGCGGTGAGTTGCAGGGCGCAGGTGACCATGTAAAGATGAAGGTAGCCAGTCTCCTCTGAAGCCCAGATGAAGCTGATCTGATCATCAGCACTGGGCAGGAAGTAAAGGATGTCGTGGACATTGATCCAAGCGTCAGGTGCTGTCTCCGATATTAATACTTGGATTTGTTGCTGCAATAAGGAATTATTTGCTTTTTAAAATTACAATAAAAAAATATTAAATTTGTTAAATTATGTTACTAATATTATAAACTAGCTGTCGCCCGCGACTCCGTCCGCGTGGATATATTAAAAACTTAATTAGTGTAGCCCACCCATCCATCCATCCACATCAAATCCATTTAAACATTCGCATTTATAATATTAGTATTTTAGATATGCTTAAGAGTGGAGAGAACATGTCAACAACTCATATTTATCTTAGTATCTTGGTACCCACCTCCCTCCTATCCTCATTTCCATATCCAGAAGGCATGTGAGATACATCAGCGCCTTCATATCCTGTGGGACAGCTGAACTCACTCAATGGTATCAGCACCAGCTCCAGACGCTGCTGCTCTCTATCCAGAAGTTGGACCCACACGCTGCGGAGTAAGCAATTTTATATGTGAGGGTAACTTGCAATAGATGGCGTTGTAATTAATTTAAATTTGTTTATGAACTTTCAATAGGTCTACTGGTCTACTAGTCTATTGATATTTCGGTCTACTGGTATTATAGTCTACTGGTCTTTCGGTCTACTGGTATTCTAGTCTTCTCGTATATTAGTATACTGGTCTATTGGCATACTTGTCTATTGGTTTTTCAGTCTACTGGTCTTTCGGTCTACTGGTCTACTAGTCTGTTAGTCTTTCGGCCTACTGGTGTACTTACAAGTTCCCGCATGGAGTCCAACCGACCCTGGCGAGATATTCAAACCAGGGGAAGACTTCTTTCAACGGCTGTCGCATTTCGTACCATCGGATGTCAGTCGCCTCCATACAATCACTAATACTATCCGCTGATGCTGTAAATATATTTTAATTACTACCCTAAGGGAAGGATTAATATTATAGTGTGTATTTAAGATAGATTAGTTTGATTAACAAACGCGTATGAAGTATAGAATTAATTTTGTATGAAGGTTAATGTTGTACTTAATGGATGTTATAGTGTCGGAGTGTACATAACGAACAACTATGAACTATCGAGTATCGAGTCTTGTAATAAAATTAATCGAACATATAAGGACTATAATTTAGGTATTTTATTACAGTTATTTGGCTACGTATCACATAGTTAATAAAAAAAAATATTTGCATTTTTTTTGTTTTTTTTAAATCACAATTTTTGGTTTAATGTTTTATTTATATATGTAGTTATATAAAATAAAGTAGTAGAGAGAAACAATTTTATTTATATAGTAATTTAAAGATCACGTTTCGATTGCTAGTTGTATGTTAACAAACATCGATAATCGAAAAGATTCGTAATCGATTTTACTCAACTCATATCTAGTGAATCGTCAAACTAATCTATCTTAAATAGACAATATAATGTCATAGGAACACAGTCCGTCTTTTTCATCTTTTCTTTGCCCTGAATATTTATAAATTATAAATTTTTGTGCGTTACGTGTACCTAAATTGATGAACCTTTGGTACGACGTTCTTAGGATGTCTGACAATGTTTGTACCCTACAGAAACCTAAAAAAAAAAAACCTTCATCAAGTTTCCTGAAAGCTAGCAATTTAAACAACGAAAAACCTATGATAGTCAAATTTTGACGTTATTCTGACATTACGAAGCCCAGTTTTAAAGTATAGACGAAGAAAGTTTCCGGTGGGCATAAGTGAAACTAAATTATGACAGTCCACTAGCGCCCCCCAGTCTGTCAAAAATATGCTACAAGATCCTCTTTGTATTATAGCTGTCTTTTATTTGTAACTAGCTGTCGCCCGCGACTCCGTTCGTGTGGATATATAAAAAACTTAATATATGGATAAGTTAAAAAAAAATTAATAAATAGTATCCTATGTCCGTCTCCTGGCTCTAAGCTACCTCCTCAATAATTTTCAGGCATATCGGTAAAGCCGTTCTTGAATTATAAATAGTGTAACTAACACCACTTTCTTTTATATATATATATATATATATATATATATATATATATATATATATATATAGATAGCATTTTCTGTGCCTAAGTAGGGTTTATATATTTTCACCCTTAACTTAGGGTAAGCTCCGAGCCCCTCGGTGGGGACGTATAGTCAGCTGATGATGATGATGAAGTAGGTTTTATATATTTTGTGACTTTCACCGGGTTAAGCGTCAATAGCCTAATGGTTAAGTGTACGGATTTCCGATCACGAGGTCGGGGTTTCGAATCCCGACATTCGACTATTGTAAACCATATCCTAGCACAAGCATAGAGCTTAGTTGGAATGGTAAAAGAAATATTAGTTAATTTACAAACTAATCTGCTAATATTTAAAAAAAAAAGAAAATATCTTTGTTTAACTATAGACAAGGATATCTGATCCGGTGGGCATAAGTCACACTAAATTACGACAGCTCACTAGCGCCCCTCTATATCAAATAATCTTAGGATATTTGTAATACTGTACCCTTTTATGTTTTTTTTTCTTTTTTTTTATGTAATTATCTATAAATATATATATTTCACGTATTTTGTGACAAAATTAATCGATAGTAGCGCCTCTTACCTCCCCAAATAAGCTTGTGAAACTGTACCATATCTTACTAATATAAATGCGAATGTTTATATGTATGTTAGTTAGAAATCTCCAGAACGGCTGTATGTATCTTGATGAAATTTGTCATAGATGTAGAACATAGTCTGAAAACACATAAGCTACTAAGTTTTTTTTAATCCGCGCGGACGGAGTTACGGGCGACTGCTAGTCTTACATACAGTGTGTCTCAGCAGCGCCCTCTTGGTAGTAATCTAGTACTGTGGTAGGTGTTGTCTTCTGCAGTCTGAAGGTCACCAGCTTGAGGGTAGACTTGGCATTTGGTGTACCAGCTCGAGGGAATCTGACGGTTAGAAAGAAAAATATCATCCAAACTTTAGCATTACTTTAGTACTGCTGAATTTAATTTAATTTTATCCCGAAATAAAAAAAGATTTTTGCAACGAAATAAAACTTTTTTAAATTGTTTTTTTTTTAATATTAAGCAAAAGGTAATTCGGGAGATTACTTGTTATAAAATGCCTTAGCTATATTGAACATACCTAAACTCTTCAACTTCACCGCTGACACTTTGTGATGAAGGGAAACTGAATATCTTCACCTCGCTCTCATCAACTTCCTCATAAACTATCCTGAATACATCATCTGCAAAGATATCCATACAATAAAATAAAAATAAAATACAGTTTATTAAAATAAAATACATACAAAAAATGTCAATTAAAAAAAACTGGCTCCTTTGGTGAGATTTTACAAAAATCAATGTATTCTACGAGTAAAAAAAACTCATAGTAAACATATGTAGCTTGTAAGTTTCTCGCTTATTACTAAGAGAAGTTTCTTAAAAAAAAATCTTATAAGAGTACACCTTGATGAACACCAAGGTGTTCATCAAGGCCCATGGACTTCTGCATGACCAGAGGACCCAGATTCCAGTCTTTGAGATGATATGCTTGCTTCTTGAAGGACCCTTGTCTTCCCAAATACAGTTTCAACTTGTTCAGGAGACAGAACTCGAGCAATTTTATTAAAAATGTTTTTTTTTTCTCAATAAAGATTTTTTTATGTGTTGTATGTACTCACCATTACATTTGGGCTGCCACCAGAAGCCTGTGTACCTTGAGAACTCCTCCTGAGTGACGTAACATGGTACACCAGCTTGTTTGGGGTCATCCGCTAATCTGATAATAAAAAATCTTTATTATTGCTTACTAAGTATTCAATGTTGCCTCGACTCCTGTAGTGAAACTGTATTTAAGGACCAAAGAACTCCAATCATCATCAGCACACTAAGTCCCTACTGAGGGTCACGGAGTCTACCCTAAGTTATGTGAGGTCATAGTGAATGCTGGTCCAGTGCGTCACTTCACACATATCTTTGACTTTCACAGATATGTGCAGCATCAAAATGTTTTCCTTCACACTAACAACATAGGATAAATACATATGTAAAAACACATTAGTATGGTGGGGTTCAAACCCAGGACCTGCTGACAAGTAAAGTGCTTTAACCCCTGAGCTACCGACGCTCTCTTCCCTTACATGAAATCACATAATTCTTTTGTAAATCAATAGATTTAATTAAATTATAAACAAACAATTAAAGAGTTTTATTTTCCTTTCCCGTGTCTTTGTTGTTTTAGCTGTGTGTATGTGTATGGAACATGCGTGTGAGTGTGCGTGTGTGTATGTGTAAACAAAGATATGATCTGGAACAATTTATGACAGTATTACTGGTGGCGCAGAGTTTAAACGCTTTATTTGTAACCTGTAGGAGTTCGATGTCAACTAAGTACAGTCAGCTGCATAAATGTACATTTATTTATCTTTAGAAACTTATCATATTAGAATGACTGTATGGATCTCACTGAAATTGGGCATACATATAGAACATAGTCTGGAAGATACGTAACGTAAGTTTTTAAGTACGCGCAGAATTGTAGGCAACAACTAATACATACATATTTATGAAGCTGACTGTACCAATGGTTTTTCCGATTTCATAATTTTATTCCAATCCCTAGATGGGTACGTATTGAAAATTTAATTCTCACTCACCTATCAGGCTCATGACCTTTACAAGCGTAAGTGAGACGTGTCGGTCTCTGTAGGCCTCCGCCCGCTAACCAGATGTCACCCCGGGCTGCGTGCGCTACGAGAGAAGGTGCGCGGGGGCACATCGCTGGTGTTAGGGCTGCGCCTCCGCCAGTGCTCAGCGAGCGTGGGACAAGTGGTGGTGACTGGAAGGATTGATTTTAAAATGGATTATAGAAAAAAAGTACTAAAAATGATTAAATATATTATAGTTATGGTTAAACTCTCTAATTTAATTCCTAACAGAAAAGAAAAACATTTTTCTATAAATAATATTAAGTGCCACCCCCTTGAAGAATAGATTTCTAAATTTTCTTTCACCAAAATTCACTTTTTTAAATTTTTTTTTAAATAAAATAGTAGCAGATTTTCGTAAATTTACTAATATTTCTTGTAACATTCCAACTAACCTCTATGCTTGTGCTAGGATATTGTTTACGACAATAGTCCAATGGCGGGATTCGAAACCCCGACCTTATGATCGGAAATCCGTACCCTTAACCATTAATTACTAGTATCGTTACTGGTAAATTTTAACTATAATACCCCAAAAACTCAATTTCATTTCCTGCCAACACACACCCCCAATATTTCTTCCGTGGACACCAGGGGGTCCTTAACAACTAAGCAATCACTGACAATTAGTTTACTTATTAATAATAAATATAATCCAAAATATGGAAAAAAACAGACAGTATAGTATTCATTGCGTTATATTTAGCTTGTTCACGTACCGACACGTGCTACCGGTCCAAAGGTCTGACATCGACTGACCCGCCCCTCTCTGGTACTTCTAACGTGTACGCTCGAGACAAACAACACTACATTTATGTCTGTAGTACAGGATAAAGAATTCTTTTACTATCCATGTAACATACCTGATTAGTTCCTTCTTCCGCTACAAACAAAGAAGATGCACAAGGAAAGAGTACACGGCCAGTCGGCTGATGTAATTCATAAGATGCAATACCCCAAGCAGCAACGCGCTGTCTCTCCCACAACAATTGTTCTTCCCGTGACCACTTGCCGGAAGTTACACCGAGCGCTATGTTTGACTCGATTAATGGCTTCCAATCTAATCTGAAAAGAAATATAAAGAATATAATTTCTTTATCAGTACAACTTTCCCTCTCTATTAACAGGCCCAAAGCGAGATCAAAAGATGTATTGGTAATGAGTGAGGGCCAAATCTCAGATGAAGATGTTGAAGATAGAAAAATGGAAGAGGCTGATTGGAGCTGACACAACCATCTTGTGGACAAGCTAAGCTGAGAGAGAGTACTACCGAATTACAGTAAGTAATAGTAATAGGGGCTACGTTTTCTGTAATGCTTCAACTAGCATGAATTTTGTGTGCCAGTATGGATCACTCCAGCCAACCTAGATCACCAAAGAACCCTAACAACTGTATGTTACTTTCTCTAGGAACTACAAACTCTTAGCTAGTGGCATGGAATGACTTACTAAACACACATATGTGCCATAGACAACTTTTTCCACTTTCCTATTCCTATGTTCGCTTTCCCATCTATTCCTTGTAAGAAAATGATAGGAAGATTACAATGACTAAAATAAGGCATGCACACCCATCAGATTAATAGATTTGCTGCCACTTTATGCCCTTCTGTGTGTGTCTAATAGGACAGGATATTTCTCGCTTATAGGGGTTCATTTATATCTTACTAATATTATAAATATGAATGTTTAGAAGGATGTTTGTTTGAAGGTATCTCCAGAACAGCTGAATGAATCTTTGTTAAATTTGGCATACATATAGAACATAGTTTGGAAGAACACAGGCTATTATTTATTTTTAATTCTGTGCGGACAGTCACAGGCTTCCACTAGTATATTAATAATATAATAAAATTTATTGGTAACATTTAAATTAAAGGTCATAAGAGTGCCATTTATAATTTTTTTTTATTATTAATCTTGTCTGTAGCATTGACCCAGAATATAAGAAATAGTTTAACAGAAAATTAAATAGTAATAGGCGAATTAAAAATAAATTACTGACAATTAAAGAGAATAATAGATCAATAATTAAATACTATTACTAGGACTGGCTTGAATACATCATTTAAAAAAAAATAACCATAAAGTTTAGAATTACTTTTAAAATAAGGTTGTGTTAAAACATGTTAATCAAATAAATAAATTGTCTCCGATTTTTCAGACTTATTTGAAATTTTTTTCTTTATATTAACTAGTTGTTGCTTGCCTCCCTCCGGACAGAATTAAAAAAAAACAGTAATTGAGATAAAACTATCCTATCTTCCAAAATGCAAATGCTTACAAAATCTATCATGAACATACATCTCCACACAAAAATCTTGCTTATCTTATTTCATACTAATATTATAAATGTGAATATTTGCATTAATGGATGGTTTGTTTCATGGTATCTTGAGAATGGCTGTAGGTGTAATCTACACCTATGTTAAATTTCAGCGAGTAGTCTGGAAAAATACATTGAAGTTTTTTTTTTAATTCTGCCCTGATGGAGTAGTGACACCTATAAGTAAAATATTTTTTTAATGCATTTAAAATTTTTAGCAGCAATTATTATGTGCAAAACTGTTAAATAAAAGAAATCTGAACACAATAGTGATAAAAGATTAGATACGAGATTGATAAGTTTATGAATGAAAAATTTACATTTTTTCTTCAATGACAATGGCAGAATACATCCAGGTTGTCATACAAAAAATGAAATAAAAAAAACCTAAGGTCTTAGGTTTTTTTTTATGGAGCGAAAAAATTTCCAATACCAACCTGGTGTTATTGGGTTGTGAAGAATGGGTGATATCAGTATATAGAAGAGTAATTTCCCAGCCGTTGTGAGGAGTTCTCAAAAAATACACTCTTGTTTTGCCATTACTTAATTTTCGAAAGGAGATCGCCATGGGCACCATGGTTGACAGCGAAGACAACTCTTTTCTTAGATCATGGACGGCCTGTCGGACTTCCGCCCAGCTGTATCTTTTCGAAGGCACCTGTTCAAATTCACCAGCCGCAGCCCCATCTCCTGCCTCCCTCACCTCCATTTTCAAAATATCCATACAAATTTTTTAACTATTTCAGGCTAATTCTCATGGCGATCCAATAGACGTTTGACAAAGAAACTTTACGGTTTAACTATATTGCCTAGATTTATTTATATATTTCAACTAATTTCATGACTCTTTGTTTGATGTAGGTCTCATTATAATGTATAATTACGTGATAATATGAATATTTGCCTAAATCGAGCCAACACACAGTTTTTTGACTTTTCTTTCTTATTTGCACAGATGAAAAAGACGTACGCCCGTCAGGCACAGATTAACCATATGAGGAAGCTGTCAAAAAACAGCTGTCTTTATAGGAATAATGACAGATGATTTAATTTCTTTTATGTTTTTAAATTCCTTACATAATACAACTCAAATCATTAAATTTTCACTTTAAGCTATCTAAAACCGTTACGAAATGTGTTATGGTGGCCCTGCTTACCTTTGCGTACAAGGCAAGCTTCCAGTATATTAATGACATGCAATCAGGGGAAGAAAATGATGAAGTGTTAATACAGTACATGAGTGCAGGATTTAAGTGGCGGCAATGTCTTTGCTTTGATTTTTATTCTGACAATTTTTGGCATTCTACTGTAATCTAAATAGTGCGCTACGCATTTTTTAGTTTTCTACCGGATGTGATACATTAATGTCATCTTTACCTACTCACCTGCCATAGACGCCGTAGTTCCGGCAACAATTGCCGCCGAACTGTCAAACGTTAGAAACATGTCGATGTATAAGTAAATATACGTTGCGCTTGCATGTTTTCTACGTTTAATCTCAGCGTCGCTTAAAAAATGGCACCAGTATCTAAAGTGTTGCGGACTTGTGGCTTATTATTTTATTTAATTTTAAAAGTGTACAGTGAAGAGGCCAGTGTAGGAAATCCATGGATAATTAATTTAGAAGTGGAGAGTAAACAATGTTTAGATTCGATCTGTAATTATTTATTGCACGTGCGCGGTGTTCAGTTCCTCGGTCATTATTCTTGGAGATTAACTCCTGGTGCAGCTTCTGTGGGCAGTGATTGTGGTGAATTATATCCTAATTATGAAATAAAACACATCGAGACGAGCGAAAAGGATACGCGCTTGGAAATAGTTGTGCCAAATTTAAATGGAAAAATATATTTCTGTTTACAAGATCCACAGAAAAAAAATGTTCATTCGAGATGGAAATACATCCACCAAGGTGCTAAATTGTTTTTAGATCCGAAAAACGATGTAGTAGCGCCCAAGGATGAAAGGAACACGTAAGTAAAATAAATAATAAAAGTTAACATGTGTCTGTGTTTATCTATTGTCTATCGCCGTAAATATTGATTTTGAATACGTATGTAAGAATCCTCTTACACGAATGTTCATTTTTCTTGAAAATTACATTAATATCAATTCTTCAAGATTTTTTTTTATTTGGCTAACTAACTACAGTCGAACTTACATAAGGGAGTGTCCAGTCCTGTAATGACTGATTTATATAATAGTACAAAACAATTATCTTTAAGTGAAAAGTACTAAAATAACATTTGAAAATAACAACTTTGTGAATACACATAGTAATGCAATCTGCACATATCCGTGAAGAATTGTCAAAGATATGTGTGAAGTGACACACTTGACCAACATTGACTATAACCTATTCATATAACTTAGGGTAGGCTCCGAGACCCTCAGTGGAGATGTATAGTGAGATGATGGTGACACACACTGATTAAGCCAATGTAATGTACTCAAGAAGCTAAAGTACAGAATGCTTGAAGTAAAATTATGATTGCTCTGACCACCTGAAGTAATATTTAGTAATAACATATTGATAGTTTAGTTCACTCTTTCCTAAAGTGGGCGATAATGCCCCCTTGTGGGCGCTGCAGGTCTCAAGTTGCGGGTTTTAGTAAAAGTTTTCTTTAGAATTCTCCGTTAATATACATATATAGGTCACAGTAATTAATTAATTAAATTTGAAGTTATAGTAGTTTTTAAATATGTGAAAATATGGGGGCGATAAAAAAATATTTATTCTCAAAGTGGGCAGTAGACAAAATAAGTTTGGGAACCACTGGTTCAGTCGATATAAACTCATGTTATTATAGAATAGGTGAACATTAATAAGCCCGAGACTGATACACCAGACAAATAGTTTTCATGTCTAACAGAGCTCTAATGCATTTTTCCACATATTAAAACACACACACAATAAGCAATCACTGTTATAAATAGAATAATGTGTAATGTTTATAAAGTCATAAAACTGAAGTAAATTATGTCATGGTCATAATTTTTTTCTTTTTTAAAAACAAAAGCAACTAGAGATTATGCCAAGCTAGCTTTTGTATGCATTCTCTCCGCTGTTCCTCATCATCAGCTCACTATTCGTCCCCACTGAGGGGCTCGGAGTGGGGGCGGGTTGGTTAACTTCACACATTTCTTTGAATTACTTCTCAGATATGTGCAGTTTGCATCACGATGTTTTCCTTCACCGTAAGAACGTCGGATAAATGTACATATGTAAATTGGAAATGGAAAAACACATTGGTACATGGCAGGATTCGAACCCAGAACCTGTAGATTGCAAGTCATGTGCTTAACCCCTGAGCCACCGACGCTCCTTTTGTTCGCGCTGTTCTTGCTCGAAATGAATTACATTCATGAAAGTAACTAAAGAATATGAAGATTCTGTATTGAGACATTTCTAGAACATTCTTTGATAAGGGTGTTCTTATGTAAAAATTAGTGTTATGTAGTTATTTAGTGAAGATGTTAAATATCTAATCTACACTAAGTGTCTATTTAAATGACCATTTAACTATTTTATTGATAAGAGACATGCCAGGTAAAGATAGGGGTATCTTAGGGGGCTCCATACCTCCCCTTGTATATTCTAGTGCTCCTTTGGTGCCCTGGGCGGTACTGGACTTCCCTAACGACGCTATTGGATATGCGTATACGCACCTGAAAGTTGTAAAAACCATTCGTTTGAAAGTATCACACGAAAAATCTTAATGGCATTGAACATAAAGATAATACGTACAGGCCCGTGTCTGGGGAACCTTGGTAGGGTACTCAAATAGATACAGTTACGTATAAACTTCCGATGATAAAATATGAAACGCTCGTTAAAAACTGAAGGTCTATCGGGCGCCGACACTTTTAGACGTAGTTATATATAGAATGTTTGTTTGACGATATATTTGCCCTACTAATGGTTATATAGTTAAAACGTATATAAAAATGCCTTAAACACTATCGTATGTTCATCCGGTGAATTTATCAGGGTGAGTGGGACTGGTATTATTTCGTAGAGAGAGCGAAGGGCTGCGTAATACCGTCGCTCACCCCGATGAATTGCCCCCGATGGACTCGAAACAAGTCGGTGTCGCCACCGGACGTATATACGTGAATGTTTTAGCCGTTTTTTCATTATCTTTGACAAAAGAGAGATAAAATATGTTTTAAAAGGGGATTTCGGACTCCACGGTGAGCTATTTCATAACGACTGAACCGATAATGAAAAGATATTTGATTGCTAAAAACATCTATACATATTAATAAAATTGAATTGTCTGAATGTAATGCTGAAAAAAATGTGTCGTATATACGTAGGTAATAAAGAATAATATTTAAAATTTTTGGCTTTATTCTGTCTGCAAGGCAGCATTTTCTGCGAGGTAATGTACGGAAAGTCCCACAAAACCCACATTGGGCCAGCGTGGTTAGCTATGGCCCAATCACCCTTAACTTAGGGTAGGCTCCGAACCCTCATTGGGGACGTACGAGCCGATGATGAATGTCCGGAAGTGGCTGATGCACCTGGAAATATTATAGGCTATTTAAATTTTGTGACGACAGTTTTATGCCAATATTTCATATCCTATTTGTTGTAACAGAGAAATATAAGCGATCCAAAGCCCTTTGGGCCTCTCTGGGAATTACGTAACCTTAATGACTTACTGGAGACCCAAAATACCACTGACACAAATCCCCAACTACAGAATGACGTACGCCTGGCATTGACCCAGGTTTGAAACGACAAACACTGAATGAAAATTATAATTTTACACACATTACTCTAGTGTTTATCAAATACGTTGAAAATGAGGTGACAATGAATAAAAAAATGTCGGCAATGATAACTCTTATACGCTGTATTAATTCAAATCGGGTAGATTCGACTGGTGGAATACTACTACCATACAGAAGATACGACCATACGTCCACACGTCAAGCGGAAGCAACTCCGAGTACAGTGTTTGTACATGCCAGAGGCCTAGTTTTAATCCACGTTGTGTGGATATGGCCGAGGAGGGAACATCTTAGGTCTAAGCGTCGTTTTTCCGTCGGTTTGAAGCAGTCTTTCCCAAAGTGGGCGATAACCCCCCCTTGTGGGCGATGCAGGTCTCAAGTTGCGGGTTATAGTAAAAGTATCGTTTAGAATTCTCCGTTAATATACATATATAGGTCACAATAATTAATTAATTTGAAGTTACAGTGGTTTATAAATATGTGAAATTATGGGGGCGCTATAAAAATATTTATTCTCAAAGTGGGCAGTAGACAAAATAAGTTTGGGAACCAATGGCTTTAAAGTAATGCATCTGTAATTGCGTATGTCTATAGGCAGTCGCTTCATCATATCACCAAATTCAGATGGCCACAAAAACTTTTTTTTTTATATCAAAAGGCGGCAAACGAGCGAGCGGCCACCTGAAATCGAAAAAAAAAGTGACCGTTTCCCATAGACATACGCAATTGCATATGCGTTACCTACCTTAAATCGACGGAGGAGAGGATGCACAGAAAGAAAATATCTTCCCTTTCCATGCATCCTCTCATCCGGAAAGTCCACTTCCACTTCCCATCCTTTCCTTATAAGAAAAAGGGTGGGAAGGGAAAGAGGACTAAATTAGGCCTCCGGGACGCACACTTATCAGACTGCACGCGGAATTGCTTCCACTTGACGCCTGTCTTCTGTGTGGTCGTGGTATTTCACCGGACGAGCCGGGCCGATTCGTGTGAAGATGTTAAATCGGGCTCTACCACTGTTGTCTAACTACGTGTCGAGTCATCGGTTGGAACTTCTCTGACTCCTAAAGTCTATTGGTCCTGATTATCTTTGGCATTTGTCCCAATGTTTATTATTTATATAGCAATATTGATATAAAGACGCCGTCTGGTGAATCTGGCAAATTGTCAACTGGGTAACAAATATATAAACTCTTTGGTGATAAAATTAAAAATAAATTTAGCGGTCCAATAATATCCAGAAATGCATTATTGTCTTAACGAGAGGAGACGAAGATATGTTAGATGTTTTGAGCAGAATTAAGTAGTTTATAATATGCTCGCGTGCATCAGCTACCTTCCAGTCCAGGTTCCGTTAGAATCAGATTTGCCGTTTTGGAGATTATCCTTAACAAATCCGACCTTACAGACAGAAATTATAAAAATTGTTTTTTCGTTATTAGTTACGCAATCATTTAATAATATTATAAATGCGAATGTTTAGACGGATGTTTGTTTTGGGCACACATGTAGAATATAGTCTGGAAGTACACAGACGGAGTTGCGGGCGACAGCCAGTGCATCATATATACGTTTTTTTTTTAGTATTACATATAGACACTCCAATTTTATTTTATTTTTTGATATCAATTAACTTTCGTAACTTGACATCTATCTGTTATATACCTTCAAAGAATTGACTCAAATATATATGTATTTTCAACATTAATCGAGTCGTTTTGAAATAGCAATATTTTTATCTCTGTTTTGTCAAAGATAATGACAGGGATGACGATATGTTTTATATTCAAATTTTGATATTAGAAACCATTAGTCAGTCATTTATTATGCTCACGGTTATATACCGAGTTATATATAATTTGTAATCTTTACATAATGCTGGGTTACACGACGTATATAGGTTAAGTGGTATAGAAGGTTAACATCACCAGGGGTGGTCAACCGGTCGATCGCGAATTAGTTCAGTCGTAGCGAGGAAAATAATACGTGAAACATGACGTAATGGAAAATATTCAAACGTAATGTTCACAGTAATAGGTTTACTATAATAAGAATAAATGTCCGTATGATATCACTTTTAATTAAAAAAAAAACTTACTAATATTATAAATATTTAGATGGATACATGTTTGTTAGAAGGTATCTGCAAAACTCTTCAATGGATCTCGATAATATTTGGCATAGATGTAGAATATAGTCTGTAGGAACATAGTCAGGAATAGAGTTGCCGGACCAGCCAGTTTGGCCGGACATTTGGTAGAAAGACCGGACACTACGTTATTGACGATTTCGTTTTAGTATTAATAGGTACGACAAAAAATTGTATGTAAGTCACTCGTTTGCGATATGTAAAAAGTCTAACAGAAGCCGGACCACCCGGACATCGTTTCTTTTGGCCGGACAAGCAATCAAAAATCGTATCTAAGTCCAGCTTTATCCGGACGCATGGCAACGCAAGTCAGGAATATAGTTTGAAGGTTACTAAGTTTTTTTAGCTAGTTTTTTTTTAATATTAGCAGATTTTGTTTGTAAATTTACTAATATTTCTTGTACCAATCCAACTAAGCTCTAGCCTTGTGCTAGGATATGGTTTACAATAGTCGAATAGTGGGATTCGAACTCCCGACCTCGTGATCGGAAATTCGTACCCTTAACCATTAGGCTATTGACGTTTAGAAATTGTATTGATAATTCACTTTTTAGGGCTCCGTACCTCGAAAGGAAAAAAACGGAACCATTATAGGATCACTTTGTCGGACCGTCTGTCTGTCAAGACCTAGACCTATACCTTTTATAAATAGATTGTTTACCATTCTCAGTGTGTACACAGCTTTACATTCCAAGCAAGGTCGATGGAAATAGAGAGCACATTCCACGATCAATCATTTTATAATTGCGGAAGTAATTTTATTACGTTTTTCACTATGAGTTAGCGTTCAGGAACGATACGAATATTTTTATTGCAAATAAAATTGAACTTTATACGATTGTAAGAAGGTTTAATTTTACTTTTCATGTCTTTGGTTTGGTCTTGATAAAAAAGTGCAAGCTCGATTTACGATATAACTCTGTTCTCCGCCATAGTCTGAATGGACCCTTATGAATATGCGATGACGTCATAGGATAGATTTTATGTCCGTCAGATGTGTTTCATACTTTTTTATGTAGATTACTTTGCTGTCTATTTGAATCTTATATTTTACAATCCAAAGTAAAAACCCGCAAAAAAAACTGCTTAAACTCTGGATAAAAAAAATCTGTTTGTCCGTTGTTTTTTTGTATTTTATTACTAATGTCCTATATACAGGGGTGATAAATCTTTGGCAAGCGTGATGTGTCACACAAGCACAACTAAAAATTGTGATTGCGAACGCAAGTGAATGCTACAGGATGTTCCAATAATCACAAAGTCAAAATTATTTGATGGCAAGTTTTTTACACGAGTTAATTCCCCCATGACCATTTTACCACCGGACGTTCAGGCATACGGCGGGAATCCATCCTTTTGTGGTAGAGGTACCGCGCGTTCGAACTAAGCTATTCGAAGCATCGTTCCTTGTGCGTACCGCAAAGGATTGGAACAAGTTGCCAGCCTCTGTTTTTCCGTCCAAATATGATATTGGGACCTTCAAAAGTAGAGTGAATAGGCACTTACTAAGCTAGCGCGTACCATCTTTCGACCAAGTCTCCACTTCACCAGGTGGGATCGTGGTCAAGCGCTGGCTTATAAAACGTAAAAAAAAAAAAGTTGATAAAAGGTTTGCCATCCCTGCAATGCAATAAGTTTGATATATTTTTTAATTCCATATCTCCTTCGTGGATAATAAAAAGAAAAGATTTGTATGTTTCCATTGAATAGGCTCCGAAACTATTGAACTGATTTGATAAATTCTTATACTGTTTGGAAGCTACGCTATCCCCTGGTGATATAGGTTATATTTATTACATGATATTTTTAATTTTACGCGTACAATGTCGCGTGCAACTGCTAGTGTTTATGCAACGTCTTATGTATTTTATATCTATACATAAAACGCTTTATCTTTTACATGAGTTTAATCTGTTTGGATCATTCATATTTTGTGAATGCTTGTTACAATTTAGGGTTGCCACTCGTATTATTACATTCATATATTTCCCGAATTTATCATTCATTGAAAAAATACATAAAGACATCCTTTGTTATCATCAGCTCACTAAGTCCACACTGAGGGTTTAGTAGCCTACCCTAAGTTAGGTCACTATGCCATAGTGACAAACTGACCCAGTGCGGGTTGACTTCACACATATATTTGAAATTCTTCGCAAATATGGTACAGTATCACGATGTTTTCTTTCACCGTAAGAACGTCGGATATATGTAAATGTTCTAGATAAATAATCTTAGCCATCGGCTCTGGTCTTCAAGCTAGGAGTGAACGAGGGCGATGTCATGTCGCCTATAAAAAGCCACAGCTAAATTTTTCAATTGTCTTACAGAACAAATGAAAAACAAAAGGATTCGATTCATGAAATTTCCGAAAACTCGACAAATTGGGTTGATCTATCACACGATATAGATGTCAATTATCTGCCAAATACACAACGACAACGAAAAGAGAGAGACGATGTTGAAGTACTAATGAATGATAATTACATCCCACTGAACGATATAGACCAAGATCCAGCTAAAATAGAAACATTCGACCCACACGAATTTGAATTTGATGATCCGTTTAATACTAGAATTAAAACAAAACCCAACGGAAGATATAGATATAGACGAGAAATTATAAACAGAGAGAATAAAGATAGCTTTGAAGAGATAAAGACTGCTGATGATATTATAGGTCCTTTCGATGATAAAATAGATGATAAGATTAAACATGATGATGGAAATGGACAGCAGAGGAGACAGACAAGTTCTAGGGTGCCGTTTTTTACAACTGTCAAAGCTGATCCTGTCCCAATAGTTGTTGAGGGGTTAAGAATTGAAAGGTCTGATAAGGAACCCATTATTATAGATGAAGGTATACCGAGCGTGCTTGCAGGGAGTGGATTTACATTAAGGTATGCATAACCATTTTACTCGATTAATCAAATTAAAAAATAAATTGTTATCTCTGTTATGTTAAAGATAATAAGAGGGATGAAGATATGTTTAATATAGAGATTTTTCTCTTAGAAATGAACTTCGTATATTCAATTTATAAATAGGTTCTTGTTTTATTGCGCTTTTCCTAGACCTAACAGCTTAATCGATTTTTTTACAGATTTTTGTTTGATTCCTTGTGGTATTTTCTAGTCAGAGATATCATTCGATTCGTATTCTTCTGCAGTTTTATGGATAAATCGATTAATGAATTCTTGTTGTTATTTAATAGTTAATTTCATTAATTGTCTGTATCTTTTGTCTTTAGACTTTTTGGTCAAGGTCTGACTCGAAGGACCGTAATAGCCTTTACTCACGATCCCATGGATTATGGTCAGCCGTGCAAGTTTTTAGTTAAAGGAGAGTATATGGTATGTATAAACAGTGTTTTTAAAACTATTAACTTCATAACTGTCATATCTTAAGTGTCGGGTAAAAGATTTTGGACGAACGTAAAGTTTGACAGAAATTTCTTTTATACATCGATTTAGTATTGTCATAATTCCAATACAAATTTATTATTCCTATCAATCCATCAATATAGTGTGTCTATTTAAGATATATTAGTTTGATAATGAACTTGACAATTCACTAGAGATGGGTTAAGTAAAATCGATTAATATTTTTATCGATTTTCGATGGTTGTTCTCATAGGACTTGCAATCGAAAATTTCGTGATTATTGTTTTTGAATTTCATTATAAATTAAATTGTTTCTTTCTATGCCTTCGTTATCTTTCATAAGCATATAATAAAATAAAACCTTAAACCCAAAATTGTTTTGTTGACAAACAAAAAAGAAATGCATTTAATTTTTTTTAATTAATTATGCGATACATAGCCAAATAACTGCAATAAATAGAAAAAGTTATATAGTACCCATTTGTTCCATTAATCTTATAACAATATCGATTCTCGATAGTTCACAGTTATTCGTTATGCTCGATGGTTCGACACTATGACAACCGTCCATTAAGTACAACATTAATCATCATACAAAATTAATTCTATACTTTATCGGCGTCAGTTGTAAAACTAACCCATATTAAATAGACACACTATAATAGGTTGTTGTTAAAATTATAGACGTAATAAAAATTAAAACTTTTTTTTTAGGTCTATGGTTAGAATAATGTTTGTGGCCAGTGTTATATATTTTTTTTATTTTGCAATAATTTTCAGGTCAAAGAAGACTCTTTGTTCCCACACACAGCACTCTTCGAATTAACCGCCCCACAACCAATAAACGGTCCGAAATTATACGTTTGTGCGAAGAATTTAAAATTCGGTGCAAGAAGTCCTGATGAAGACGAAGATAAATATGTACATATGGGTTTCGATACATGGACAATGTTGGCGACGCATAACAATTTGTTACCGTTATGGGCAACATTGACTCTTATAGTTATATGTTTGGGATTCTCAGCTTTATTCTCCGGTTTAAATTTAGGTTTGATGTCTTTAGATAGAACGGAATTAAAGATAATTTCAAATACAGGGACAGATAAGGAGAGGAAATGCTCTAGGGCTATTATGCCGGTTAGAGATCATGGGAATTATTTGCTCTGTAGTATACTTTTAGGTAACGTGGCGGTTAATTCAACGTTTACGATACTCCTTGATGGTTTGACTTCTGGTCTATTTGCTGTGATATTATCAACACTTGCTATTGTATTATTGGGTGAGATAACTCCTCAGGCGATTTGTTCGAGACATGGATTGATGATTGGTGCAAAGACAATTATGGTTACTAAGGTAAGTTACTTAGCTGACTCTGAGCTTAGGGAACGTACTCATACTACGTGACCCGTCCTTGGTCGCGGACGAGTGCGAAAGCGTGCCCGTGGCCCCGTCCCGATGCGTTAGAGGAACAGAGAGGTTTAGTGGGTATGCCTCCGTTATGGTGGAGAATCCCACATAACTACCGCGTCCACACCACATAATTTAAGTATGCATGCAGTCTTATGCTAAAAGACGATTATGAGCCAAAAAATTAAATTGGCCAAAATTATTAAAAATCATAATTATGAATTACTACGTAAAAACTGAAGGGGGGCGGGTCTTGGCATGTACTACGAGTGGTCAGCGGGAGGAGAGAGGGGTCGAAAAAAAAAAATAGGTCACGTAGTATGGGTATGTTCCCTTACAGCAGTGGTTACCAAACTTATTTTGTCTACTGCCAACTTTGAGAATAAATATTTTTTTAGCGCCCCCGTATTAGTTTAAGCAATCTTTTAATTATATTAGTTGATGTTCACAAGTTGTTGAGAGTCGAGAGCTCATGCAGTTGTTGTCTAAGAGGCCTCCTAGCTAAATAAAATTACAAATCACCTCCCAGGCCTACACAACGCCCCCATTTTCTTTCTGGGTCTCTTACCTCCCTCCCTTGAGTCCCTTGAGACTTGCAGCGCCCACAAGGGGGCGTTATCGCCCACTTTGGAAGAGTCTGCCTTACAGTATGGACGTGTAGTAATCTATACATTATAAACTGATAATTTATGTTTTTTTACTAACCTTTATCTTCTGTAATTTTTGTTTTTCAAGTTTGACAAAACAGAGATATGTTTTGAATATAGATTTTGGTCTCAGAAAACCACAGTTAGTTTATATAAATATTACGATTCGATAAAAAAGCAGTTATCAGTTCATATTTTATTTATTTACAAGCTGTCAACCACGACTCCGTCCGCGCTGATTTAAAAACTTAATAAGTAGCCAATGTGTTCTTCCAGACTATGCTCTACATCTATGTCAAATTATAGCGATATCTATGCAGCCATTTAAGAGATATCTTCAAACATACATCTAAACATTCGCATTTATAATATTACGAGTAGTAAGATTTATTAAAGGGAGATAAGAGATTTAAAAAAAAGTTTAGTAAGAATATTAACAAAATAAGGTTTCGTAATAATTTTTAAAACTTAATAGCATAATGTTTTTTCCAGGCGGTGATGGCTCTTACCGCCCCCATGGCGTATCCTGTCAGCAAGCTCCTAGACTATTTCCTAGGTGAAGAGATAGGCAGCGTTTATAACCGAGAACGTTTGAAAGAACTTGTTAAGGTAAGATAATAAACACACTTTTGCTACACAAGCTGTTGCCCGCGACTTCGTCTGAAAATAATTAAAAATTACTTATCCTTTATAGGTAGATTCTAATCTACATTTAATCCTAATTTCATTTAGATCCGTTTAGAAGTTACGACTTAGGGTCCTTCAAGAAAAGAGCGTACTCCCTTAAAGGCAGGTAACGCATCTGCGGTACCTCTGGCATCGGATCAAATAATTTTAGGCGATTCGTTGCTCGTTCGCCCCCTTCTCCTATAAAAAAAAAGTTCTAGAATTATACAGTGATGAAAATACATACATCCATCCAAATTTGTATAAATGTGTATATATTATTTTTAACATACCGTCAGCTAAGCTAAAGGTACCAATCCTCATCAGCTCACTATACATTACAAAAGACTTGATACCGCATTTATCAGAGTAAATTCTTCTGAACGAGATTCAACAATTTAAAAGATATGTGTGAAGTGATGCACTGGACCAGCATTCATTATGACATAGTCACATCACTTAGGGTAACGAGACCCTCAGTGGGGACTTATAGTGAACTGATGATGATGAAAACTGTTTGAAAATTGGTTTTATTTTATTTTAATTACAGTAAATTTGACTGCAGTAACACTTCTTTTATATATTGTTGTCTCCATTATATTAATAAGAATGAAAGAGATAGCTATATGTAATATATATGCTATTAAATCAGACACCCTAAAGTAATTCGATGCCAAAAATCACACCTGTGTAGTATCACAATGTATGAAATATTGCTTATTGTATTTTAAATAGCATCTTTGCCAATAGAATTGCCAGTATTTTTACTTAATAATGATAACTAGCTGTCGCCTGCGACTCCGTTCGTATGGGACCAAATAATAGGAGCCGATTCTCAGTACTGAATATGCATATATGAATCAAGCGTCAATAGCCTAATGGTTAAGGGTACGGATTACCGATCACGAGGTCGGGAGTTCGAATCCCACTATTCGACTATTGTAAACCATATCCTAGCACAAGATTAGAGCTTAGTTGGAATGGTAAAAGTAATATTAGTAAATGTACAAAAAAACTGCTAATATTAAAAAAAAATCATAAAAATAGGTTAAGCCATTTCGGTATGATCGCTAGCATTGTGTCACGTGAATTTTATATGTTAAATAATAAATACTTAATATTTAATATGGTCCTTCGAGTTGGGATAAAAAATATATTTTATTTATCTGAACAACTTGTTTGATTGGATTTTATTTATTTTTCTATGTATGTTTATTAATATTATTTATCTCTGTCTCACATGGATGGTTAGCATATGGTAAGTAGATATATTTCTTAACCACGTGTAATGCATGCTGGGATGCTAGACGTTTTGTCGGGTCGATTTGACCCCCGGTAGGTCGATTTGACCTTTTGGGGGGTCGTTTCGACACCCTGCGTCCGATCTTTTCCAAATTCTTTGTATGCATCCGTGAGACGAATTGGCATTTAAAAAAGGTTTATTGTTGTTTTTAGGGTGTAAGGGGTAGATTTGGATAATGTAATCCAAACAAATAATATATTTTAACGAATTGTTTTTACAGTTTTTTTTTTTAATTTCTTCAATAATAGTGGACAGTTACATATAGAAAAACATATAACAAACTGTAATATGAACATCGAAATATATATATAAAATTATGTATATTTGACATATTCTATTTATTTTGTAAAAGTATACAACTATATTATTTAAATTAGAATAAGGCTGAGCGCATTGTACTATAATACAAATGGATATTTGCGATTTACTATAATCCCATTTATTAAAAAAAAACTAATATCTCTTGAGACTTCAAATATAAAGTCTTCATAAATTATTGTGTTATTCCGACTGTAACTGTAAGAAAGTACCCGACCTATTTACCCCTTACATCCTCTGTAATAAAAAATAATCAAATAACGTACTATATTCTTTCTCCCAAAGGTAACAACTGATGTCAACGACCTTGATAAAGATGAAGTGAACATCATCTCTGGTGCTCTGGAATTACGCAAGAAGACCGTCTCCGATGTGATGACGAAGCTAGAAGACGCGTTCATGCTGCCCATCACATCGATTCTGGACTTTGAGACTATGTCGGAGATTATTAAATCAGGTTAGTCTCACGGTCTACTAGGTTTACTTACGGTCTACTAGGTCTCTTCGTTTTCTACTCAGTTTACAAACGATTTATAGAATCTACTGAAAGCCTATTCAGTTTGCTCACGGTCTACTAACGGTCTACTCAGTACACTCGACGTTCTCGCTCCCAAACTCATAATTTATGCGTTCTGTTGACCAGAGAGCGAGAGTTAACAAGAGCGCCGGTGGGTCAGGGGATGACCACTTGATTTGTAATCTTCAGGTCCTGGGTTCGAATCCCGCCATGAACCAATGTGTTTTACATATGTACATTTATCCTATATTATTAGTGTGAAGGAAAACATGTTGATGCTGCACGTATCTGTGAATGTCAAAGATATGTGTGAAGTGATGCACTGGACCAGCACTCACTATCACCTAGACGTATCACTTAGGGTAGATTCGGAGACCCTCAGTGAGCTGATGAATTTAGCAAGAATACTTATCTTCACCAGGTTACTCGCGTATTCCGGTATACGAAGGTAGCAGGGTCAATGTTATTACGGTCCTGTTCATCAAAGACCTGGCATTCGTGGACCCTGATGACAACACGCCGTTGAAGACCCTCTGCCAATATTATCAGAACCCTTGCAATTTTGTCTTTGAAGATGTCACCCTGGATGTCATGTTTAAACAATTCAAAGAAGGTAAAGTCAGCAAACCAACCATGCTTATAAGTTATTCGCAATAAAAGTGGGTTATTATTATATAATAATTCACATTTGATACTTCGTCAAGATCCAACAACTTAATTTTATAATATAATTTTTTTTTTAAGTTAGAACTGCAATTTCTTAGATTTTTTAGTAATGAGTATTTGTCGCCCGCGACTCCTTCCGCTCGGAATTTAAAAAAAAACATAATTAGTAGTCTATGTGTTCTTCCAGGCTATGTTCTATATGTATGTCAAATTCCATCAAGATCCATGCAGCCGTTCTGGAGATACATTCTAACGAACATACATCTAAACTTTCGCATTTATAATATTATAGTAAGATTTCAAATCAACAATGTTGTGCAGGGTTTTTTCTATTTAAACATTAGTTTTTTTCATATATATTTGAAATATGAATCGATTTAACATAAATCGATGTTTAGCTCAACTCGTTAAGCTTAAAATTATTAGTAACTTAAAGTTTAATAAGTATTTTTGTTATTCAGGTCATAAGGGACATATGGCATTCGTTCATCGTATCAACAATGAAGGGGAAGGAGATCCTTTCTACGAGACGATTGGTCTTGTCACATTGGAAGATGTCATCGAGGAGATGATCCAAGCTGAGATTGTCGATGAAACTGATGTTTTCAGTAAGTATCCGGCTTGAAGGACTTTGTATACTAGGCTTATATTAGAAATGGTAGAGCCCACTTTAACATGTTCGAAGGAATAGTCCCGACTCGTCCAGTGATATACCACGACCATACAGAAGACGTGCAGTCTGATGAGTGTGCGTCCCGGAGGACTAATTTACTCCTCTTTCCCTTCCCACCCTTTTTCTTATAAGTAAAGGATGGGAAGTGGAAGTGTACTTTCCGGATGATTTTCTTTTTGTGCATCCTCTCCTCCGTCGATTAAAATTAGGCAACGCATATGCAATTGTGTATTATGCTACAAATTATTTTTTCAATACATATTTAAACGTTAAAGGTCGCCTGAGACTTGGTTAGTGCAGAATATGGCTGCCTGCATCAGTTACCTTCCAGTCAAAGTCTCGACTAAATCGGTCCAGCCGTTTCTGATATTATCCGGAACAAACACGACCTTACAGACAGACAGACAGACGAGAATTTTAAAATTAATTATTCATTATCAGCAACGCAATAATGTTTGTGTAAATATAGCGTAATAAATTAAAAATATCCAGTCTCGAAGGACCATCTTTATATATATAATTCTTCTGTGAGTGTGTATGTCACTGAACTTCTCTCAAACGACTGGAGCGATTTTGATGAAATTTTTTGTGTGTGTTCAAGGGGATCTGGGAATGGTTTAGATTCACAATTTTCATCAAATATTAACTTCATATTAATTTATTCAAATTAAAGACGTGTAGACAGGACAACGTCTGTCGGGTCCGCTAGTTTTTATATAAATATTTCAGTGGACAACCGCACGAAGCGTCGTCGCAACCGACCTCAGAACAAGCTACAGGATTTCGCAGCATTCGCTGAGAGACACGAGAACCAACGTATACACATCTCTCCGCAGCTAACCCTCGCAACATTCCAGTTTCTGAGCACCAGTCAGTATATCTCATTCACACATATGATACACTAGCAGGAAAGACAGGGATAAATATATATGACAAAGAACCAACGCATAACTTACTCTCGCTTACATTTTAGCTTTTGAGCACCAGTCAGTATATCTTATTCACTCACACATATTATACACTGGCAGGAAAGACAGATATAGATATAACAACTACAAGAACCAACTAATAATCTCACTAATCCGGTACTATTAAAAAATGGACGGTGCCGGATTATTGGAATGTTCGGATTACTGCATTACAGTGCAAAAGTCAAAAGTAATGAAAATTTTATTATTCAAATCTCTTTGATTGTGTTTGCGTTTTTTTAAATATTTAAATTTAAACTATTCTCAGTAGAAAAAAAAGTTTTGAGGTTAGACCGATGAGCAAAGGTATAGTGGGAGGAAGGAGGGTGCCGGATTAGTGAGATACTGCAGTACAGGATGTTCTTTTTTAAAATTAATATTTATTTTATAAATATTAATTCTAGGTGTAGACGCATTCCGACCTGACACAGTATCGGAGACGGTGTTACGTCGCTTACTAAAACAAGATGTGATTCAACATATTAAAGTGAAGAATAAAAGCAAACGGGACGCCTGTACTTACGTCTTCCAGCAAGGGAAACCGGTAAGTATAAAAAAACACTGACATTGAATAGACTGGCTATAAGATGTAGTTCTTGTGCTTATTTGTAACATACAAATTAATATTATAGATAGAAAACTGTCACTAACATCATCATCACCTCACTATAGTTCCCCACTGAGAGGCTCGGAGCCTACCCTAAGTTATGTGACTAGGTCATAGTCAATCACGCTGGCCAAGTGCGGGTTGACTTCACACATATCTTTGAATTTCTTCTCAGATATGTGCAGCATCACGATGTTTTCCTTCACCGTAAGAACATCGGATAAATGTACATATGTAAATCGGAAATGGAAAAACACATTGGTTTAGATGGGATTCGAACCCAGGACCTGCTGACAAGTCAAGTGCTTAAACCCCTGAGTCATTGACAATAGTATCAACGAAACAAAAGCTGTTCCGAAGCCTATCCATTTAAAAAGATCTGTGTAAAAAAACAGGCAATTTCAAATACTATTGCTATCTCTTTCTCTCTCAAAGAGTTTGAAAGAGATGGCAAATCTTGACAACAATGTTAGAATCGGTTATGTGACGTCATAGTTGTTTGATATAGGTGGATTACTTCGTGTTGGTGCTGGAAGGTCGTGTGGAGGTGACAGTAGGTCGGGAGAATCTGGTGTTCGAGGCTGGACCATTCACATATTTTGGAGTTCAGGCTCTCACACAGAACATTGGAGTTGGTGAGTTCATTTCAGATTTTAAAAGTGGCGTGGAGAACAGAGCAGATTTTTTAAATGTTTTTTATTTTTTCAATTTTGTAAATCTTAAAAATGTAAGTAAGTTTTCGTCCGCGTGGAATTAAAAAAAACTTAATTATTAGCCTATGTGTTCTTCCAGATTATGTTCTACATCTATGTCAAATTTCATTAATCCATGCAGCCGTTCTGGAGATATCTTCAAACAAACATCCATCTAAACTTTCGCATTTATAATATTAGTAAGAAGTAGCGTTAGCAAGCCATCTGATTTCACAAAAATAGGAAAATTGTTCCCATACACCAACAAGTATCAATGCAATGCCTACCTTAAATAGACAGAAAGAGGGGAGACGTACAGAAAGGGAATGTTTCCCCTTTACATCCCCGAGCCGGGTGCAGAAAACTTCCTGCCTCGCACTATGGAATGGTCTCTCCTTGGTATTTCCAAACTGACTTAGAATCCAACAAGCAACAAGTGTATCACCATCTCAAAGGCTGCTGATTCCTGTGGTCTTGATGTCCATGGGTGATGGAACACCTCGGTTCCCGATGCTCGTCTGTCTCCTACTCTTATAAAAAAAAATCACCATGTCTGTTGGTTTTTTAGCGGAATCTCCAACACCATCAGCTATGGGGTCCCTCCAGAACATCAATATGGATTCGATGTTACGACATACGTTTGTACCAGATTACTCCGTACGAGCTATTACTGAATTATATTACCTTACTGTTAAACGGTAAGTGAAATCATCATCAGCTCTTACGTCCCCACTGAGGGTCTAACCTACCTTAAGTGATGTGACTAGGTGATAGTGAATGCTGGTCCAGTGCATCACTTCACACATATCTTTGACATTCACAGATATGTGCAGCATCACCATGTTTTCTTTTACAGTAACAATATAGGATTTACATTTGTAAAAATTGGTACATGGGGGAATTCGAACCCAGGAGCTGCTGCAAATCAAGTGCTTAACCCCTGAGCCACCGACGTTCTCTGAGTTGTGAAATTGTAAAAATTGAATCGCGAAGTTTAATTATGAAAAAAAAATTAAAATACATATAAATCGGTATTTCAAGCTGTAAATTATGACCCCCTGGGGGGTCGAAAATAATATCTCGAAATTATAGTAATAATAAAACTTAAGCCAAGAAATCCTTTGATGATAAAGTTTAAAAGAGACGGTATTCAAAAACTATGAATTGTCACATACTAGTTGTCACCCGCGACTCTATGCGCGGAATTTATAAAATCAGTAGTATATGTGTTTTGTAAGGCTAAGTTCTACATCTATGACATATACAAACATCCATCCATACATATTTTTGTATATTTCCAGTTCACTATACTTAGCGGCGAAGAGAGCTACGCTAATGGAGAAAGGGGCGCTGTCTAAAGGTGCAACTAATGAACAATTTGATACTGAAGTTGATAAGGTAAGAAACCTCTTAACTTGATATTTAATCGCCATTTAAGGCGGACCTTAGTAAAGATTTTAGAGTTAATAGCCTTATAGTTTTTAGGGACCACCATAAGACTTGTAAACCATCCTAGTACAAAACTAGTCTCTAAGTCTAGTTGTAGTGTTTAAAATAAGCTAAATAAAAAATTAAATTTGCTTCGACAAACTAGCCTATGTGTTCTTCCAGACTATGTTCTACGTCTATGTCATTTTTTCTGGAGATATCTTCTAACATCCGTATATTCGTATTTTATAATATTAGTAACATTTCTGATTCTTTCCTTAGGCAACATGGAATGGTAACCAATCTATACATACTGGTCGTATACTGCGCTCTCGGAGCCTTGAAATGTTTAAAGACGATATTGGACCTACAAACAATAGTAATAAGGTCGATTTTTATTTGCTTTCTGTATTTTTTTAGTTGTATTGTTAAAGTTTTTATATTGAAACGTATTTAGGGTACATAAGTATGTAATTTCTTTATATAAAGCAGTCTGTGGTTAATATTGTCATAAAAATATAATTATGCAAGTATGACGAAACGACTACTTTCGTCTTGTGGCTGTGGCAGAAAAAAAAACTATAAAATTAAAAAAGTAATGACAGCTAAGTTTTGACAGCTGTCAATTTTGGCATTGACGTTTACGAATAATAGACATTTTTTGGTGTCACATCATTGTCAAAATTATGAATGATGGAGGCTTAATTTTAATCCACTTTCCCTTCGCACTCTATTCTTATTAGGAATTTGATGGGAGGTGCAGTGGATTTGACGGAGAAGGGAACGCATTGGAAGGAGAAAAATATCTTATTTCTGTGCGTTTCACTCCTCCGTTGATTAAAGGTTACGCATTGCAATTGCGAATGTCTATAGGCAGGTTCTTTTGCCAACTTTTAATTTAAAAAAAACATAGACTAAATATTTGCACTAGCTGTAGCCCGCGATTCCGTCCGTAAATAAGTCGTTCCGTAGCCTATGTGTTCTTCCAGACTATGTTCTATATCTATGCCAAATTTCAGCGTGATCTGTTCAGCCTTTCTGGACATACCTTCAGCCAAACATCCATCCAAACATTCGCATTTATAATATTAGTAAGATTAAAAAATCATCATCATCATCAGCTCACTATACGTCCCCACCGAGGGGCTCGAAGCCTACCCTAAGTTAAGGGTGATTAGGCCATAGTCAACCACGCTGGCCAAGTGCGGGTTGACTTCACACATATCTTTGAATTTCTTCTCAGATATGTGCAGCATCACGTTGTTTTCCTTCACCGTAAGAACATAGGATAAATGTACATATGTAAATCGGAAATAGAAAAACACATTGGTACAGGGCTTGTGTGTGACCTCAGTGCTTGACCACTGAGCCAACGACGCTCTATTATTTATTAAATTAAAAAATATTTACAGTTAAATCCAGCAAAGAATACGATAGAATTAATGCAAATACCTAAATCTAAATACGTATCATTGGACAATGTTAATGAGAAATACCAATATAACTGTTCAAATCAATATTTGAACATACCAGAACGTTGGTCGAATGTTACTCAATTGGCCAACACGAGCACCAAATCCGAATGTTGGCGAACTCTAACAAAATCGGTGGCGGATTTTTTGGATACGCGCGATGACGTCACAAGTTCGTCAAATGATTTGGCTAATAATTTGGACGCTAATAACTGTGCGGAATGTTTGAAGAACAATTTCTGGATTAAACCAGTTACGGGGGAAAATTGTAAGATGTTTAACGGATTTTTTAGAAATTATAGTCTGACCAGTAATATTAAAAACTCTCGCTAATTACTTTGTGAAGATTAGATAGGGATAAAAAAGCTGATTGAAGGGGATTTAAGCTAAGATTTTTATATTCTTGGTTAGGCTATAAGTTAAATTGTTAGTTCCATCATCATTTTGGTTAAAACTTACAAGTAGATAATAAATATATACAGGCTGTCCCAAAAGGTTACGTACATAGGAAGGAGGATGATAGGGGTGGTCACAAGGGTCACCAGAAAAATAAAATAAATTTTGCACCTTCTGGGGCAATTTTAATTTTCTTTAAAATCTTTGTTAGTTGTATTGTTTTATTTTTTATTTCATATTGATTTAGGGTTATTGACGATAACATAATAGCTTTTTTTTAAATGTAGCAATATTTGTAGGTCATTGGTTACAAAATTGCCCCAGAAGGTGTAAAATTTTTAAGTTTTTAAAAAATGCCCATTATTTTTTTTAATACCCAGAGGGGAATTTTTATCTTATTTTTCTGGTGGCCCTTGTGACCACCCCTATCATCCCCCTTCCTATGTACGCAACCTTTTTGGACACCCTGTATATATATAATTCCACATAGTTTTGTAGTACGTATTTAATCGTTCGTTAATAATTAAAAAAGACGTAAAGTCATAAAGTCACTATCTATTTCCAAGTCATAGTAAAAAAAAAACTAAATATTCCCAGACTCGAACCAAAGTGGTAAAAAGAAAAGAACCACATTCCGTACAGATTCATCTCTGTTAATTATACATAATCTGTCATCGAGCAGCGATAATATCGGAAATAAATCGATTCCCGACATCGATACTGGATGCCAATCGACAAAATCGAATACACTTATCGATTCACAATTGAAAAAAATCAATTCAATCGATACTGAAGAATTAAAGTTAAACAAATCGAATAATATCGATTTGACATCTATAAACATCGATTCTAAACGAAATGACATAGACAAGATAGACGACAGAGATGAGAGAAGGCGGGAAAATGAACAATTAGTTTTGATGCAGTTGTCAAAAATAATACGCATTTTAGAGAAAAAGGATTTAACTTGAACGTGAGAATTTTATATACTACGTAGATACTATTGAATTATTCAGTAGGTTATTTTGTATATAACTAGCTGTCGCCCGCGACATCGACCGCGCGGTTTAAAAAAATAAGTAGTCTTACTTATGTCCCAAGGTCGGATATCCTTGTCGTATGTTGTATGTACCATCATCAGCTCACTATACGTCCTCGCCGAGGGGTCGAAGCCTACCCTAAGTTATATGACTAGGTCATAGTCAACCACGCTGGCCAAGTGCGGGTTGACTTCACACATATCTTTGACATTTCTTCTCAGATATGTGCAGCATCACGATATTTTCCTTCACCGTAAGAACATAGATGTACATATGTAAATCGGAAATAGAAAAACACATTGGTACATGGCGGGATTCGAACCCAGGACCTGCATATTGCAAGTCAAGTACTTAACCCCAGAGCCACCGATGATCTTAAATTATAAACCTTATTACAATGTAATAACGTTTAAATTCCAGCTGCTTCAGTCTGTTGATGAAGATATCAGTATCAGCGGTGAACATAAGACACCTTCGCGTCAGGTAAGAACTATTTTGTATTGAACTGACACTTGACTTTGGAACGAAAGCGAGACATCGCACCAAAGGATTCAGACATACAAAACTCAAACATCCTGCTTTGACAGAAGAGAGACAGACTTTGATGGAGTTGACATAGGAAGGGAAAATATTCTCTTACGTCTTCAATAAATTAAAGGCAACGTATCTGCAATTGCCGATATTTGGGCAACAGTCACTTCGCTATTCGAACGTTTTAGCAAAAAAAAAAGGTCTTGACAGACGGACAACAAAGTGATCCTATAAGGGTAACATTATTTTTCCTTTGGAAGGAACCCTAAAAAAAAACTTTGTAACTCTCCAGGTGTCACCAAACCCAATGCCGGTGTCGGCATCCCCGCTCACCAGGTCATCATTCGCGAGAGCCTCACCAGACAAGAATGGAGACAAGCCTGATGAACAGGAGAAACTCCTAAAGTAAGAAGTGTTGCTATATACACATTTATAGTTGCCATATTTACAAAAAATAATAATATCTACGTCCTATTGTAATACAGGTGATGTTTAAAAAAAATCTCCCAAAATATCGGGGAATTTTATTATATTAAAATTATTGTGGCACTAAATATCTGTAAATCGATGTGAAAGTTAAATATTAAGGTTTTTTATTATGTGTTTATATAATATACGTGTTTTGTATGAAAAATACAGGTAAATAAGCTTACATACAGTATTATATAATTGTTATGTTCCCGTACAAGTAGGTTTTTAACATTAAATAGCTTAGCGTTTGGCTTCTGAGACGAAAATCCACGTTTATAATATTTAGTTAACTCTGTTTTCGTCATAGATAATGACAAGGACGACAATATTAACAGAGGTTTCGTTCTCAGAAACCAAACCTTAAAAAATCATCAGAATGTTACATATTTTAAAGTGCTTTTTTTCATAATTATTCAATTTTTTTTTAATTAACCAGTCACAATAATCAATATTTAAAACATTTATTGCATGTTTAATAAGTCGCTTTAACAGATTTAAATAATCATACTATATAAATGTATGTAAATTGTTAAATATGCACCACAGATGTCATAATCGTCCATATTATGTTGGCAACACTGAATGTTGTCTATTCCAATTTCAAATACGTACTTACGATACATTGTCTCTGTCGCTCTTAAGGGTTTAGAAAGAGACGCACTGTTATTTAGGTGTAGCCTGCACTATACGTTAAAAGTTTGTATAAAATTGACAATATTTTATACAATTTCTAATCAATTATCTCAAAATACTATGAGAGATATTTTATAAAGAAATAAATAACTTATGTACTTATTTATTTAGTGGATTTTATATTTATGACTAACAACGCGGCTCGCCATACGTTATGTTCCATCTCCCGATATGGCGAAAAAGATTGTGTTGGTTCTTCTGGCTTAAAGGCGTGAATTGTACACTATTTAAAAGAACATTATCATCATCAACATCATTTATCTTTTTACATTATTTATTTAATTAAATTAAAAATCGATTAATTGTGAAAAAAATTCTTGTCATTTTTTAATTATAATTTTATTTGTTAATTTATAAAATAAAATTAAATTGTTTATTAATATTGAATCACTAATGAATTATATTTTTCCCGCCATTTTCAACTTATGTTTAGGGATCTTATAAATGTTTAATCTATAGATTAGACGCGAGCATAAAATGAGGCAAAAAAAAAAAACTTTGAGGCGTTTTTTGGAGAAATTTCCTCACTTTCCATTTTGAAACATGTACAAAACCCTACTATCTTTAGGTTGTATTTATGTAGTTGATTGAACTCTATAAATGAAATGGCTATAAGACGAAGTATTTTGTGCCTATTTGATTATCGCCATTTTGTCGCTGATAGTACCAGTTTGTAGTGGTGATGTTTCGAACTAATAATATAGATAGAACTGTAATGTAATATCAACATGCGTGTTTAAAGAACGAAACAAAAAGTTGTTTCCAAGCAATCGCCTATCCATTTATAGAGGATGTGTGTATATTTTTGTGCGTTATGTTTTGATGCTTTGCTTTTTTATCAAGTAACTTAAACCATAAAAAATGCTTTAATGTTTTTTAATCTCGAACAAAGGTACTTTGGTTAGATTTTTTATATCATTTGTATGTACTTAAAAACGATACTAGTCCATTTAATTAGTGATTTTTTCGATCTTAATTTAAAAATCGATTATGGTAATGTCATTTTTTTAACCATAGACAATTTTTTATGTTTTTTTTTAGACTTAACTAGTGATAAAAATCGGCCTACAGTGATGAGCTGATTAGTTTTAATCTTTTACAATGTACAGAGACAATAAATTATTGTTTTTTTTTCTACTTATCTTGAATACATAGTCAAAAAACTTTTAAACTCCCTGTTAAGTAATAATTAATTATATTATACAATTAAAATCAAATTACCTATAAAATGTTAATTTTTCTCAAATAGAATCTCGATATCTCGAATGCAAAACCAAGAAACGTCAACTGTTGGTTTCTGAGACAAAAATCTCTGTATGAAACATATCTTCATCCCTTTTCATTATATTAAACAAAATAGAGATAGAGAGATATAACAATATGTTGTAAACGGTGATTTTGGTCTCTGAAACCCATAGGTCTTGGATTTATTAAGATGTTAGATTTAATGCTATCGGAGATTTCTTAAGTAAGACTTCTTTATATTTACAACTTCATATTAGGTTTTTAAATACAAGTTAAGGAAAAGACATTTTGATTTACAAAGTTTAAATTATTCAAAATACGAAGAACTTGAAGTTTCAACGGAAGAGAATTGCAGTTTTTTCAATATAACATGAATTTCTACTCAACAAGGTTCGAATTATAAAGATTTCTATGTATTATGTCTTATGTAGAAGAATATTATGTATGTGTTTTTGTTTGAGATATAATGTGTTTTAAAAAACATGAAATATATATACTTTTTAATCAACAAGATGTAATTCAGTACTACCAACACTTATATGTCACTTTGAAAATCAATGTTGGTAGTACTGATTTTATTTTGAACGTGTTTTAAAAACCATAGACATGATGTCGCGTAAATAATCTGTGTGATAGTTAGTATGTGTTTATTTTTATAGATAATTATTTTAGATGTGTAAGTATAATTATGTATTCGCCTATTATTTAATTGAATATTAAATTATTGTGCGCTTGGAATTGTTTTTTTTTTTGTTTCATAAATCCTTGAATTAATCAAATCGATATATTAAAGATGGCAACACAAAGGAAGTTTAAAATAAAAATGTAGTGTTCTTTATTCAAATTCGATACAGAATAATCTAAATAATTTTTTTCAGTACCGTTTCGTTCGTGGATTGAGACGTATCGTGTAACTTCTTAGTTTAAAAATAAAAACAATTTATAAAGTGCGTTATTGTCTTAAACTTTTAAGTGTCAAATTTAATTGTGTTTACTTCATTTAACTAATTCGGGTCGAGTTTTGGTATATTCTAACCTCAAAAGTATATCCAAACTTATAACTTAGGATCTTGCAAGAAAAGTGCCTTTCTGGTTACGCTAAAATGTATTAACCCCAAACATTATAAGATCGTCCTGATGCCGACAAATACGAAGAATTCAACTTACCAAAGGTATTTAAATAAAACACAAATTATAATTATAATTTATTAAAAGCTTTTCACTATAACTACAAATGCTAAAAAATTATATTAGATTTATCATCATTAATACGCGAAGAGAAAATCTACAAATTGCTAGTGGGGAAGAGAATAAAGGTTAACGCGTATTACTCCACTTGTTCACTCAGCAGACTCACCTCGCGATCAGCGCGGCATTCACGCGCCATTGCTTTAACGTCACTGACTGAGCGGGAAAATACATGTTCTCTTTTGCACGAATGGATGGCGCGCGTCAGGTTGACGTATCATAATTTTTATATTTATTCTGACTGTTATCTTTGCGAAAAGGTGGAAAGGATTGGTGTAGTGCGCGTTAACCTTAAAGCTATTTTAAATAAATGTATTATAGTAGAATTTCGAGAAATGGAAGATTATAATTTTATCTAAAAATACGTAAGCTATAGTGCAAATTTTAAGTGTATTTTGATCCAAAAGTTGTAAAATTAGTGCTTGAAATTTATAGAAGATTAAAAATATACATTAAATATCAGTGCTACCATTACAAATTATTATAGAAGTTACGTTTTATGACTAGAAATCGAAATTTGAATATAATTAATAATTTTATTTTTTAAAAAGAAACTACGCATATAGTGGTGTGTTACATAAATAGCAAAAGTAAAAAGTCTTACGTTAATTCATTTATTTTATTTCTGAGACCTAAATTTTGGTTTAAAACATACTGTTGTCCTTGTTTTGTCAAAGATAATGACAGGGATGACGATATGTTTTATACAGAGATTTTGGTATAAGCCAAAGGTTAGTTGTGTTCAAAGTATTATGAAGTTAGCCCCAGAACTCTAATGCAGTGACATCTTCTCTTTCATTCTGTTTGACGGCCACAGACACAACAATATGAGCAGTTGTCACTGCACGAGGAAACTTAGAGAAAATAATATGCTTGAATTTACAACCTATTTACATAATCATGTGGTTATTTTTACAGTGTTTAAAAATCATATAAATTTATCAAATATATTGAATTTGAAAATAACGTCTTATTTTATATAAAAAGCAGAAGATTTCTCGTAAACCTTTTTTTATTACATTCATTATTCTATTGCAACTTGACAGCTGTCAAAATTGATTACTGATATCTGTCAGCGATACAGATAAACAACGAACCATATACAGGATGAAGATTAAACATTAAAAACTACACAATTGTCTCTGTTTGCATTTTATCTCCACTGTGACGAACAGCCGTGCGTTCCAGTACTCGTACTAGTACTGGCTAGACCTAGGTCGCACTCGCATGGGTCTGCACTATGGGCCCTCTGGTACTGCAGACTTTGATCTAGTTCTAGAAAATACTGCGAGTAGTCGACCTGGTCTGTTGGGTCGTAGGTCGCGCGCGCTGTCGCCGGGAGAGGTTGGCGCTATGGGGGCGTCATGCTTCCCCCGTATTCGGGGGACGCGCCACGACCTTGGAGCAAAAATATATTTTTAACAATTTGCTATTACGTTTAATTAGGCGCTATTTTTTCATAAAATATTCGATTATACAATGTTTAATTAAAATTAGTTGAAATCTGTTGTACTACTTACCTCGGCCTCTGCCCCGACCGCGGCCCCTGCCCCGCCCGCGGCCGCGTCACCTGCGCCCATCGCCCAACCCCACCATGTCTGAAAATACAACGAAATATATAAACTAGAAGCTTTATTACGTAAAGTGACCATGACAGACAAGCTGGGTAACTTGTACTAAAGGAAGAAACGAAACGAAAAAGAATAAACTAACTGTTCAATGGCATTCAGGAGAATATACGAAACAAATGAAACCACAATCTACAAAATGAGTCATGCAGTTTAAACCACATACAGACGTAACAGAAAAACATTTTCCATCCATCTAAAAGGATATTACCCACCTATATTGGTAGCGGTCTTCTCCAAATAGGCCAGAGGTCCCTGAAGCGCTGCGCCCGCGTATGCCCCCCGACCCCCAGCCAGGAACATGCCTTGTGCAAGGCTACTCTGCATCTGTTATACCAAATAAACCCTCACCGGCATTATCAAACTATGAGGACAATAACTGGTGCATTTACCCTAAGGACTAGTAGACTCGGACTAGGAGATATTTTATTACGCAACCAATATTTTAAAACTAGCTGTCGCTCGCAACTCCGTTCGCGCGGAATTAAAATAACTTAATTAGCCTATGAGTTCTTTCTCACTAAGTTCTATCTACATTTATGACGTTCTAGAGATACCTTAGAACAAACACTCATCTATCCATCCAAACATTCGCATTTATAATATTAGTAAGATACCTTGCTATCCCCTTCCACTTTACATCAGTAGAAATACATATAAATGTAATATTGCTAAATACCTAAATCCTTTCTGTGTTGTTGAACAAAAATGTGTTCGTTTATTGTATATTATTGCAATTAATCAGCATATAATAAAAAAAAAAAGTATTTTCTCTGTCACATTTCATAATAATTGTTATTAAATAAAGTTAACAAACTTACCTCTTTTCATATTTCATGCGTTAAATCTAATAAAAAAAAACAAGTGCAAGAAATAAAAATAAAACGCTAGATAGAAACTTAAAACATATTTATTTTACACAAAATAAAAATAATAGTGCCCTTAAATATTACAAATTAAAAACTGCTGCTTAACTACGAAAATAACTACATAATTTTATTACAAAGCAAATCGATTGAAAATAAAAACACATTTTGACGTATAACATAACCTTACTTTTCAGACGAGAATTTGAATTCAAAAAAGAAAACTTATTTTACGAACTATACGTATGTGAATAGTTGTCGATATCCTATTTTATTTATTTAAATTTACCTCGAATACCATAAACATATTTTCTTCCAGTATACACCTATGTATTATCACATTTCGATACGTAATAATAATACGTAATTAATCAAACTTTATAATAACTCAATTCGTTCGTTACAAAAAATATATTTTGTAATTAATCTTATTTTATATTAAATCACTTAATTTGTTACAAAATAATATATTTTAAAACACTACGAAAATAAAAACTAACACTATTATTTCACAAGCTTTAGCGCGGGAAAAAGCAAATTAATGTAGATTATAAAACTACAAAATGTGAAAGATAAACGAAAAATTAAAAAAAAAATTACATTAAAATATTTGAGAAAATAAAAAGAATTGCTATAATTTAGTTACAATATAATTAAAATACATATTATATTAATAAAACTTACATAGTTACCCAATTAAACTTACATTGTAGGATGTCTATGCCTGCTATTTTTTTTTAAAAGCAAGTCCAAAACGTATGCGAGCTTACATCCAACACCAATATTCAATTATTGAGAAAGGTCCGAATATTTTAAAATATAATACTTTATTTGAAACGAAGTAAACAAATAACCAAATAGATTAAAAATGTTAATTAAATACGAGTATATCGCGGATAAACAGAATTTAAAATGTATAAAAATTTTCAAATATCTCATCGGCTCATCGGAGACAATTGGTGTAGCATAATGAACAGGGGTGCGGTGTGAGAGCATTGCGCAGATTTGCTTGGGCCAAAGAGATATTTGAAACATACTATAAATCTGCATAAGTGTTAGGCATGAAGGCATAGACATTCTAGTGTGGGGGTGAGTGGGCTACCGGCGTTGGGGCCCTGCGGGGTATGCAGGCGGGTGCGGGGGGCGAGGTACCTGCTGCTGCTGCAGAGCCTGCTGCTGCAGCGCCGCCTGCTGCGCAGCTGCCATCTGCTGCGCCTGCGCATATCGAGCCTGTTACACGATAAATCCACTAATCTCTATAGAACAAGCTAGATAACTCATTATTTATCAAAAAATCTCAAAGGAACGCCATATAAAAGTATAACAAGATTCAAAATTTATGAACGCTCGCTGTTACGGGTGCATGTCTTAAGTACACTGGATGTTCCCTTCCCCGCGTTACTGCTACTTAAATATGAGTTTTGAAGTGTCTAAAAAGGGCTGATTGCTACACCGACCTGTACACTTTGCTGCACTGCGCATGGCTGAGGCATGGGCGAGGCAGCTTGCTGCAGCGCGGGCGGCGCGCTCTGTTGTTGACATTTGTTGTACACAGTGTGACCCTAAATAATAGAAAAAGGATTCTCTAAACTTTAGTGTATAAAGTTGGATGGAAAGAAGCTTCGAGAATAAAAAAAATCAACTTAACAATACATTCAAAATCTGGGCAAGCATCATTTACTGTATCTGGTTTAAAATGTTATTCTATGTTTTAGGGCTATACTATAGAAAGTTTGCTGACAATTTAATCGCTACTATTCCCCATCTTCTAAATTGACTTAAAATATCGTGTTTTAAAAAAGATACAACGCCATCTAGCGATGTGAACAACAATTACCTGTAAATCAGCAAGTAATCCGTGCCATTGTGTAACTTTATCATAATGTCGACGTAACAATTCATCTTTTCGCTGTAACTCGCATTTCAATTCATTGTTGTCCTCCTTCACTAGGAGTTCAGGCTTCATCGCTGACAGCAGGAACCTAATACCAAAAGAACTGTTCAGAATTGAACTAAATGGTAATTAATTCAGCACTCACTGAACCACTCGTTTCAGTTGATACTGATTGCTGACAATTTTATATAGATAGTTGTAAACAACGTTGATTTTGACAGATGAAGTGACAAGGTCAAAGGTACAGGTATAAAATTGGGTTATCAAAATGTCTGACTAAATATTTATATATTTATTTAGTCCAAACATAGTAACTGAAATAAGATTAACTTAGTTCTAAAAGTTGGTGCATAAAAGAATTCTGATGACAAACCAATTAAATTTTCTGATTTATTTTTCAAGTTCATATATCGATAGTTATTGATTTCATTGAGATTTATTTTGCTAATATATTACCTTTTCTGTAAAAAGAAAGCTTCCATCTGTCGGGCGTGATCTATAAACCTTTCCACCTCCACTTTCACCTCCTCCTTTTCCACGCACGGCGAGACCTCTTGCTTCGTCAGCACGTTCAGACATGCCTAAATTATATCAAGGAAATATATACTTATTGACAAGCAACGGTTAGCAAGTACATACGTTAAGAAATATTCACATTATTAAATAATCACAGTAAATGTGGAGGGCTACAAAGGTAGAGAAAGAACAAAGAAAGTATGGATAGATTGTGTGACAAAGTATTCGCATAAAGATATGACGGCTGACGACGTGTGAAAGTGTTCATATTACGTCGACATTAGGAAAAAGGGCAGGATCATAATACGAAAGGATTGGAACAAATTGTGTTAATATCTTCAAGATTTAATCTTTGGACTATCAACAATAAACATCAATCAAGATTTGGTTAATTTAAAAAGAAAAAACTAATATAAAGATACGTTTTAACTTTACTGTTTTCTCCAAAACTCCTGGCTGTATAACTACAAACACCATTTTCAGAAGTTACAAAAAAAAAACAAATATTTGTTACGTAGGGATTTATAGGTTATGTAAACAAAGAAAACAAATTTACCAATCATTAATTTTTAATACTGTTAAAAAATTACAACACTGTAAAACTGTAATGGCTCATTGTTTAAAATCAGTTTATTTTACAATAAATATTATATAATCTGCTATTGAAATAACATATCAAGGTTATTACCATATTTTAAACATTTATAAATATAATTTTGGATTTGCTTTTTATCCCAATAGACAAAGTCGTATGACCATAAAAGTTACATCGACTTATTATATATAGGCTTTATTTATAGAAAAGATTATGTTCAGCAACAGATACGGAATAAGTACATTTGCGCTGAAAATATTCAAAGTTATCAAAACGACGTTAAATTAATAATAAATATACTATAATTTAATTTATTACGTTTAGAAACGACTATCATGCGTTCAAAACACTAAAATATTTCTATATATTTGCTATAAGTGGATTGATGCATTTCTTTTGGGAATACAAATTTGTTCATGTAAGAGAATTTATGTACCAGAAATAAGATTTTACTTCCAAAATACTATATTTTTTATTTTGTGGTAGTGAATCCTCTATTTACCCATCTGACTAAGAGGTCAATGTTTTTAATATTTTTTAAAGGTTCTGGGTTCTAGGTATTGCTTCCTATTGATTACAATTTCCAGTTTGTTGATGTAATGCGGAATTGTTAATTCTTCAGACTGGCTAAGTCCAGTCTGAATCAATTTTTAAAAATAAAAAATGATAAATATATTTCAATTTTACTAATTATTTTTATTTATGAAATAAACCTTATAATCAAACAGTCACATTTTAAACAGTAAATTAAAAATTATAATGAATAAAATAAATATATACATTTCTTGAAAATTTAATTGGACAATTAAATTTTTGACTAAAATTCTTAATTAATAATTATATTTTAAATCTGCGGCACAAATTATTCCGATACTGGGTTTATATACAAACACTGACTACAATTTCAATGCATTTTATAGATAAATGGAACTGAAACATTGTTTTTTTTTTATAAATAATGTGGCAAACGATTAAGCGGCAACCAGAATTCGCCAAATACCGAAACTGACCATAGAGATGAGCATTTACAAGTCGATGCAAAAAATACTTTCATGACCTCTAAACACAAACTACAATACACTATTAAATCTTTGTAAGAAATAAAATATCCCACGGATTTTACTAATTTTATCCCATTTATATATTTTTAATGTTTAAATATATTTTTAAACACTACATAGATATGAAATGAGTTGTTGAATTTATCTGATTATCAAATAAAAATGATAAAACCTAATAACTTCTAAGTATTTGCATATAAGAAATCACATTTTATAATTAATATAAAATTTGTGATGCTTAAATTCTTGAGAATTATTGTTAAATTAAAATAAAACTGTGCCGTTAAATATATTATACTAAGTGAATACTGTAAAGTAATTTATTTCCTATAATCGGACCACGGTGTTTGATACGGACTCCTGTAATAATTTGAATTGTCACCGTAGTTTGGTTGTACATTTTGTAAGAGTGTGCGCTGATTTGGATATTCACCTCTCCATTGAGTTTGAACTGTTGGATCGGCACGAGGTGGTGCATTCTGAGGTCCAGGTGGGAACGAATTCATTCTAAAATCTAATGGTCTGTTTACAAATATGTTGTCATTGTATTGACATTTAGGGATGGGAGGTTCGGTTAGTACTGGAGTGGGGACTGTTCTTGTTGGTTCCGTATATTTGGTTTTCGGTGGCTTTTTCTTAGGTATGCGCATTGTAGGTAGAGGTAACGGCTCTGGTTTAAGGTTTGCTGTGACCATGAATTTATGAAATTCTCCTTGGAATGCGGTTGGATTTTTGTTGATAGGTGGGACTGCTGTTTGACGTGGATTCGGACTGACGCGTAGACCGGTGTAAACTTCTGCAGGCAAGGATGGCTTTGGTAAGACTGGGCTTTTTGAACTAGATGGAACTGGGGGGACACTGTCAGTCTTTTTTGTTTCTGCGATACCATCCTTTGATTCCTTTGCATCAAGATCCAAAACTCTAGTAGCTGTATGACTTGGTATAAAAGTTTCTGGAGTATTGTTGTATTCAACAATGACTTTCTTTTTCGGAGTCCGTGGTTTTCTAGATTTCTTTTCCGTCTTATCTTTTGAATCCTCTTTCTTGACAATGCCTTCTTTTTTTTCTTTCTTAGCCTTTTCTTGTTTCTCTTTTTCCACTGGTTCTGTATCTTTTGTTGATGATTTTCGTTTCTTGAGTTTCTTATCATTTGTTGGGCTTGGGCTGTCTTTGTTAAGTAAACTTTTTAATATTGGGTTGGAAACAGATTCAGTTTTGGTTACGTTGGTAGCAACGTCATCTTCATGCGGCGGAGAATCCCAGTTTGAAATCACAGCTGCCATATCCTCCAGTTGCTCTTCAGACAGCTTTTTAGTCTTAACTTTTCTCTTGTGTGTCCTATTCAGTGGTGGGGTTTTCTTAGACCTGACAGTTTCTTCATCTCCTTCTTTGACTTTTTCTTTTGTTTCCTTCTTTCGTCTTTTCTTAGGTTTTGTAATTTTCCTTGACCTTGGGACTTCATAATCTGAGTCTTTATCCGAGTCCATATAGCCAACATCAGGTTGTTGAGCTTCTGATGGTTCCATCTCATCACCTTTTAGCCAAATATCTTCAAGAGCATCAAGTTGAGTGTCATTGGGAGACAGTGGCATCATTTGTCTCTTCATTGAAGTCATCATGTCAAGGTCACCCTCTGCCATAGTCATCTCATCATCATCCATAATATCATGACCCAAGATGGATACAGCAATGGCACCTTCGGAAATACTCTTGCTTGCCATTGCTCTTTTCAAATGTAGAGGATGTCTTTTTTTCTTCTTCAGTCCCTCAATCTCTGCCTCTATGAATGACTCGGGTAGTTCAGTATTATTTTTATTGCAAAGAATGTCTTGTCCGGAGGGAGATGGAGCCGGCACCATCTTCTCTGGTTGTTCTGGGTGACAACCAACATCTTCTCCTTTCAGCCATAGTTCATAGCGGTCCGGTTGAAAACGTTTAACAAATGTGTCCATAGAAATTTTAACCATATCATTACTGCATGTACATTGCAGTGCTCTTTTGCCATATTCAACCCAACGAGGAGCCGCAAAATTTGTAGACTCGGCACAGTTAAATCCATGGTTGAAACCAGCATGGTAGCCATATGGAAATGTTATCATGATCTCTCCAGGCTTCTGTGTTACTTTATTGACAGGAACAGCATATTGCTTTAAGATTTGTGGTGATATTAATGTCATTTTGTGACGCAGGAACGCTTGGCAAGTTTTAGCCGATGTTGGGAAAAAACCAGATGCTATTCTTTCGAACCGTTTTCCATGTTCCGGTGGGATAGAATACCATGTTTTAGGTTCGCCAAAGTGTAAATAATTAATTGAGTATAAATCCATGTCTTCAGTGTGCCAGGCAAAAGTCGTCTTCCACATACCAAAATACAGGTAAGCAGTATTAACACCATCTATTTCTATCCCATAATCAGAGTTTACGAAGTCTAAGATCGTTCCGAGGCGATTTATATTCCATTCTTTTACATCTGGATCTGTGATACTGCCGTTTACATCAGCTCCATATATAGGAGCCACATAGGTAACATTCTTCCAGTATTTCCTCTCCAGATCGTCGTAATTCGTGTGCCGAGGCGTACAATACTTCGCGGAGTTAGCCATAACCGCAAACTGTTTCACTGTCATTGATTTCTTCTGTATGTTAATTTGTTGAAACAAACCTTGCTTTCCGGTGACCACTTGACATATAGGCGAAGGTATTGTGATGTTGAGATCGTCTAAATTGTACCCTTTCTTCCTTGGCACCCATTCCGGTGGTGGTATCACTTTAGCGAGACCAGCCTTGTGTGCCCCCTTCGATTCCATATACTGAACGTATTTATTAAAGTCTTTAAACTCATCCCACGTGGGTCGAAACACTTGGATAGATAAACCGCTACCGGATCCACCCGATGCATCGTCGCTGGTCACAGACATCGTAGTTTTTAATAACAAACTCACATAAAGTCAACAATATTTCATCATGCGAGAAACACGATTATTTCTCACAACATTACGTTAGATTGTCTTTAAATTTTTAGAATATGATTGCGTTTACGTTTTGATCTGATAATTACATAAATACACACGCGAATAAAGTCAAATAATTAGTTGAAAACATTATCAGTAAAATGGCCGACATGAATGAGATGCGCTTGCAATCAAAATCTCTAGGCACCGTAGAAGCCGCATAAGTGGAATTGGGTCACGTACTCACTCAGCCCGACTGTTTTTCGCGTTCATTTTCGGGTTCAACTTATGGAGCTTCTACTAACTACGGTAACACTGATGTAATAACTCTATGATTTTTTTATTCTTATGTTGGTAATGCTACGCGATATTTTGACAGGTGAGAAAATAAATTGTATTCTATTTTGTAAGGTTATATATGACGGAAATTTATACATTTTAATCAGCATTAATAAGACTATTATTACCTGAAAAGCCTCCTCGAACTCCTCCACCAAATTACCGCTACCATTTGATGGAGTCGCCATTTTAAGTTCCAAAAACACAACACTTTGACACTTGTTATTCGAAACGTCACAATCGAAATCGACAAGGTGCCGGCGCGGCGTTCGGGGCGTACTGTATTTTAGTGAGTGTGTTGTTAATATTTCAACACGACTTAACTGCGTCATTCACTCACACATAGGTATTTATGAAAGAGATGCAAAGATTTCAATGTTTCTCATCGCTTCTATTTGAAAATCAATAGTAAACGAAACCAGAAAGTGTATAAAATTGACCTTTAGTTAACTTCAATGAAAAAAAATTAAGCAATTCATTAAAATGTTTAACAATTTTACTTTAATTGCCTACGTAATAACCTAGTATATGATGTTTTATTGATTATTCATAAATTACAAACATCGATCTTTTTAAGTTTATTAATCAATAATGTTGCACGAATGTGTGCAAAGATTGTGTTTAAGCGTATTCTGTACAACGTCTGCGGACTAGGATTCTCGTTATATCTATAATCTCAATAATGAGAATCACATAACGGGAAAGCCAAACATTTGCGAAAAAAGTAAGAATGGTCATTGTAATTCTAAATGATGAGTGGACTTCTTGCCGGCGTCAATGATATCAAAATGTAAATAGAAATCTGCCATGTATTTCAGCTAAAGACGAATGAATCATCGGCGCACACGCGCAAACCCACTGTTTTTGTTACTAACAAACAGCCAGACCGTTACCTCACAGCTGATCCATATGTGAATGAACTGTGATGTAAACCAAACCACGTGACTTTGAAACCTTGCAAATGGAATCGTCTGAATAATAAAAATGACACGAAAACCCACTTTGATTTTATAAATTTCTAGCGTTCGCCCACGACTCCGTCTGCGAGGAATTAAAAGAAAGATATTTAGTGGCCTATGTTTTCTTCCAGACTATGTTCTACATTTATGCCAAATTTCATCAAGATCCGTTTAGCCGTTCTGGAGATACCTTTAAATAAACATCCTTCCATCCATCCATCTAAACATTTGAATTTATAATTCATATAAGTAAGATTTATCCACATATATATGCCATATTTATGCCTTTTGAAATGCTGGTTTTAATCATATATTTTATATACTCTTTGGTTTTAATCACATCAAGTAAAGGCATTTTGCAAGGTGGTACTAATTCTCGATTTTATAAAATTTAAATTCTACCTGTTCATGTTTGTGTTTACATTTTTATTATCTTTGTTGTATACATGTGCCAACATTGCGATAAATAAAATGTGACTTTCGAACTCGAAACAAAATACCAAAAATAGTCCAAACTCCGTACACTTTTATAAAGAATTTCGAAATGATCTTTAAAATTGAGTTATAACAAAACTATTGACATTGATTTTGAAAATTGAAGTGTTAAAGTATTTCCATTCTTCATTTAAATTTTTAATTATAACAACACTTAGTTATACTCTGTGGCCTGGTTGACAAATAATGGCCAAAATAAAAAATGGCTTCTTTTTAACCGCTACGCATAACCTCTATTCAATGTGTAACATTTTATAATTGTTATTTGTGTTCAGATGAGAATAAGGGAATAAGTTTATAAATAATTTACCATGGCGGACGCAGCTGCCAGACAGTTGCAATATGAATATAAGGCGGTAAGTGTTTTGTTGGTTGCGTTGTTGTTGTGCAATTCCGATTGTAAATTAAACATAATTGTTGAACCCAAAATTTCCTCACTTTAGCATATTTTATTACCCTTTTTATGCAATGAGCCAGTAAATGTTTTTTTTTTGAATATCGAAATCAAAATGTCTTACTGAAATGTAAACTTCTAGAATTCAAATCTCGTACTTCAAGCTGATGTACGTCTGATAGAGCGTCGCGGACGCGATGAGGCGACAGGCGAGGTGCTGTCCTTGTCTGGCAAGCTCGGTGGGACAAGGATGGGTGACCGAGCACAACGCACTAAGCCAGACAAAGCCGAGGAGAGGAAAGCTAAGTGAGTGATATTAATATACTACTTTATCAATTAAAGATTGTCCTAATTATGCAAAGTATGACTCGCACTAAGACACCACGGTTGACTTTGACCTAGTCACAAAACTTAGGGTAGAATTTGACTCCTCGGGGACATATAGAGAGCAAATGATGATGACTTGCTTGCCTGGTGCGATCCCACAAACACACACAAAACATTTCAAATTTAATTATTCCCATGTTTCGTCTGATAAGTGTACTTTCAACTATTTTCTAATAAGGAAAATATGAGGTGCAAGGGTGTGTTGGAAGATGTGTATGGCATAGAGGAATTTTTTATGCATTGTTCTGTCTTCTGAATAATAATGCATCTGCTTCCTACATTATTACAGATGTATATGGTCAGTAATTACTTTAAGACGATCTATTTCAGGTTACCTGTGTATTATTCACCTTCTACTTTAAAAAACTTACCTAATAAAAACAATAAGTAGTATGTGAACAATTATTGTTTCAGACGTCAGAAACGTGATGAAGCTACATATGAACTATCAAAATCAAAGACAGCGCGTGCGGCTTGGGCTGATGATACACCAGGCGTGTTGTACCGTCCACGGACGCAGCACACACGTCATGCATACGAACTGCTACTATCATTCATGCAGGGTACACTTGGTGATCAGCCTAGAGGACTGCTTTGTGGGGCTTGTGATGAGGTAACATAACTCACACCTTTAACCCACAGATGTAGACAGAGACAAACTTCCATTGGGTGCTATCTTGGCACAACTCTCTTCTACATTCTAATATCTACGCATACAGACATAAACAGAGTTCAACATATATTTGTTAAGAACCTCAATTTAACCTAACTATAAATTTCCACTTAATTGCATATTGTCATTATTATTTCAAGTAGAATAAGAGGGATGACTATTTAAAGTTAATCTGGCATCTGTATGTTAAAATTTCTTTTTTCAGGTCCTAATGGTACTTAAGAATGACAGACTGAAAGATCCGGAAAGAAAGAAAGAGATAGAAGCACTTATTGGTGCTTTACCAGATGAAAGGTTTGCGTTACTCGTGAACCTTGGGAAGAAGATAACTGACTTTAACATAACATCAGCGGAGGGTAATACTGAGATTGATGAGACATATGGCATTAATGTACAGTTTGAGGAATCCTCGGAGGAAGATGATGAAGATGCATATGGAGAGGTAAATATATATTTTTAGTAATTATCTTCTTCTTGAGGTGCCTCTCCAACTAACGAAGGTTGGCGATCAGTTCTCCATATTTTCCCTTTTCTCTTGCAAGGTAAATTAGTTGGGCGGCACTGGCAACCGCTGTCCACTTTAGCAATTATGATCAAAATTTATTTAAAAAAAAAAGAATCAATTCAATTAAACTTTATTTTGTAATAAATAATAAGCCTATTACTATTTTTTACAAAATAAAGTTTTAATGTAGTTATATAATTCTCCTAAGTTACCAACAAACAATCAGCTGTTAATTTACACAATACTCCGACAAAGCCAATGAGCATATGATCGCGCTCTGGAATCGGCTGCCTTTAAATAGTGTCAAAGGCAACTCCATATTTAATTTTTATTTATTCAAACCTTATAATATATATTTTTATATTTTAAGGTGGCAAATGAGCTAGTAGCCACTCATTAATAAAATATTGAAGCAAATGCTACCCATAGACATGCTCAATTGCAGATGCCTTGTCTACCTTTAACGGAGGATACAGACAGAGTACTTGTCTAGTTATTTGACTATGTTATTGTTTTTCAGGTGAGAGATGATGATAAAGAGGAAGGGGAAGGTACAGACAATGAGCAGGGGAAAGAGAGTAGTGCAGAAGATGATAGTGATACTGAAGGAAAGAAGAACAGTATACATACTAATGTGAGTTCAAATATTACATACTTGTGTCTTTGCCTAAAATCTATACTTAATATTATAAAACGGAAGAGTTTGTTTAAACGCGCTAATCTCAGGAACTACTGGTCAGATTTGAAAAATTTGTTAGATTGAACTGTAGTATATAAATCACCCTTAACTTAGGGTAGGCTCCAAGCCCCTCAGTGGGGTTGTATAGTGAGCTCATGATGATGATGATATAAATTACAGACAGCTAGTTAATAATAAAAAAAAGTGGGCATAGCAAACTGGAAGTCTGTGGCCAGAGATAGACCCGGGTGGAAAACGTGGCTGGACCAAGCCAAGGCCCACAAAGGGCTGTAGAGCTAGAAGAAGAAGTTAATAATAAAATTTTAGAATTAAATATAGTCTATGTTACTCAATGATGTAGCTTTTCAATAGTATAAGAATTTTTGTTATCAGTCAAGTAGTTTTTCAGTTTCTTAGTTGCATACAAAAGTACAATTCTTTCCGCTTTATAATATTGGTATAGACTTCTAAGTCCAAATGAAAACATTTACTTGGTAAATCAATTTTTGAACATATTGATACTAGCTGTCGCCCGCGATTTCTTCCGGATGTAATTTATAAGTAGCTTACGTGTTGTCCCAGCCTATTTCTACATCTGTGCCAAATTTCATCAAATCCATTGAGTTTTTCTGTAGATACCTACTAATAAACATCCATCCAAGTAAACTTTCGGATCTATAATATTAGTAAGATTTATTTAAAATTCTATTATATATTTAAATATAGTTCTAACGTAAATTAGGAACATAAATGAAATGATATATGTTGTATTTTTAGCTATCCGAAGAACAAACACAGAAGCGTCGCGATGCCACACTCCATCCAATGGATATTGATGCCTACTGGCTGCAGCGTCGTCTCTCCAGACACTTCCCTGATGCCATGCTGTCACAGGCTAAGTCCAGCGAGGTGAGATTTTAACCCATTTCTGGTTATCAGAGAAATCTTCAAATGCTACCTTGTATTTTAGGAACAAGTCGGTAATGAGCGTCGGTGGCTCAGGGGTTTAAACACTTGACTTGTCAGCAGGTCTTGGGTTCGGATCCCGCCATGTACCAATGTGTTTTTCCATTTCCGATTTACATATGTACATTTATCCAACGTTCTTACGTTGAAGGAAAACATGGTGACGCTGCTCACATCTGTGAAGAAATGTTAAAGATATGTGTGAAGTGACGCACTGGACCAGCATAGACTATGGCCTAGTCACATAACTAAGGGTAGACTCCGAGCCCCTCAGAAAATCGAAAACGTTTAGTACATGGCGAAGTTCGAACCCAGGACCTGTTGACAAGTCAAGTACTTAAACCCTTGAGTCACTGACGCTCTCTGCATATAAATATGTAAAATTTTTTTTTTTTTTCAGGTGATGAAGGCTCTCGCGGAGGCAGCAGATGATAGAGATCTAGAAAACAGACTAGTGCTTTTATTGGGTTATGATTGCTTTGACTTTGTTAAAGTACTCAATAAATATAGATATACAAGTAAGTTTATTTTTTTAAAATGAAAAGTTCGTCTGTTTAAATCTTACGTATATTATAAATGCGAATGTTTGGATGGATGGATGGTTTGTTCGAAAGTATCTCCAGAATAGCTGCATAGATCTGCTGCTCTTTGAAATTTAGTTTGTTTTTCAATTTCGCGCAGACGGAGTCGCGGGCGACAGCTAGTAATTTATAAATGCAGAAAATTTTCTTTTTTTTTTTACTTATAAACACCTTAATACTTCAGTCCTATACTGCACGAAGTTGGCATCATCACAATCTGAGAACGAGAGGATGAGCATCCGCGAGGAGATGTCCCGGCAGCCTCATCTGCAGAAGATACTGGCACAGCTGGAGACCGGCAAGGGAGATGAGGAGGTGAATAACGATTAACCTACACACTACTAACTTTACTTTCAAAACTTATTAGTTTACTAAATTAGTATTTGTCAAGTTAATTTAAAAGCCATAAAACTTTGTGGCTAGATGAATTTCAAAAATGTATGGAACTGATGCGCAACAATCACGTGACTTATTGTGCAGGGATTTAAATAAAAAAACCCTTGTTTGCAGAAAAATGTGTTAATATTGTAGAACATGAATAATAAAGAAACGTAGAAAACTGATCTGACATTACTAAATTAAAAAGTTTAAATTTCTTCTTTTTTCTTATTATAGATTTAATGGCAGTTGAAGTGTAAAAACTCCTTGAACTTTTATCTAAAGTTATTGTCAGTTCTATACATTTTTGAAGTTCGTTATGGAATCGCTTCGTTAATCCTTTTATTTTGTTGGAATTTACGATTTTTCATATATATAGTGTTGACTCATACTTTTGAAATACATTATTTATCATGAAATTTATATAAGACAGAGCGTTGGTGGCTCATGGGTTAAGCACTTTACTTGTAACCTGCTGATCGTGGGTTCGAATCTCGCCATGTACCAATGTGTCTTAAATATATACATTTATCCTATGTTGTTAGTGTGAAGGAAAACATGTTGATGCTGCACATATCTGTGAATGTCAAAGATATGTGTGAAGTGACGCACTAGACCAGCATTCATTATCACCTAGTCACATAAGCCTACCCTGGCTCCAAGACCCTCAGTGGGGATTTAGTGAGCTGATGATTATATAATTCTTGTTTCTAACAGATGTCCCAGCAATCAGAAGCACCACGTAAGCGTCAGAAGACGGAAACAGAGACTATAGAAGGTGGTGGTCAAGTAACTGGTTCGAGGAAAGTATTAGCACTGGATGAGCTGGTGTTTGCAGCGGGATCACATTTTATGGCTAACAAACGGTGTCAATTACCACCCGGGTCATTTAGGAAGCAAAGAAAGGGTAAGACTAACAAAGTAATTGGGCTTGTTCAGGGTTCCATCGAGGCGAGGGCGAGCGTCGTTGGCTCAGTGGTCAAGTACTTGACTTGCAATCTGCAGGTCCTGGGTTCGAGTCCCGCCATGTACCAATGTGTTTTTCGATTTACATATGTACAATTATACTATGTTCTTACGGTGAAGGAAAACATCGTGATGCTGCACATATCTGAGAAGAAATTCAAAGATATGTGTGAAGTCAACCCGCACTTGACCAGCGTGGTTGACTATGACCTAATCACCCTTAACTTAGGGTAGGCTCCGAGCCCCTCGGTGGGGACCTATAGTGAGCTGATGATGAGGGTTCCATACCTCATGTCGCCGGACCCCTCTCCCCCCCACGATAGCCCTCGGGTAATGGATTCGGGGGAGTCCATTGCCCGCCATTGAGGGCGGCCTCCCCCCGTGAGGGAGCTGCCTAGGCAACTGACGGTGACGTGATTACGGAAGAGAGCGAAAGCGTGCCCGTGGCCCCGTCCCGATGCATTGGAGGAACAGAGAGGTTAAGTGGGTATGCCTCCGTTAAGGATATTCCTCTCTGAAAAAAAAGGGTTCCATACGTCGAAAGGAAAAAATGGAACCCTTATATGATCAGTTAGTTGTCCGTCCGTGTGGCTGTCTATCTACCCTACATACTCTTTTTTTAAGTGTTTTAACACTTCTACATTCTTATCTTATATTTTAAACTAGTTATCACTCGCGCATCCGTACGCGTGGTATTAAAAAAAAATTATAAGTAGCCTATGTGTTCTTCCAGACTATGTTCTAAGTCTATGTCAAATTTCTTCAAGATCTATGCGTTCGTCCTGGAGATACCTTCAAATAAACAAACGTCCATCCATTTGCATTTATAATATTATTAAAATGTGGATATAAAACTAATTCTATTATTTTTTTATCCAGGGTACGAAGAAGTACATGTACCAGCGTTAAAACCCAAACCATTTGAAGAGGACGAGATTCTTATGCCCGTGGAGAAGTTGCCTAAGTATGTGCAACCGGCGTTTGAAGGATTTAAAACTTTAAATAGAATACAGGTAAGATTAATCTTATTTAATATACTAAGACATTGATTCCCTAACTTATTTTGTCTACTGTCCACTTTGAGAATAAATATTTTTTTACCGCCCTCATATTTTCACATATTTAAAAACCAATATAACTTCAAATTAAATTAATTAATTATTGTGACATATATATGTATATTAACGGAGAATTGTAAAGGAAACTTTTACTATAACCCGCAACTTGAGACCTGCAGCAAGCACAAGGGGGCCTTATCGCACACTTTGGGAAACACTGTTCTAGTATTAATAACATTATCTTGTATTTCCAGAGTCGTATATCAAAAGCAGCATTAGAAAGTGATGAAAATCTCTTAGTATGTGCTCCTACCGGCGCTGGTAAGACGAATGTCGCGTTGTTGTGCGCACTTCGTGAAGTTGGTAAACACGTGAACGATGACGGCACTGTCAGTGTTGCTGATTTTAAGATTATTTATGTGGCCCCCATGAGATCATTGGTACAAGAAATGGTGAGTAGGTAACAACTAGGAAACTTAGCTATAGTGATTCTAAAGGTCCTAAATCTAAGATCACACAGACTTTAGATATTTATCTATACTTATATCAATCTACACATCATGTAAGGATTTGGTGACTCAGGGGTGGAGCATTTTTTTTTAATGTCATAAGGTGGCAAGCGAGGCCACCTGAAATGACTGATATAGTGAAGTGACCGTTGCCCATAGACATACACAATTGACGGAGGAGAGGATGCACAGAAAGAAAATATCTTCCCTTTCCATGCATCCTCTCATCCGGAAAGTCCACTTCCACTTTCCATCCTTTCCTTATAAGAAAAAGGGTGGGAAGGTAAAGAGGACTAAATTAGGCCTTCGGGACGTTAAACATCTCTGTTTTATAGTGAGATTTTGTCTCTCAGAAACTTATAGTAGGCGACTGTCCACAGGTGGGTAACTTCAGCAAGCGTCTCGCAGCGTACAACATGAAGGTGTCAGAATTGACTGGTGACCATCAGCTGACGAGGGAGCAGATTGATGCAACTCAATTGATTGTCTGTACGCCGGAGAAATGGGATATTATTACTAGGAAAGGTGAGTTTGACAGCAGGGGTGGGGGATATAGGGGGGTTGTTGCCATCTATGTTCAAGTTTCAAATCCCATCAAAATCGGTCCAGCCAGCCTGTAACATCTCCGACTGGGATAAAAAAAATAACTTAATAAGTAGCGTATGTGTTCTTCCAGACTATGTTATACCTCGGTGCGAAATTTTAGTGAAATGCGTTCAGCCGTTCCAAGGATTCCTTCCAACATCCATCCATCTAAATATTCGCATTTTTAATATTAGTAAGATTGGAAACTGAGGTGCATGTATGTATGAATGTAGAAGGAAGAAAGGTCTGTCTCTGTCTACCCCTTTAGGTTACATGCATGACTTATCTTATTTGCCAGGTGGTGAAAGATCGTTCACAAATCTAGTACGTCTGATAATTATCGATGAAGTACATTTACTGCACGATGAGAGAGGACCCGTACTTGAAGCGCTTGTTGCCCGGACGTTACGTACTGTTGAACATACACAGGAACAGGTAAATAACATTTTGCGTTCGCACTAACGAAACATTTACTTAAAACATACACAATGTATAAGAAAACACAACTATCGCCAACGACTTCGCCTTTGTCGATAAAAAATCTTAATTAGTAGTTTATGTGTTCTTCCAGACTATGTTCTACATCTATGACAAATTTTATCAAGATCTATACAACCATTCTGTAGATACCTTCTAACAAACATACATCTAAACCAGTCTTTCCCAAAGTGGGCGATAACGCCCTCTTGTGGGCGCTGCAGGTCTCAAGGGGGGTAAGAGACCCAGAAAGAAAATGGGGACGTTGTGTAGAGGTCTGGGGGTGATTTGTAATTTTATTTAGCTAGGAGGCCTCTCAGCAACAACTTGTGGACATCAACTAATATGAATTAAAGATAGCTTAAACTCTAATATGGGGGCGCTAAAAATATTTATTCTCAAAGTGGGCAGTAGACAAAATAAGTTTGGGAACTACTGATCTAAACATTCGCATTTATAATATTAGTAAGATAATACGACTTTTGACTATGGAGAAACGGACTAGGTAAAGAATGTTCGCGGTGGGTGAGGTAAATATTACAATCATATGTGCATTTGTGATTGTCATCTTCGTGTATATATATGTAAAGCTAGCAAGTTTATATTTTTTAAATAAGTAAATGCATTTAACAAATCCTGTCTCTTCATAATCAAAAGTTACGTGATGTCAGTTTTGATAAAATCTAAATCTTCCAGGTCCGTCTCGTCGGTTTGTCCGCTACGCTGCCTAATTACTCAGATGTCGCTGCCTTCCTGCGTGTGCGACCAGAAAAGGGACTATTTTATTTTGACAACTCTTTCAGGTAAGACATGTCAGACAAGAAATTATTTTTCTTAAAATATACTGACTATAAATCCGATTAGGTCAGAAAATTTTACCGTTGTCAGTGGGTTTCTGAGACCCAACTTTAAAAGAAATTCGTCAAATATAATGACAGGGATGACGGTATGTTTTATACCCAGATATTGGTCTCAAAAATCAACGTTTAGTTAAATTACAAATTTTCTAGCAACCTAGTTCCAAGTTACGTTAAATAATTTTAAGAAGAGAAGCAATGTTATCAAAAGGCTTCCGATGTCATTTTGACTAATGTCTTTGTAAAGAAAACTCCGCAATAAATCAGAAAGGTTAAGTGGATGAGTCAATTCAATCAACGTTAGTTTTCAAGTTAAAACAGCGGAACAAAACGCTTGCGTGAATTAAACTGTACAGCGCCATCTAGTATCTTCGAAAGTACATTCTAATGCTAAAATAGTATCTAATTGTTTATATTGTCTACATTCCAGGCCAGTAGCACTGGAACAACAGTACATTGGTGTGACTGAGAAGAAAGCGCTCAAGAGGTTCCAAGTTATGAATGATATCGTATACGAAAAGACTATGGAGCATGCTGGGAAGAACCAGGTGAGTGTCATTAGATGCCTACATCGAAAATAAATTGCCAAAATCGACCATAAGTTGCCACAAACGACTATGTGTTGACACCAATGACCATAAGTTGCCAACAGCGACCAATAATATCTAGTTTGTCTATTTGTCAGATCCTGGTGTTTGTCCATTCTCGAAAAGAGACGGGAAAAACTGCGCGTGCGATACGAGACATGTGCTTAGAAAAGGATACATTGGGACAGTTTCTAAGGTCAGTACTCTTTTACTTATTTAAAAAAAGACGGTGAGTCTATATTGTAGTCATATCTGTTTAAGAAGAACGCCACATTCACTCATTTATTTAAAAATAAAACAAATATAAAGAGATTGTACGACAATTATGTCATAAATTCGTGTGTGGGCATGAATTAGAAGCCATTCCGCGTTTCGTCTGATGGTTCTGTGTGCTGGAGGCCTAATTTTTGACCACTTTTCCCTTCTTCCTTCATCCTTTTCTAAAGAAAAGATAGGAAGGACATAGGGATTGGACGGAAAAGGCAACGCATAGGATATGTTCCATTTCAGTGTGTCCGATCTATCTAGTAAAGTCGCTTCGCCATTTTAGCGAATTCTAGTGGCCGTTTACTCGTTTTATACCTTTTAACACATAGTGCTAAGAGAGGGGTCACTTTTTCATCTATCCAGTATATATTGACCTCTAATACTTAGTTCATTGTTTTCAGAGAGGGGTCAGCGAGTGTGGAAGTATTGCGTTCGGAAGCCGAGCAGGTGAAGAATCCGGAATTACGTGAATTATTGCCTTACGGCTTCGCTATACATCACGCGGGTATGAGCAGAGTTGATAGGACTCTGGTTGAAGATTTGTTCGCTGATAGACATATACAGGTATAGTATTTTTCAAATATTTCGTCTGCTCGGAACATAATGTTCAGTTATTACCCACTATACATCCTCTCTGTATCGCAAGGTTAGCTGTAAGAGAACTCTTTTAGAGTTAACCTCACCTGTGCATCATTGTATTTCTATATAATGTTACACTATGTACTTTAAACTGTGTACAAAGCTAATAAATAAATAAATAATGCTATATGTATAGAGATGCGAAGGTATGAAGACATTGAGCCTAAAATATATTTAAAAAGGCTTATCATGTTGAATGTGGTTATTTTACATACGACTAGATGTCGCCTGGGACTCCGTCCGTGCGGTTCTTCCATACTATGTTCTACATCTATGACATATTTCAGTGAGATCCAGATGTTCTGGAGATATCTTTTAACATACATCCAAATATTCGGTTTTATAATGTTACTAGACTAGATGTCTCCTGAGACTCCGTCATCGCGAAGTAATAAAAAACTCACACACATCACAGTAGCCTATGTGTTCTACAATTATCCATCGATATATCCAAACATTCGGAACTTACTAATATAAATGCGAATGTTTAGATGGATGGATGGATGTTTGTTTGGAGGCATCTCTAGAATGGCTGTATAGATCTCGATGAAATTTGACATACATATAGAACATAGTCTGGAAGAACACATTGGTTACTAATTATGTTTTTTTTTAAAATTAAATACCTATATTAATAAGATTATCTTATATATAAAATTCTCGTGTCACAATTTTCGTTCCCATACTCCTCCGAAACGGCTTGACCGATTCTCATGAAATTTTGTGAGCATATTGAGTAGGTTTGAGAATCGGCCAACATCTATTTTTAATCCCGCGCGGACGGAGTCGCGAGCGACAGCTAGTTAACATATAAAAATAACATTTGAGATAATATAAGATCCAAAAAAAGCTATAGAAAAGAATTTTCCAATTTTCCAGGTGTTAGTGTCAACGGCGACTCTCGCCTGGGGTGTGAATCTTCCAGCACATACTGTGATTGTGAAGGGAACTCAAGTATATTCACCAGACAAAGGTCGCTGGAGTGAACTGGGCGCGTTAGATGTACTACAAATGTTGGGTCGTGCTGGAAGACCACAATACGATACTAAGGGAGAGGGTAAGTCAAGTCAGCTGTAAAATTAGAAAAAATAGCCTATATCACTCCTGGGTATGTCAGATATATTCCAGTGAAAGTCTAGGCAGAATAAATCCAGTAGTTTTGGAGATTATCTGGAACAAATGCTGAAATAAGATACATCATATTGGTGATTTTTTTTTTTTTAATACTAATGTTATAAAGAGGAAAGTTTGTATTGAATAGACTCTGAAACTATTTCTGTTGGTAATCTACACTATCCCCGGTTGATATAGCCTAAATTTATTACTAGACTAACTGTCTGTGATTCCGTCCGCGCGTAATTAGACAAAAAAAAATAGTTATATGTTCTTTCAGACTATGTTCTACATCTATGCCGTTTACATGGCAATTATTCGAATTTAACTAACCTTTTAAACCCTCAAAGTCCAAGATAAGATAAATCCATTCAACCGTTCCCGAGTTTTAGCGAGACTAACGAACATTCGCATTTATAATATTAGTAAGATATATTTTGATTTAACGTTTGCAGGTATCCTGATAACAAATCACTCTGAGCTGCAGTACTACTTGTCGTTACTGAATCAGCAGCTGCCGATAGAATCGCAGCTCGTGAGCAAGTTGCCGGACATGCTCAATGCGGAGATTGTGCTCGGATCTGTGCAGAGCGTGCGCGACGCTGTCACATGGCTAGGTCAGTTATAAGCTTATAAGACGCGTATATACGTATAACCGTGGGTTTCCGAGAAGAAAATCTTACTTTAGAACATATTGTTGTCCTTGACATTATTTTTGACATGTTTAAACCGGGATGTTAGTTTCAGAAACCCATGGTTAGTCATGTCTCAATTACTATAGATTAGAGATCTATATTTTTTATATTATAAGACAAACTAGCGAGCCATCTGAAATAGCGAAGTGACCGTTGCCCATAGACATACGCGATTGCATATGCGTTGCCTACCTTTAATCCACGGAGGAGAGGATGCACAGAAAGAAAATATTTCCCCGTCCCATGCATCTTCTCATCTGTAAAGTCCACTGCTACTTCCCATCCTTTCCTTATAAGAAAAAGTGTGGGAAGGTAAAGAGGAGTAAATAAGTCCTCCGGGACGCACACTCATCAGACTGCACGTCTTCTGTATGGTCGTGGTATTTCACCGGACGAGGCGGGACTATTCCTGCGAATATGTTAAAGCGAGCTCTACCAATGTTTAATTTAATATTCTATATGTTTCAGGTTACACATATCTGTATGTCCGTATGTTACGAGCTCCATCATTATATGGTATATCATCAGATAAGATGCAAGAGGATACATTGCTGGAGTTACATCGAGCTGATCTTATACATACCGCTGCATCATTACTTGATAAGTTAGTATTCACTGGAATGGACATTGACTAGCTATCGCACGACACTGTCAGCGCTGGAATAAAAATTAGTAGTCTATGTGTTCTTCCAGACGTATGTTCTATATGTATGACAAATTTCATCGAGATCCGTTGAGTAGTTTTGGAGATACCTTCTAATATCCATCCACCCATCCATAATATTAGTAATATAGTATAGTAGTCTCTTTTGTTCTCATGGACAATGAAAAAAATGGTTAAATCCTTCATTTCGATTCTAGGTAATATTATAAATGCGAATGTTTGGATGAATGTTTGTTAGAAGGTATCTTCAGAAGGGTTGCATAGATCTCGATGAAATTTGTCATACATATAGAACATAGTCTGGAAGAACACATAGACTACTAATTATGTTATTTTTAATACTGAGTAGACAGTCGCGGGCGACAGCTAGTATAGTATTATAAGAAAAAGTGTTTTAATACAAATCATTTGCTATTTATGATGAAATTGTAGTTGTATTTGGTTTTTACGTATCATCATCAGCTCACTATACGTTCCCTACTGAGGGGCTCGGAGCCTACCCTAAGTTATGTGACTTCGACATAGTCAATGCTGGCCAAGTGCGGGATGTTTGACTTCACAGTAACAATATAGAATAAATGTACATATGTAAATAGAAAATCTAAAAACACATTGATACATGACGGGATTCGAACCCAGGACCTGCAGAAAGCAAGTCAAGTTCTTTAACCACTGAGCCACCGACGCTTATACGTATTATTAGGAAGAAAATCCGAAAATGAGCCAGTATATTGACTTAACACTAGCCTTACTAAAATGTCGACGTTTATGTCCCCTCACTATTCTGACATTTGACTTTGTAACGAAAACTCAACATTCGGGCCAAAGGATTCTAGCTAATACTGTTAATTTAAAGCCTTAATACTTTTAGTATTAAGGCTTTAAATTAACTTACAAATATGTTTTTTTTAAATTCCAGGGCCGGATTAATAAAATACGAACGTAAATCAGGACACTTTCAACCTACAGAACTTGGTCGTATCGCATCACACTATTATTGTACATATGAGACAATGCAATCATATAATCAATTACTGAAGCCCACTTTGGGAGAGATTGAACTGTTCCGTGTCTTCTCATTGTCAGCTGAATTCAAACATATCGCTGTAAGAGATGAGGAGAAGTTGGAATTACATAAGTTGATGGAGAGGGTAAGTTACTTAAGAAAAAATATATATTTTTGTGTATGTGAAAATTGATGGACTTCTCTTATTACGACTACAGAGTACTTATTACTAACTAGCTGTCGCCCGCGACTACGTCCTCGTGGATATATAAAAAAACTTAATTAGTGTAGCACACCCATCCATCCATCCACATCACATCCATCTAAACATTCGCATTTATAATATTAGTAAGTAAAAAAGCAGTTCTTCAAGGCGTAAATTCGAAAATTAAATGAATAAATAGTATCCTATGTCAGTCTCCTGGCTCTAAGCTACCTCCTCAACAATTTTCAGGCATATCGGTAAAGCCGTTCTTGAGTTATAAATAGTGTAACTAACACCACTTTCTTTTATATATATATAGATAGTAATTGATTTAGAATTTTTTCGATTTTCGACGGTTGTTCTTATAAAATTTACAATAGACAATTTCGTGTTTTTGAATTACAATATAATAATTGATTCTCTTTGTGCCAACTTTATTCTTTAAAACGGATGCTTTACAGATAAAAATATTAAACCTAAAATTGAGGTGTTGACAAACAAAAAAAAAATTAATGTTTTTTTTAGTTAATCGTACGATACATAGCCAAATAACTGTAATAAAATACCTAAATTATAGTACTTATATGTTCGATTAACTTTATTACAAGACTCGATACTCGATAGTTCATAGTTGTTTGTTATGTACACTCCGACACTATAACATCCATTAAGTACAACATTAATCCTCATACAAAATTAATTCTATACTTTATAGGCAGTTGTCAAACTAATCTATATTAAATAGACTTAGTATAACTATATTATTTTTCAGGTTCCTATTCCAATAAAAGAAAGCATTGAAGAGCCATCAGCAAAAATCAATGTGTTACTCCAAGCTTATATATCACAATTGAAGTTGGAAGGTTTTGCTCTGATGGCTGACATGGTATACGTCACCCAGTCAGCGTGTCGATTGCTAAGAGCTATATTTGAAATTGTACTACATAGAGGTAATTTATGGAATTTTATAACCCATTGGGTAGTTTTAAAATAAAAGATAGCACACTAGCGCCCCCTTGTTGTCAAAGTTTTTTTTTATATCATAAGGTGGCAAACGAGCGAACTGCCATCTGAAATCGCTGAAATAGCGATGTGACAGCCCATAGACATACGCAATTGAATGCGTTGCCTACCTTTAATCCACGGAGGAGAGGATGCACAGAAACAAAATGTCCCTTCCAATGCATCTCATCCGGAAAGTCCACTTCCACTTCCCATCTTTTACTTATAAGAAAAAAGGAAGGGAAAGAGGAGTAAATGAGTTCTCCGGGACGCACACTCATCAGACTGCACGTCTTCTGTATGGTCGTGGTATTTCACCGGACGAGTCGGGACTATTCCTGCGAACATGTTACAGTGGGCTCTACCACTGTTCAAGTGTCTTTGTCGTTTTTAATAGTCAATTTTTTGTTTGGTCATCTTAAACATTACAAACTATTTGGTAGTTTTTGAGTTATTTTAAGGAAACAGTGCCAAAAACTCTGAGAACAATGGGACAATTTTGCTTTCTTGGGTTTATTATTCAAAATATTGATTTCTTTATTTTTATATATGTTTTATTATGTTTGTTTAACAGGGTGGGCGCAGTTAGTAGATAAAACTCTGGCGCTTTGCAAAATGGTTGATCGTCGTATGTGGCAGTCAATGTCACCTTTAAGACAATTCAGAAAGATGCCGGAAGAAGTAAGTTATAAAATATTAACTGTCGCTCGCCACTCCGTCAGCGCGGAATTAAAAAAAAAATAGTAGTCTATGTGTTCTTCCAGACTATGTTCTATATGTATGACAAATTTCATCAAGATCCGTTCAGGCTTTCTGTAGATATCTTCTAACAAACATCCATCTAAACATTCGCATTTATAATATTAGTAAGATTTAAAATTTGGTTTATTAAACAATGAATCTTAAAATTTCAAAACCCAATAATACAGTTTAATTTATAAATATTTTGTAAATACAATCCAACTTCTTAATATTTCTTCCTTTTAAAATATAATATCAAATTAAAAGGTACCTCCGAAACGGCTAAACGGATCTTGATGAAATTTGTCACACATATAGAACATAGTCTGGAAGAACATATAGGCTACTAATTAAGTTTTTTAATTCCGTGCGGACGGAGTCACGGGCGTCAGCTAGTATTCAATATAGTCGAACCGTCTTAACAAGGCTCGTTTAGTCAGGTTTGACTGCACACATAATATTTTTTTTTCTCATCACAGGTAATAAAGAAACTAGAAAAAAAGAACTTCCCATGGGAGAAATTATATGAATTAGGACCTAACGAGATTGGTGAATTAGTACGAGCCCCGAAACTTGGCAAAATGATACACAAATACGTGCATCAGTTCCCAAGACTGGAACTGGCGACACATATACAACCAATCACCAGGTCAACCCTCAGAGTGGAGCTGACCATCACACCTGACTTCCAATGGGATGAGAAGGTATGGAGAAATTAATTAGTAGCCTATGTGTTTTACCAGACTACAACTATGACAAATTTCATTAAGAACTGTTAAGCCGTTCCGGAGATATCTTCAAACAAACATCCATCCATTCATTGAAACATTCGCATTTATAATAAGAAGTGAGGAGAAAAATATATATGACATTCAAAGTTTGTAAAAATTTTACCCTCAAGGGTGCAAAATAATAGGAAATAAGGGATGAAAGTTTTTATTAAAATACGTAAGGTTTATGTGAATTTTGTATATGTTTTATGTTTTTAAGTTACTTAATAATAATAAATATTTAATGCGAACGAAATCATGGGCACAGCTGTTGTATAAATCATTTCAAATATCTTAACGGCTCAAGGTACAATTTGCTTATAATATTCAGAGCCGATAAGATATTTGAATGATACTATACTTCCAGATACACGGTCAATCGGAGGCATTCTGGGTGCTCGTGGAGGATGTGGACTCAGAGGTGGTGTTGCATCATGAATATTTTCTACTAAAACACAAATATTGCCGCGATGAGCAACATGTGAAATTGTTTGTACCAGTGTTTGAACCACTGCCGCCGCAATACTTCCTGCGCGTTGTCTCAGACCGGTGAGTTCACATTGCATAACATGTTGTATGAAGAAGGAACAAAATAGTCATCAGCTCAGTATAGGTCCCCACTGAGGGCCTAACCTGCCCCAAGGTGACTAGGTGATAGTGAATGCTGGTCCAGTGCAAAACAATCCTTTTAATAAACTCTTATAAAAACGGCTAAAACACTGACGTGTATTCATCCGATGTCGGCATCCACTAGTTTCGAGCTGATCGAGAACCCTTCATCATGGTCAGTGGGGACTGGTATTATTTCGCGGACAAGGTCCCTCAGCTCACGAAATGTGTCGAAAGTTTGAATAATTCAATCCTTTTTTATCTTTCAGTTGGATAGGTGCAGAGACACAACTTCCAGTTTCATTCCGTCACCTCATCTTACCAGAGAAGAACTTACCGCCCACGGAATTGCTGGATCTACAACCACTGCCGGTTACAGCGCTGCGCAATAGTACATACGAAGCTTTGTACAGTGACACATTCCCACAGTTCAATCCTGTACAGACTCAGGTATGTTTACAAAGAAAATCCTAATTTAAATTCTTAATATCCTAACATTTTTAACAGTGGTAGAGCGAGCTTTAACATATTCGCAGGAATAGTCCCGCCTCGTCCAGTGATATACCACGACCATACAGAAGACGTGCAGTCTGATGAGTGTGCGTCCCGGAGGAATAATTTACTCCTCTTTCCCTTCCCACACTTTTTCTTATAAGTAAAGGATGGGAAGTGGAAGTGGACTTTCCGGATGAGAGGATGCATGGAAAGGGAATATATTTTCTTTCTGTGCATCCTCTCCTCCGTCGATTAAAGTTAGGCAACGCATATGCAATTGTGTATGTCTATGGGCAACGGTCACTTCGCTATTTCAGCGAGTTCAGATGGCCGCTCGCTCGTTTGCCACCTTATAATATAAAAAAAAATCTACCCCCTTCCTACGCATATCTTCTAAAGCGCGCCATTTCATGATTCATAATTAATTAATTCTATATTTCATAGGCGTTTTAAAATGAATGTTATTTTTGATGAACAGGTATTCAATGCTGTATACAATTCAGATGACAACGTATTTGTTGGTGCCCCCTCAGGGTCGGGCAAATCTGTTATAGCGGAACTTGCACTACTACGGTTATTGTCAAGCAACGCCGGCGGGCGGGCAGTGTATCTCCTGCCTAAAGATGCATTAGCTGATATTGTGTTCGCGGATTGGTATCACAAGTTTGGTACTAAGTTTAATTTGAAGGTAAGTTTAGTAGTCTATGTGTTCTTCTAGACTATGACAAATTTCATAAAGATCTGTTTAGATGTTTTGGGAGATATCTTCTGACATCCATCTAAACATTCGCATTTATTATATTAGTAAGATTGATTATTATTTATGTTTTAAATGGAGATATTGTTCTCTGAAACCCACGGTAAGTTTAAATAGATTTTGTCTTCAAATGTTATGAAGACTCAAGTTAACAGCCACCAAGATATATGAAAAGAAAACACACCTTACTATCTTACTTAATATTATAAATGCGAATGTATGGATGGATATTTGTTAGAAGGTATATCCAGAACAGCGGAATGGATCTTGATGAAATTAGTCATAAATTTAGAACATAGTCTGACTACTAAGATTTTTATCGTACTGCGCGGACCGAGTCGCAGGCAACAGCTAGTCTATAAATGCTAGTATCTTTATTTTTCTTTCAACTTTCAGGTGGTACAACTAACTGGGGAGACGGCGACTGATCACAAGTTACTAAACAAGGGTCAAATCATCATCACCACAGCGGAGAAATGGGACGTACTTTCTAGAAGGTTGGTTATATGGTGGCTAATTTTTTAGGAATTGTAGATATTTTTTTTACCTGACTGATCAAAGGTTTCCGAGACTAAAATCTCCGTTTAAAACACATTGTTATGTCCGTTTTATCAGTATATTTTCCAGAGATTGTTTTACATCTATTTCATCGAGATCCATGCATGCTTTCAGGAGATACCTTGCAACATACATTCATATAGCTAAACATTCGCATTTATATTCATCATCATCAGCTCACTATACGTCCCCACTGAAGGGCTCGGAGCCTACCCTAAGTTATGTGACTAGGTCATAGTCAACCACGCTGGCCAAGTGCGGGTTGACTTCACACATATGTTTGAATTTCTTCTCAGATATGTGCAACATTACGATGTTTTCCTTCACCGTAAGAACATAGTATAAATGTACATATGTAAATCGCAAATGGAAAAACACATTGGTACATGGCGGTATTCGAACCCAGGACCTGCAGATTGCAAGTCAAGTGATTGACTCCTGAGCCACCGATGCTCTATATTATTAATATTTAAGAATATATTAGTAATATTTAATCCATGTTCTTTATGTAGATGGAAGGTGCGCAAGAGTGTTCAGAACGTGTCTCTAGTGATAGTTGATGCGCTGCAGCTGCTCGGCGGTGAGGAAGGACCAGTGCTCGAGGTGGTTTGCTCCAGGATGCGGTACATCAGCTCACAGATAGGTCAGTGCAAGATAAGGTTCTGTTCAGCCTTCAATGGTGTATATGGCGCCACTGCTGACAGACAGAAATTTTAAATCAAACAGTAATAAAAGAAAAATAATTTAAAAACAAAAAAAACTGTAGTTGTTCTGCTCGTTGGTCTTACTAATATCATTTGACAAAAAAAACATTTTTAACGCTATAATTTTTAGCTACACGCCGTTGCCTATCATCCTAAAAAAAACTTTACACTATGACTCAACTTCCTTTACAATGTTGGCTCTACGATTCAAAGATCTTTGCCTCTATCTTCTTTAAAAAAAAGAGTAATCTATGAATATCTTACCTCTATACATGGATAGGCTATTAACCGTGGTTTTTAGTGCCAAATTGATTTTCGACAATATGACAGTAAATATTTAATAAACTATCAGTAACAAGAGAACTGATATACAACACTATAAATGGATAGGCGATTGCTTGAAAATAGCAACTTTTGTTCCTTTTTTAACCTTCCTCTTCGTTCTGACTTAAACTTGCCCCTTGTATTAGAATCCAAATCACCAGCCCCAAATGAAATCAAATAGGCACAAAATACTACGTCTCATAGCCAGTCCATTTATAAGGGTGATTTATAACTATTTATGGTTTCCAGGTCGTCCAATCCGTATAGTGGCATTATCTCTGCCGTTGGCGGACGCTCGTGATGTATCGCAGTGGCTTGGTTGCAACTCAAACGCGTCTTTCAACTTCCATCCAAGCGTGAGACCGCTACCACTAGAACTGCATATACAGGTCATAGCTCTAATTATATTGGATATAAAGTATAGCCACGTCAAATTCTATACATGGCGGCCATTTTAATATATCTTTTTTTTTTATAAATAATGGTAATTAATCTTACTAATATTAAAAATTGAGACGTCGGTGGCTCAGTGGCCAAGCACTTGACTTGCAATCTGCAGGTCCTGGGTTCGAATCCCGTCATGTACCAATATATTTTTCTATTTCCGATTTACATATGTACATTTATCCTATGTTCTTACGGTGAAGGAAAACATCGTGATGCTGCACATATCTGAAAAATAATTCAAAGATATGTGTGAAGTCAACCAGCACTTGGCCAGCGTGGTTGAATATGATCTAGTCACATAACTTAGGGTAGGCTCCGAGCCCCTCAGTGAGGACGTATAGTGAGATGATGATGATGAATATTATAAATGCTAATGTTTAGATGTATGGATGTATGTTTGTTATTACGTATCTATAGAACGGATGCATGGATCTCGCTGAAATTTATCCAATTTGGGTTTAAATGCATAATAGCTGCTATATATGGAATTTGACCTTTTATATAATTAACCGCTGGTTTCTGAGACCGAAATCTCTGTATAAAACTTACAATTCCTGTCATTATCTTTGATAAGACAGAGACATGTTTTAAACGGAAATTTTGGTCTCAGAAACCATCAGTTTTCTATCAAAGAATTATACTAATGTTTAATATACAACAGGGCTTCAACATATCCCACGCCGCGTCACGTCTCGCTGCAATGACGAAACCTATCTACAACGCCATCTGTCGATTTGCGGGAACAAAACCGTGTGCAGTGTTCGTACCATCAAGACGTCACGCAAGATTACTAGCTGCTGATTTACTGGCGCTGGCAGCAGCTGCTGGACGAACTGGCAGGTTCCTGAGAGCCAGACAGGATCTGGTGAAGCCGTTCCTTGATAGAGTTAAAGATAAGGTATGGATGAAAAAGAAACAATTAGTAGCCTATGTGTTCTTCCAGTCATACCCCTTAAGCCGAGCCCCTCGGTGGAGATGTATAGTGAGCTGATGATGATGATGTGTTCTTTTAGACTATGTTCTAAATCTATGTCAAATTTAATCGTGATCCATACAGCCGTTCTGGAGATATCTTCTAACATCCATACATCCAAACTTTCATTTCTAATATTAGAAGATAAATAAATTCGAAATTTTAATAATTATTTCCAGATGCTAAAAGAAACTCTGTCAGCCGGAGTAGCATACCTACACGAGGGTGTAGAACCTTCAGACAGACGTCTGGTGCAGCAGCTGCTGGAATCTGGAGCGGCGCAGCTGTGTGTGGTAGCTGCAGAACTGGCATGGGCTTTTGCGGCCCATGTCCATACTGTGATCGTAGCTGATACACACGTGTGAGTTATCAAAGGGTTAACTATGAACTATAGAATTTGCTTATCTTCAAGCTGAGGCTTCTAAGGGTGCTTTAAAGCCTAGTTACTCTTTACTTTCAAATTACTGTTCATTTATATCAAGAAGTTATTACATTTATTCGATACTAGCTGTCGCCCGCAACTCCGTCGGCGCGGAAAAAAAACTATTGGTCGCAACATAATGTTATATAGCCTAAAGCCTTCCTCCATAAATGGACTATCCAACAAAGATAATTTTTCAAATCGGACTAGTACTTCCTGAGATTAGCGCGTTTAAACAAACAAATTCTTCTGTTTTATAATATTTCTTATTCGATATACTGCAGAATACTGAAATTACGTTTAAATATTCAAGAGGGTTAGACAAAGTGCATTCGCTCAAAAGATATTCCATAGCAAACTACAAAAATGTATGGAACTGAGCGACAAAAGTAACTTATCTAAAGTTATTGTCAGTTCTATACAGTTTTGAAGTTCGTTATGGAATCGCTTCGTTGCGAATGCACTTTAACCTCCCATCATTTTATGATATCACGCTTAAACTATAAAAATTCCATTGAATTTTTGACGCTTAACAGATTGTAAGTGGCGATTACTTTCATATATTTTTCAGTATTAATAAAATAAAAAGCATTAAAAAAAGTATTAAAACCTTGTTTGATGACTGTCAAAGTGATGTAAATCTGCTAAATCTAGTTTTATTTTTACCAGATACAACGGCAAATTGCATTCCTACGAGCAATATCCAATAACAACAGTGCTGCAGATGTTGGGACGCGCGTGCCGTCCGCTGGAAGACGACAGAGCGGTCGCAGTGTTGATGTGCGCTGCACACCACAAGACATTCTTCACTAAGCTATTGAATGATTGTTTACCACTAGAGGTCAGTGTTGTGTTGCAGATAGATTGGGAATATAGGCAGTGTGTAGTCGGTCTAGTCATATTGAAACAAAAATGTAATGTTGCTGATCACTGTTCGCAAAGCAAGATTTGTTCCGGATAATATCCGGAACGGATGGATCTATTTTGACCGGACTTTGACGGGAAGGTAGCTGATGAACGCGCGCATATTATAAGCTACTTTCTTTAGTAATTCTACGCATTCTCTTACCTAAATAATTCTACAATAACTGTGTTTTCTTTTTTTCTAAATAAAGAAAAACATATGATCAGTTCCATATTTCCCACAGAGTCACTTAGACCATAGACTACACGACCACATGAACGCGGAGATCGTGACAAAGACCATAGAGAACAAGCAGGACGCTGTCGACTACCTCACCTGGACCTTCCTCTACAGGCGATTGACGCAGAATCCTAACTACTATAACTTGCAAGGAGTCACACACAGGTAATAAAAACGAAATAACTCTTAGTTTTTTTTTATTAAAAAAATACTGTACGACAAAGAATTATTCTAGTTGATTGTTATTATCTTTTTTTATACTGTCACTAGCTGTCGCCCGTGACTCCGTCCGCGCGGTTTAAAAAAACTTAGTAAGCCTATGTGTTCAGACTATGTTCTACATCTAAGTCAAATTTCAAGAAGATTCATTAGGCCGTTTTGGAGATACCTTTATTTTTTCTTTCGCATTTATAATATTAGTAAGATTTGATAATCTTTGGTATCTGATAATATTAAAAAAATATAACTTACTTTTCCACAGACATCTGTCCGATCATCTATCGGAGTTAGTAGAAACAACTCTATCAGAACTGGAGCAATCTAAATGTATCGCGATTGAAGATGAGATGGATGTACGTCCTCTCAACCTCGGCATGATCGCCTCTTACTATTACATCAATTATACTACTATAGGTATGTTACTTGTAAATTGTGAATTATGGCAGTGTGAAGTCGGTCTGATTTCCATAAATTGTAAATTTGATGATTAAAAGGTGGAAAAGGTCAAAGAAAGTATGTATGGATTGTGTGAAAGATGTATGGGAGTTCATATATGTGCTGATACAGATGTATGGAGGAATACAAACTGTGCCGACCCACCGTAGGGATAAGGGCACTATGTCACTGATAAATTGTGATTTATGGCAGTGTGAAGTCGGTCTAGTTTATAAATTGCCGTCAAATTATAAAAAAATTGCCTAATGACGTTAAATTTAAAAGTTTACTAAATTTGTGAAATAAATAAAATTTTGCACATAATAACTTTCTTTTAAAAAACTACAAATTTTCATATATTCAATATGTCCACAGAACTGTTCAGCTTGTCACTCACCAGTAAGACAAAGATACGTGGTCTCCTGGAGATCATATCCTCGGCAGCGGAGTACTCGGACCTCTGTATCCGGCATCGAGAGGAGAACATCATCAAGACTTTGGCTGCTAAGTTAGTACTGTCGTTTTGTAAAATGACGAAAATATATCACTCGATGATATCTCCGAAATAGCGAAGCGACTGTTGATACTAGACATTCACAATACAGATGCGTTACCTACATTCTGTCGACAGAGGAGGGGACACACAGATAGAGAATATTTCCTCTTCCTATCCTTTCTCTTAATAAGGAAAGGCAAAAATAGGCCTCCGTCACATACACTCAACAGACTGTAGTTAAAATTGTTTCCACTTGACACCTGTCTTCTGTGTCATCATCAGCTCACTGTAAGTCCCCACTGAGGGTCTCGTTACCCTAAGTGATGTGACTATGTGATAGTGAATGCTGGTCCAATGCGTCACTTCACACATATCTTTAACATTCACAGATATGTGCAGCGTCAATATGTTTTCCTTCACCGTTTTCTTTGTTCAATTGTGTTTTTTTATATCATAAGGTGGCAAACGAGGGAACGGTCACCTGAAATCGCTGAAATAGCGAAGTGACCGTTGCCCATAGACATACGCAATTGCATATGCGTTGCCTACCTTTAATCCACGGAGGAGAGAATGCACAGAATTAAAAAATGTATATACCTTTCCATGCATCCTCTCATCCGGAAAGTCCACTTCCACTTCCCATACTTTCTTTATAAGAAAAAGTGTGGGAAGGGAAAGAGACTAAATTAGTCCTCCAGGACGCACACTCATCAGACTGCACGTTTTCTGTATGGTCGTGGTATTTCACCGGACTAGTCGGGACTATTCCTGCGAACATGTTAAAGAGAGCTCTACCACTGTTAAAAATGTGTCTAATATGTAACTTAACCTTCAGAGTGCCGCACAAGCCGGCAGCGGGTGCGGGCGCGGCTCCCGGGGCCACAGTACGTTACAATGATCCACACGTGAAAGCGCACGTGTTACTGCAAGCACATCTCTCACGTATGCAGCTTCCCGCCGAATTGCAAGCTGATACAGCTATTGTTCTTACTAAGGTAACCATTATTTTTAACCCATTTGGCTAATTGAATCTAAAGTCAATCAGACTGTTTTGTACATTTTAAGGATTTAATTAACCCAATAGGAAACTAATCTGATTAATTCTATTACTAATATTATAAATGAGAATGTTTTGATGGATGTTTGTTTGAATGTATCTCCAGAACGGCTGAACTGATTTCTATGAAACTTGACATACATATAGAACATAGTCTGGAAGAACATATAAGGTATTAATTATGTTTTTTTTTAATTCAGCGCGAAAGAAGTCGCGGGTAACTGCTAGTCAGATAAAACATTCGCATTTATAATATTAGTAAGGTTAGTAAGATGGTTGTGAAGTTAAAGGGGTTAAAATTAGGCCTTTTTTGTGGTTTTGTCTCCTGTGTTACATACGGTAGTAATTTTATAAACTGACTTGTTAATTCCAGGCGATCCGTCTTATCCAAGCGTGTGTAGACGTGGTATCAAGTAGTGGATGGCTGGCGCCCGGCGTGGCCGCCATGGAGCTGGCACAGATGGTGACGCAGGCGATGTGGGCAAAGGATTCGTATCTACGTCAACTGCCGCACTTCACACAGGAGATGGTGCAGAGATGCTCAGAGAAGGTATATCCTCATATATAATTACCCACTACCTGTGGGGGGATGGACTAAGTTAGGCTTCCAATTGCCTTAGATTCATAAGAATGTGGGGTCAGACAAAGTAGTAAGTGGTATAAATGTTTCAGGGTGTGGAGACAGTGTTTGATGTGATGGAATTAGAAGACAATGCAAGAGCCAAGCTGCTGCAGCTCTCACCAACTGAGATGGCGGATGTAGCGAGATTCTGCAACCGTTATCCCAATGTTGAACTTACTTACGAGGTAAATATGTACCGTATATTATAACTTTACTAGCTGTCGCCCGCGACTCTGTGTTCTTCATTTAACATAATCTTGTTCTACATCTGTGTCAAATTTCATTGAGATTTGGATATACCTTCTAACCAACATCTATCCATAATTCAAACATTCGTATTTATAATACAAGTATGCGACTTCGTTCTTCCGGTATTAAGAAAAATTTGCTGTCATTCGGGGATAGTAAAGCTTGCAAACATTATAAGGTTTTCTTATCGGTTTGTTTTGGGAGCCTATTTTGCATTAAATAAGCTCCCAAAACAAACCTTTCCTGTTTATAATTTTAGTATACATAGTGTAGATTATAATGATTAGAAATAGTTTTTTTTTTTAATATATAACATGTTTTTAATTATTATTTTTGTTTTTAGGTTAAGAACGAACGTCGTCTACGCGTAGGCAAGCCGATAGTGGTTGAAGTATCATTGGAAAGAGAAGACGAAATCATTGGACCTGTTATTGCGCCCTTCTTCCCGCAGGTTTGTACAGTAATAATTTAATTCATAAAGTTATTTAACACATTGAATTCCATTGGCCTCGTTTTTACATTGTCATATGATAAAATGCCACTGAATGTGATAAATCTATATAGAATGAAAAAAAAACAATGTTTTAAATATTTTGTTTCTTTTGTAATAATCGTTTAAGGATTATGGATTCCTTGTTTATGGAGTAATTTCCACAAAAATATAAGAAATTATAGGCCATTTCATTTATCTCCATATTCAACACACATCTATTTTATCAACAAGTAAAATATGTTTCATTTATTACTCAGAGCACGAGTTACTTTAACTGATAAGCAGAATTTTAATCACATTTTAATATTTCCAGAAACGCGAGGAAGGCTGGTGGGTTGTCATCGGGGAACCTAAAAGTAACAGCTTACTGTCCATCAAACGCGTCTCGCTAGGGCGCTCTGCCCGGCTGCGGCTGGACTTCGTGAGCGGAGCACCCGGCAGGCACACTTATACGTTATACTTCATGTCAGACTCATATCTAGGCGCTGATCAGGAGTACAAGTTTACTGTAGACGTGGATGATGCTCCGCAAACTGATTCCAGCGATTCAGAATAGTGGCAACACTAAATATTTTAATGGTATGTGGCAACCCTAATTTTAAAAATGTTGTGACAACCCTAGAAATTGTATAAGATGGTTTTTGGCAACCCTAATTGCAATACGTGACAACCCTAGAAATTACGTAAGGTGGTTTTTGTCAACCCTAATTGCAATTATTTGTGACAACCCTAAGTATAGAAATTAAGAAATAAAAAAGATATTCATACAATATATATTTGTTTTTATCTGACGAGAAAGTACAAAAGTCGAAATAAACTAAGAATATAATTATTTATGTATTGGTGACAACCCTATTAACTACATAAGACCTTAAAACCTTACAATTTGAACCTGGTAAATAAAACGCCAAATATAATTTAAAAAAAAAAACATTTATTATGAAACATATGGAAATAATCACATTCTGGACACAGTTTCAACTTTCCATGATTACAAGGTCTTAAAAGCCCGGTAAAATAACATGAGGTCTTTTAGACCTGGTACATTTTATGTGCATATCCGTCTATCTGCATGTGCTCGCATATGCTCCTTTAGAGTATAACTTCTTGCATAAGATTTTAAGCAAATCGTACAAGTAAATGGTTTTTCACCGGTATGTTTCAACATGTGTTTCTTCAAACCGTGGTTAGTAATAAAAGCCATATGGCATTCTGAACATTTTTTATTTTTATGTCCATGTGTCTGTCTTATATGTGTAGCTAAATAATGTTTTATATTATATTCTCGATTACATATATGACATTTGAATTTATGTCTTATATTATGCTCTTCGGACATATGTTTTATTCTTGCATTGTAATGTTTCATCGGTTTGAAACATATTTGACATTTTATTATGCGTTTAGAATGACTTTCCATATGATTAGCTATAGATGTTTTCGTTTTTAACACTTTCCCGCATTCTTTGCAAGGATAAACACCATTTTCGTGTATACGTTTGTGTACTTTCAATCGCTTTGTATTCAAAAATGATTTACCACAAACATCGCATATACAATTTGGGTAATGTTCGTTTAGATGTGTCGTCAATGTTCTGAAAACGTGAAATTCACGTTTACAAATATGACATGAGTACGGACTTGAATTGACCTTGTAATCCGCTATGTGTTCTGTATAAATCAATTTGTTATGAACTTCGGCAAGATGGCGTCGCATCGAATTGACATCTGTCAATGTCACAGAACAATGGCGGCATTGCAGATTCGATATGTCAATTTGTAATGACCTTGGTAAGCATTTTATTTTTTTTAATTCTGCATCGATATCTTTATGGTTGTTAAAAGTGTGTCTTTTTAATGTATTTATATCCATGAAATCTTCAAGACAGAAGAAACATTGGAACCAGCTCTTGTGATGTCTGAATGGACAAGCTGTTGTATCTTTTAGCACAATGCCGCAAGTTAAAATAACTCGTTTCCTTTCTGATATCTTTTTGTTTTTCTCTTTATGTTCTGAAAAGTATATAAATTATTTTCTATCTTTTTTTTTATATTATAATGTGGCAAACGAGCGAGCGGCCACCTGAAATCGCTGAAATAGCGAAGTGACCGTTGCCCATAGACATACGCAATTGCATATGCGTTGCCTAACTTTAATTGACGGAGGAGATGATGCATAGAAAGCAAATGTCTTCCCTTTCCATGCATCCTCTCATCCGAAAGTCCACTATCACTTCCCATCCATTCCTTATAAGAAAATGGGTGGAAGGGAAAGAGGACTAAATAAGGCTTCCGGGACGCACAGTCATCAGACGAAACGCAGAGTTGCTACCACTTCACGCCTGTCTTCTGTGTGGTCGTGGTATTTCACCAGGCCAATTCGTGCAAAGATGTAAAAGTGGGTTGTCTACTATCGATCTTAAGTAGATATATATTTATGTCTAATCGAAAGTAGATTTTCACCAAACACAAACTCAATATTCTTTCCTAAATATTGTAAATTACTAAGTATTCATGGTTAAAAACATTTTTCTAAATTAATATGAACTAGGTACATTATACAGTCAGAAAATCTTACTAATGTTATAAATACAAATGTTTGGATGGATGGATGTTTGTTAGAAGGTATCTCCAACACGGCTCAACGGATCTTGATGTAATTTGACATAGATGTATAACATAGTCTGGAAGAACACATAGGCTATGTAACAAGTTTTTCTAATAGGTTTAAAACTACTAATTCTTATATATAAAATTCTCGTGTCACAATTTTCGTTCCCATACTCCTCCGAAACGACAGATTCTCATGAAATTTTGTGAGCATATTGAGTAGGTCTGAGAATCGGCCAACATCTATTTTTTAATCCAGCACAGACGGAGTCGCGGGTGACAGCTAGTAAATATATAAAGACTGTCATTTGGAACTTTAACTTTCTCTAATTAATTAAGACATTAAATTGAAATATAATATTTGGTATATTTACCATCTTTTTTATCATTTTTGTCAATTTTTTTTTCTTTTACAGCTTTTTCAGTACTTGCAAAAACAAAACCTTTTTCTTGAGAATAAGTTTTGATTAATACAGATATAGGAGTATCAGAGTCGTATCCAGGATCTGTAATTTCTCCATTTTCATTCTCCATACATTTTTCAAATGTTCTCCCTTTCTCTTGAGTCGCTTCAGTATTATGTGTTTTTACTAATGCTGATTTTTTATAGTTTTCAAAATTTGCTGTTTCTGAGAAAAATAAGAAAAGTATATATATCCACACAAGGAATAATTTGTACAAAATATTTTGTCTTATGGATAATTCTTAAAAAAAAAAAACAGAGATTTTATAGTTTTTTCAGTTGTAGACAAAATACTAGAATGTTAAACTATAGCCAAGCATTTAAATATGTTTTACCTGTATTATTGGAATCATCAGCTTTGTTAATCTCTTTTTCCTTTATTGGATTATCTTTTTGTAGTTTTTCTGTAACAAAGACTATTGATAGGTAAATGAAGAATGGAGACGAACATAAAAATCAATAAACCAAGAATAAAAACAGCTTACTATATGCTAAGGGTTTTGGAGCCTAACCTGAACCATTCCATTCATCCGTCCATTTAATCATTCACACTTATTATTGTTATACATTTATTTATCATATTTTTAATATAGTACATTTCATATCCAAAATAAAATATACAAAACATATTATATTAAAAATAGAACACCATCGGCTGCAGAATCCCATGACTCAACAAGTGTTACATTTTGTTAGTAAGATTGGTGTTAATATGATATAGACAACTACCTATTTGAATATGATAACATACCTGTATTATGGAGGAAGAGATTGAACTGCCTCTCAGCATCCAATACCTGCTTCTTGAAATTGCTGGCCAGTCTCAGCTGGGTGACGCAAAGCGTGCATATCAGAGGTCTTCCTGAGTCCCGGAGTAGCTTGGGAATTCATGCTATGAACTTACTAACACTGTCAGTATAGATTTTCTTACTTTAATACGTTTTGAGTATCGTAATATTTTTTATCTGGCAAAATGCTTTCACAATCCATATTTGGAATGTTTGATTTAGACATTTCAAACGAAAGAACAATAAATGCATCATGGTTTCAACGATTTTAATTGAAGGATTTGTATATACTTACAGAAATCCCAAACGTTTCTTGTAACTTATCATGATAAATTTCTTTTATTCCTGAGTCGGAAATATAAGCGATGGTCATATCGCATGTTCCACTAGCCGCTAGACAGCATCGGCATACATCAGACTGCAAAACCCACGTTTTTGTGTAATCTAAATTCATTTTCATTTAATAAATATTAAAATATATTTAATTTTAGAACTTAATAATGATTTGATCAATACACAGAATCAGAGTTTTGTTTTTTTTTTCACAACAAAATACGATGACAGTGACTGACAGGTGTAAGATGACAAAATCTCAGAGCCAAAGTTAGAAAAATCGATTTAAATTATATCGATTTTAAATAATTTCTCCTCCCAGTATTTGCATTAGTCTATTTATACTTTCTGTTTTATCTTTGATCCTAGTAATTATAAACTAATAAAGCTCGTAAAAAAGCTGCAACAGTAAAAAGAAGAGTTAAAGACAACAATTTAATTATCGAACACATCTGGTTCGAGACATCACTATAGCTACGAGACCATCACTATCCAACTTTTCCCACTTGTCTTTTTTACCCGCCTAATATAAAAGCAATATAAGCATAATTTCGTTAAAACTTTATTATTCACCATGCGTAACATTGAAATTAAAGCGAAAGTACATAATGTGGAAGAGATTTGTAAAAAAGCCGAAGAATTAAGCGGTGGTCCCTGTGTTATTATAAAACAAGACGATGTGTTTTACAAAGTTAACGACGGTCGTCTTAAAATGAGGAGATTTCCTGACTCTTCAGCAGTTCTGGTTAGATACAGCAGAGACGATGAAGGTGGTCCAAAACTATGTAATTACGATCTATTGGAGTTTTCAGCGGATGAGAATAAAAAAGCTGAAGAATTGGATAACATTTTGCAGAAATGTCTTGGTATACGTGGTCGTGTTATCAAAGAACGGTAAGTAAATTTCATAAAATTATTATTTGTCTAAGTTAAAAAAGAAAAAGCTGTATTCCTTCAGTTTTCAGAATACCAAAAAAAAAATTGAAATAAAAGTTTTACTGGTGTGTTTTTTATTTCAATAGTTAAATATAAATGTTTAATCAACCTTCCTTTTAGAAAACTGTATTTAGTTGGACAAACAAGAATTCATATAGACAATGTTCAAGATCTGGGTAATTTTATGGAATTAGAAGTTGTATTAGAACCAGAACAAACTATAGAGGAAGGAGAGGCGATTGCCAAAGAGTTGCAAAACAAACTTGGTGTTAAAAATGAAGATTTATTAAAAGGTGCATACATGGATTTATTGGAAAGACTCTAACATTATTGAAAGTTAATTGCTAGGTTCTTTTAAATATAAATTATGCAAAGTAACAAAGTGGAATTGAACTATATTATAGCTATTTCTTAATAAAAATATGATATTTATTATCTTTATTTTTTGTTTATGTTTGATTTGTATATTAACCATTTGAAAGGAAGCCGAGGATGCTGTAATAGATACCTAGTTTTGTAATATTATGTTTATTTTAAATGACAATGGCTTATAAAGGCTTGCAGCCAGAGTGTGAGGTCATTAGCTAGTTAATTATTTATGAAATAAAGAGCAGCAAGCACACATAAGTTTTTTTTATATAAAATATTAGCAGATTTTTTTTGTAAATTTACTAATATTTCTTTTACCATTCCAACTAAGCTCTATGCTTGTGCTAGGATATGGTTTATGACAATAGTTGAATGGCGGGATTCGAACCTTACTACCTTCTTACCTAGTGATCAGAAATCCGGACCCTTAAATTTTAGGCTATTGCCGCTTTTAAGTGCCATTCATGAAGTGGTCATCTATTTGTGGTGAAGGTTTTTTAATACTAAGCCCTACAATATGAATTAACTATTGTGTACTAATGGCTCTATTTGATCCTACCAATATTATAAATGAAGATGTTAAAAGATATCTCCAGAACTACTGTATGGACTTCGCTGAAATTTGGCATAGATGTAAAACATAGTCACACAGTAGTACAGGAAGAAGATAGGCTTCTAATTAAGATTTTTTTCATTTCCGCGTGGACGACCTAGTAACTTATAATAATCTGCAGTTATCTTGTTTCTTTTTTGTTGCACATGCAGTGGGTCAATGTTAATGCAACATTCTTTGGAATCTTACTAATAATAGGATATAGTTAACATATCAGAACAGAATCTTTGTAAGTGATTAATCATTTTAAGAATTAAACATCTCAAGCTTGACTCTTATTATGTTACAGTTTCTTTCTTATGAGGGGGGGACGGCGCGTACGCAGTCCCCACTACCAAAAATTACGCGTCCGAGTTATCCGCATTAGGGATAATCGCAGGGGTCAACCCAACCGCAGTGCAATGGAGGGGCCTCGCCCTGGGGGAACCGCCTTCGTGATCACGGTAACCCCTACGCCAGGTAAGTATGAATTCACAGTCGCGGCACGCGAACCTCATCCCCGGCGAAAGACTTTCAACATCGCGATTTTGAATTTACAAAAACTATCAAGCGACATCTATTGGGAAGAAAACATACTTTTTGTAGTATAAGAAGCGATAGATGGCGCTGTAAACAGAAATTTCATTGTAATTTGAGAGATAAAATTTTCCAGCCTTTTTTTGTCTATATCCTGTGTCCTTTGCAGTATTTTATAGATAAAATAAATAAAAGATATTGTCTTTCCACCAGTTTATTGATCAAAAACATGATTTATGTTACAATGTGTAACGCCTTTCTAATATAATCTCACAGAACAAACCGCAATAGCAACGTCATCGGTTCAACTATACTTATTTGCCTACATAATTAACTTTCAGTAACATTCACCTATTTAAGTCAGAACAAAGCAAAAGATATTCATAGAACACTAGCTGTCGCCTGTAACTCTGTCCGTGCTGAATTAAAAAAACTGTAACCTATGTATTCTTCCAGACAATGTTCTATATCTATGCTAAATTTCATAGACACGTTCAGCCATTCTGGAGATACCTTCTAACAAACATCTAAACATTCGCATTTATATATTATAATCTAAATGGTGTGTCTTTATATGACCTTTTAAACTGCACTTTTGTACAAAAGCCTGTCCGCAAACAGCACAAGCAAATCTTCTATCATTATTATGTATCCTCATATGTTCTTTTAATGTCTTTTTCCTCGCATAAGACTTTTTACAAACTGTACATTCATATATTCTTTCTCCGTTATGTTTAATCATGTGAACTCTTAATTCGTTATTCGTAAAACATGAATATGAACATAAATCACAATGAAAATCCCGCTCCTCTAAATGATCCCTCTTCAAATGTCGTGACAAAGAATATCTTCTATCGAAAGATTTATCACATACATTGCATTTATATTTCAAAGGTGTCATCCCGTGTGTTTCTACTAAATGTTTATGCCTTTTAAAGTATTCAGAGAATCTTTCCGGACATTTTGGACATTTGAATCTTTTTAAATTCATATGTACAGCTGCGACATGGTTTTTCTGTTTCTGTGCTGTCGTGTAAACCTTTTTACATATTTCACAAGGGTAATTACCAGCTTCGTGTAAAGATTTTGTATGTACACGTAATCTATATTTAGTTATAAATCCTGAACCACACTCTTCGCACACATAATTCCTGTAATGCACATTCATATGACGCTCTATTGAACCGAAAGTTTCAAAATTGAATCCGCAAACTTGACATTCAAATATATTAGTTTGTGTTAATTTGAACGGTATAACACGGTCCGTATATTCGTTGTGATAATTTTTCTTATGAACTTTAATCAAATGTGATTTTAAATCATTTAAATTTGACACTTTCTCATCACATATAGTACACTTTAAGTTAGTCACATCAACGTAAACAACGAAATATTCAGCACCGTATGTTGATAATATCTTTTTTATATCTTTCTTCTTATGTTGTGTTAAATGTTCACGTAATTTATCCAAACTATCACATAGTTTACGACAATAATAACATGGGTATCCGGTACAATTTCTGTTTTTGAACGGTGTTGCATTACTATTTTCTAATAAAATTGATGCGTTTAACACATGACCCATTTTCTCTGATATATAAAGTTTTCTTTTCTTTATCTGTGATGGATCTGAGTCTAGCAATTTAGCTATCATTCTCGGTAACACTATTTTATCTGGAAAAAAAATAAAATTAATAAAAAGAAAAAAAAACATGAAATCTCAAACTAAAGTAACGCAGTTATTTAGTAACCTAATATGAGTGTTGGCATCTTATAATTAAAATATCCACTTTCCTTTAGTCTTGAAGACCTCACAAGTCTTTTTACATATCTGGACAGTTTAAAAACTAAAAAAAAATTTGCACAGATTAAAAAAAAACATAATTAGTAGTCTATGTGTTCTTCCAGACTATGTTCTATATGTATACCAAATTTCATCAATATCCGTTGAGCTGTTCTGGAGATACCTTCAAACAAACATCCATCTAAACATTCGCATTTATAATGTTAGTAAGATTTAGTATAAGGTCTATGTCTAAAAAGACTACGGACCATGAGTCTGTGGATGGCATTTGTTGGAAAAACAAACTCTATAGTAAACTAGTTTGACACATCTCTGCTAAAAGTTTGTCGGGTTACTGCAGGCCTATTAGACATCTATCCATACCTTTCAACATTTCAAGATGTTTAAAGAATGCAGGGCAGGCAGTTTTCAGTGATTCTCTTGTCGGTAGTTTTAGACTATGTCTCGGGAATCTTGCCAGTAAAGCTGCTTCAGGATCTAAAGGTTCCTCTGGTACATCTTTAGTTGATATATCTGAAAATTAAATAGAAAATATACATTAAATTTAACAAAATTAAAGGTGAAATGGACATATAAATGTTATGTTAAAAGAACATTTAATGATGATATAAGCAAAAGAGTAATGAGATTGAATGTGGATGGCTACAAGGGTAGGGGAAGACCAAAAAAAGTATGGAATGACTGTGTGAAAGAGGATATGCGTAAGAAGGGGGTAGACTCGGATATGACGGCTGATGGAGATGTATGGAGGAGTAGTACATACTGTGCCGACCCTTGATAGGGATAAGGGCAGGTTGATGATGATGTTAATAGAACATTTAATCATATGGTTACAGGTTCAAATGTCTGTCTTAAACCATATCATAGAGTATTTGTTATTTAGCAGTCTCCAGTGACTGCGCACATGAAAAAAGCATATGCTATATTTCATTGAGCTTCAACCGTTCTGAAGATACCTTCAAACATCCATCTATTCATCTAAACATTCGCATTTATTTATTTTTTAACAGCGGTAGAGCCCGCTTTAACGTCTTTACAGGAATTGGCCCGGTTCGCCCAGTGAAATACCACGACCACACAGAAGACAGGCGTCAAGTGGAAGCAATTCCGCGTGCAGTCTGATGAGTGTGTGTCCCGGAGGCCTTATTTAGTCCTCTTTCCCTTCCCACCCTTTTTCTTATAAGGAAAAGATGGGAAGTGGAAGTGGACTTTCCGGATGAGAGGATGCATGGAAAGGCAATCTTCTTTCTGTGCATCCTCTCCTCCGTCGATTAAAGGTAGGCAACGCATATGCAATTGCCTATGTCTATGGGCAGTGATCTCTTCGCTATTTCAGCGATTTCAGGTGGCCGCTCGCTCATTTGCCACCTTATGATATAAAAAAAAATTATAATATTGGTAAGATCTAAGTAAGATACCTTTATCTATATCACCGCAAACATCTTCGATGTTGTCTACGAAATATTCAGAATCAAAATCCATTGAGTCATCGCCCACCTTCTCCACTTTCACATCAATCACATCCTCAGTTTTTATCTCTTCAACATCTTCCAATTCATGAGAGTTTGCTGGAACTAAAGACAAATAATTTAATTAGGAACAGCTACTCTCAGTATGAGTCCAGTGACAGCACTAAATAGTTTCGGACTGTTTATTTTTTGGTTCTTCATGGTCAAGGAAATCTTAAGGGGCTATTGATCTGGAAATTGGTCTGTAAAGTCAGATTTTAATACTTCTACTAGCCCTTTCCCTTGGTAAGCAAAACACATGCTATGTCTTAAAATTTTAAAAACATCTATGGGCTTCACTACACCTACCTACATGAACAGAAAATTACTTGTTTATTACTGTATAACATGAAAAAATATTTACCATTTATAAAAACAGTTTCTTTCTCAGTGATTGCATTTAAAAGTTGTTGTTCCGACTTTACAATCGTTATACGAAAATTATTAGCATTTCTTAGCTGCTGTACACATGAGGAACAGATCAGAGGACTCAATGCAGTATTGGTTGATAACTGAAAGAAAATAGATATAGGTCATGTCTTAATTGTGAACTAGATGTGTATATAACGTAGTGAACATTAGTTTATGTATTTTATTATATTTTTTACTCACGTAAATGTTGAAACAATTCATTATTAAATCCATGTAAATTTCTTTGTTACCATTCCACGTATATTCTGTAAATAGATCTTGATGCTCGCCTTTTTCTATACAGAAACGACATGTACCATATCTTTTTTCCATTTTTTATATAATATTAAAGTTCTATTTTTTCGATTTTCTAATAATATCAACAAACCTATAATTAATCTGTCAAACAACTGTCAAATTTCTGTGTAGACTAGGGATGTACGATGCGATCCTAGATCCTTTACTTCGGTGAATCGATTTTAGATGCAATGGAATAAGATTCATTTTATTTTTTATTATTTATTAGCGGCTATTAATATTTATACATTAAAGTATCAGATTATCGAAAATTACACTGCGATTATAATAACGGTAATGTTTTGTTTAATTAATTTGTTGTTGCCGGTACAATAAATTAATTTCACAAGTGTTTCGGGTACAACCCTAGTTAAGTCACAGATTATACGAAATTACAAAGTAAATAAATTTAAATATTGATTTCCGCGAAAATTAAATCGATTACGAATTGCATGACGTCTTACATCCCTTTAAAGTATCCCAAAATTTGGGTTATATTATTTGGGCCGCAAATACGTTAGGTTCGACTTTACGTGCATAACTTATTTATAAAGTGTACGGTCTACAAAACAATCAACACTTGTCATAAACAAATTATAGTTTATTAAAATTAAAATTTATTTACACATAATTAGGAATAACAATTTATTAACAAGGTTGTATTTACTATGAGCAGAACGTCATTTGCCGAAAAGCATAATAAAATAAACATGCAATATTTGTTGGCACATAAAGTTAGTTTAACCATGAGAAATTTGATAATGCTTTAATAACCCAGGTTTGCTTTTAAATTGTTTAGAACATACATCACACACAAAATTCTTTTCTGTTTTATGTTTAATTCTATGATTATTTAATTCATATTTCATTAAAAACATTTTTCCACAATCTTTGCATTCATAATTCTTTTCTGTCCCGTGTATTCTTCTCATATGACTCGTATAATACGGTAACCAATCAAATGTCTTCCCGCAAACCTCACAAGTCATAATTTTAACCCGTTCCTTATGCATTTTAAGGTTATGTTGATGTCTTTCATATGTACCAAAGAATCTTTCCGGACAATAATAACATTTTATCTTTTTCTCTGTATTATGTATATAATCATAATGTTTTCTCATATATTTATTCGATTTGAATATTTTACCGCAAGCAGGACATGGATATTCACCTAATTGGTGAGTTTCGATATGTCTGTTAAGACGACTTGCAGCTAAAAATATATCGCCGCATTCGTAACAAATGTAATTACTATAATGTGAATTCATATGACCATCTAAATAATGATAGCTCGAAAATGATTCACTACACAACGCGCAATTTAATTCACTATTCAGTATAAAAGGTATAACTTTAGTATATGCTTCGTCTAGAACAATTTCATGTTGTTCTTCAAGATGACGGAACATATCATTCCAATTTGTTATAGAAGTTAAACATATTGTACAATGAAGACAATGTATATCTAATTTAATAACTTCATTTAACCACGGAGGTCTCATTATTTGATCTATACCTGATGTTCTTTCTGCGATATGTTTAGTTCTTGTGTGTGTTCTTAAATCCTGACCGTCTTCAAAACCTGGACTATCGGAACAATAAATACAATAATATCGTGAAGCTTTAGATTTATAAGGTACAGCGTTTGTGTATGTTAATATTATCTTTATTTCTTCTACAAGTTTATTGTGTTTCTCTTGTTCGTAAAATTTATTTGGTTCGTCATCTTTATCTGAAAGAAATTCAATGCATAATACTTACTAATATTATAAATGTGAATATTTAGATGTATGTTTGTTAGAAGGTAGCCAAAACAGATAAATGGATATCACTGAAATTTGGCACAGATGTAGAACAGTCTGGTAGAACACATAGGTTACTTATTCAGTTTTTTTTTAATTCCGCGCAGAATCGTGGGCGACAGCAAATTTTTATAATGACAAATTACATTTTTGATAATTAAATCTATCCATTATTAGTATGTCTTTTATTCTCTAATTAAGTAAAATACCTTTGTGCAATAATCAATAGACATTTTAATGAAAATTAAGTACTTCTTTGGGTGCCAGAAATGGTATGTGCAGGCAAAAAAAAATGTTAGGTTAAGATTTTGGCTTTACACCAATTGATTCTTTCAATCAAGAAATAAAATTGCCTATTCTATATTAAATAAATGACCTATTCACCTAACTTATGGTAGGCTATGAGCCCCCCAGTGGGGATGTATTTAAACTTACCCTCTTTTTTATTCCTTGCCGCATGAATCTTTGCGGTTACCGTCTTCCGTGGCACACCGTAAGTTACAGAAGCTTGGGCAATTGTCATTCTCTCGCTTAACACAGCATCGATGGCCATTTTCAATGCACTAACACTGTACTGTTTGTATGTCTTATTTCTGAACTCTTTTGGCAGCTTTTTCGGCCATTTTGTAACATCTTTGGTGGTTTTTTTATTCAAATTTTGTGATTCATCTGAAAGTAATAGATTAGTTGTTTATGATTAACTAGAATTATTGTGTTGTGTTTTAAAGATTTTTTTTTAATCATAAGGTGGCAAACGAGCGAGCGGCCACTTGAAATCGCTAAAATAGCGAAGTGACCGTTGCCCATAGACATACGCAATTGCATATGCGTTGCCTACCTTTAATCGACGGAGGAGCGGATGCACAGAAAGAAAATATTTTCCCTTCCTATGCATCCTCTCATCCGGAAAGTCCACTTCCACTTCCCATCCTTTTCTTATAAGAAAAAGGGTGGGAAGGGAAAGAGGACTAAATTAGGCCTCCAAGAAGCACACTCATCAGACGAAACGCGAAATTGCTTCCACTTCACGCCTGTCTTTTGTGTGGTCGTGGTATTTCACCGGGCGAGCCGGACCAATTCGTGCGAAGGTGTTAAAGCTCGTTCTACCACTGTTTAAAGTTAAATTGGAGTGATTTGACAATTACTAAAGTGCATTCCATATTTTAACATCAAAATAAAAAAAAAATAGTACTAAAGCAAATTAAAAAAGTTATACAACATAAAAAGAACTCACTATGATTATATAAAAATAAGCAAAAGAAAGTCTACAATTAAATAATTAAAGAGGGTATGGACCAAGTCTTTAATGTCATTTACTCTAATTAAAAAACAGGATTAAATATTTTTTATCCTAAAAAAAAATAGAGAAATTGCTGCAGAATTGGTTCTTATAGGAAAGCAATACAATTTTTTTTTCTTGCTAACTCTGGGTTATACATGCTATATTCATTACTTTCTTTTTTTAGTTTCACAAGTACTGTGTTGCAACAATTGCTAGTCTTAACTAATCTTACTAATATTATAAATGCAAATGTTCAGATGGATGGATGTTTGCTTGAAGGTATCTCCGGTAGATGTTGAACAAAGTCTCAAAGAAACATAGGTTAATAATTAGGTTTTTTTTAATTTCAGGATAGAGTCGCGGGCAATTGCTGGTTATTAATAAAATCAATTGTGTGTGCGTGAATGGCCAATTGCTTAATTGGTACTTCTTAAAAAACATACCATTTATTATATTATCATCATCACTGGACTGTTCTTTACTTCCTTCTGTGAAATCTAAATACTCAATACTTTGATATTCCGATTCTTTCTCTGTTTCTACCTCTTCCTCTTTTGCTATTGTATGTAGGAACACTGTAAGAAAAAATAAATAAACACATAAACCCAATATCTTGCTCCTCAATTTATGATCAAATTAATTTCAAATTTTGGGAAAATATCTCATCATGTTGTATTTCTAAGAAAATTGAAATAGTTTCAAGCTCCTCCCTACCAATGAGTCACACATCATCAGGCCACAGTCAACCATGCAGGCCAAGGTTGGTTGATTTCACACATATATTTAAATTTCTTCTCAGATATGTGCAGGTTGCATCACTATGTTTTTCTTCACCGTAAGAACGTCAGATAAATGTACATATGTAAATCGGAAATCGAAAGACACATTGGTACATGGCGGGATTCGAACCCAGGACATGCAGATAGCAAGTCAAGTACTTGACTCCTGAGCCACCAACATGTTCACACACCATTTTTAAAACAATCATATATTTTTAATGAACTATCCAATTTACTTTAATCCAAATTGATTTTAACATGTTCTAAACCTAATGCCAGTACAGTAGTGCTCAAAATTATCGCTGGCATACAAGAGATAAAACATAAAGAGATAAAAATAAAAAACTAAGTGAGTGTCCACTTACTTTTATCCTGATGCTCTTTTAGCACTTGGATGCTTGCTATTACTTCTCTTCTGAAACTGAGAGCATCTCTTAACCTCTTAATGCAAGAATTACATATCATTTCTATACTTTGCAAATGTTCGTCAGCTTGCGGCTATAAAATAAAATTGAGGTTATGTTTTTCCTATACAATTCTCAAATTTGCTTTTATTTAAATAGTTATCAATGTACTAGTTTATATGTATTTTGATTTGTAATTTTACTTACTGATAGCGAAAAACATTCTGATAACATTTCTCCGTATATTTCCGTTTCTCCATCAAATAGGTATGGCTCCCATAAGTTTTGTAATTCACCTTCGTTAAGACAGCATTTACATCTAGCTAAGAAAATAAACGTTTCAGCATTAGTTTCCATGATTAATAATTAACCAAATTAAATTTTAAGATTTTTTTAACATAACGCAAATGCAACAAATGTCAATAAGCAAGCGCCATATTTGAATTTTGACATTTCTTTTTTTTTTTTAATTTTTCGACCTGGTAACATAGTACTTTAGGTCTTTTGACATTTCTTATTTTATTATTTTATATACTCTTTGATTTCTTACGTGCAAACCGCAAAGATTAAACAAGGTCTAGGCTGGTGAGAGAAGCGCTCCCAACTGTTGGTTCAATAAAATATGTAAAACCTACATGAATATAGAAAAAAGAATATTGTATAAGTACATAAGAAGATGCAAATACCACAAAATATAAAAGTAAACGGTAAATGGCTCTGTTTTCGGTTACTTTTAAAGTTTTATGATGGTTATTTTGACAATTCATTTGACTTTTCAAAGATATTAAAAAAGTCACTTTTAAACTCTTTGCCAAACATCCAAACATGTCAATTTGTATGGCGTGTCCCCCCTATGGATGTGTGTTGTCGTCGTCTTTTAATTGTTTTACCAACAAACTAGAATTATGTGTTCATAATGAATTTTATTAACAACTTGTGAATGAAATATTGTCCCATATATTATCACAATGGCTACCGTAAAAAATAACGGACTCATAATAGATCCAGCTCTGTGCCGATTCTGCAGAGCTATAAAAAAATGTAGATTGTTGACTGCCGAGTACACTTGGATGGAAAAGAAAGAAGTATACGCCGATATGGTGATGGATTGCTTTGGAATTGTTGTTAGTATTTCTTTTATATACTTAAATATTCATAAATATGAACTCTCAATGATTAAGTATCTAACAATGAACTTATTAGAAAATATTTTTAATATTTATTTAATCAAATTTAAACTGAAAAATTTATTTGTAAGAAAATTTCTAAAGCCTTTGCCTTTAAAAAAAATTTAAGCAAGACGAAATTGTTTAAAGTTACTGTGGACATATCCTTAACATAAATATATAGCTTTGTTGTTCTGTAAAATAAACAAAAAAAAATTATTTCTTTTATTTCAGTTGTCACATATAGATGAAGATATGAAGGATGCTGGAGTTTGTGCCACTTGTGTTGTTAGACTAAGAGATGCTTGTGCATTTAGACAACAAGTATTGCAGTGTGAAGAACTATTCCTGAACGCTAAGCTTGAAGATAAAGATGGTAAGAAATTTACATGTATTTATAAGTCAACACAGAAATTTAAAGATATGTATGAAGTTAACCCATATTGTGACAATGGCAGCATGGTTGACAATGTCCTTGCCTAACTTAGGGTAGGCTCTTAGACCCTCAGTGGGGACATATAGTGAGATGATGATGATATATGTAAAACTGTGGTCAATAGTGTAAATTTTAATTGCAAATATACTTGTATATAAAATTGGACCTGGATAGGTGAGTCTAAAGGATCACAATATTTTTCTCCTTTATAGAGATTTCTCTCTTACCCAAGTTTCTAGGTAATGGAGGTTGTCTATTGGGATTGGACAATAACTATCCCTTAGACATTTCTCGCTTATCCAGGTTTTTTTAAAGTTAAGTGAAAGGCATAGACAATGTTTTATACAGATTTATAGGCTGTGGCCACGGTTAAAGAATTTTCCAAAACTTCTTTTAAATTGCAATTTTTGAGTTTTTCCAAAACAAATAAATATTTTTCTATTTATAATATTACTATACATTATCTGTAGAATGCTACTATGAAACCTATAACATTTCTGTTATGTCCAAGTCAAAGAAAGGGATAAAACCCAATTTACTAATATAATAAATGTGAATGTTTATTATATTAGTTTATTATTATATATTGTAGTACGCTAAGATGGATGTGTGGTGTGACAAGGAAGGATAAAGTTAAAAATGTGTATATTAGAGAAAGTTTGAAAGTAGCGCCAGTGATCGAGAAATTGAGGAATAAAAGATTAGCGTAGTTTGGACATGTTATGCGGAGGGACGATAATGATATAAGAAAAAAAGTTATGAGATTGAATGTGGATGGCTACAAGGGTAGAGAAAGACCAAAAAAAGTATGGAATGAGTGTGTGAAAGATATGTGTAAGAAGGAGGTAGACTCAGATATGACGGCTGATAGAGATGTATGGAGGAGTAGTACATACTGTGCCGACCCTCAATAGGGATAAGGGCAGGTTGATGATGAATAAATGTGAAAGTTTAGACCAGAATCTTGATGAAATTTGTCATATATAAAACATAGTTTATAAGAACACATAAGCTTATTAAACACATTACTCATATTAAAAAATTGCAGATACGAAAAAAGATGTTGAAATTGATGGTGTGGAATTAAAAGCGGAGCCAAAGGATGACATTAGTGAACACAACTCAGTAGGTCCGGAGCCCCAGGATGATAGCATGGCTGATGATTACTCAGCAGATGATATTGAAGGTATGTGATATTTATTACAAACTAAACAATAGCAAGTGGCATGCCGGTAGACATCTACAATTGCAGATTGTAGAATAAATGGAGGACACAGAGAAAAAAGATATTTCTCCTTCCTATGCATTCTATCCTCTGTGAAACCTACTTCCCCTTCCCATAATTGTCTCATAAGAAAAGGGTGGGAATGGAAAGTGGACTTAAATTAGGCCCCTTGCACACACACTGATCAGATTGTAGTTATAATGAGTTTTCTCTTGAGCTGTGTCTTCTGTGTGCTTGTGGTGTTGCAGCGGGTAGGCCTATTTTTCTCTAAAAACTTAAGATATTACCACTGTTAAAAACAATACTATATTTGAATAAATATTGCCAAACTTTTCTTTAATATGATATGATAGAAGTCCCAGATTCCATGTATTAAAAGAAGAGGCCACCTCAAAGGCCGGCAACGCATCATCAGTTCCTCTGGTATTGCTGATATCCATGGGCGTCGTTGAACACCTCGGTGTTCCCGCTGCTTGTTTGCCTCCTTCTGTTATAAAAAAAAATAAAGAAATTGGAAAGGATATGATTAATAGATTGTGTTTATTATTTTAGTAATTTTTTTTAATTATCACAACAATTTATTTTTTATTTTTAATCACTATGATAATTGAAGGTATTGTTAATTACAGATGTAAAACCGAAAAAGGAAGACAATGATAAAACATCAATACAATCAGAAGATGAACCGATGGATGATGACAGTGATTATTCCATCTCATCATCAGATTCTGATAAACCAATATTAAGAAAGAAGAACAGCAATCGAAAGAAGAAGGATAAAGCAAATGGAGAACAGAAGAAGAAACAGAAGGGAGTAAAGAAACAAAAAGCAGGTGAAAGATTAGTTTTATATTATTAAAGTTGCTGTCACCAGTGACTCCATCCGTACGGAATTCAAAAAAAACAATTGTAGAACAATATAGGCTACTTATTGTTAGGAAGAAATACCGACACTGTACCGGTGTGTCGCAACACTAGCCTTACTAAATTGTCGACGTTTGTGTCCCCTCACTTCTCTTCTCACTCATTCATTCTGACATTTGACTTTGTAACGAAAGTGCGCCATTCGCGCCAAATGATTCTAATATTTTTAGGTTATGTTATTAAGGTTTTTTTATTGCGCATTTACACCTTAAACCATTTAAACTTAAAAGGAAGCTACTATTTATGGATATTCTGAGAAGTCTTTCGATGCTATAGGCATCAATATTTATATATATATATTTCTTTTTAGGTTATAATTTTTTTTTAATTTTTTTTCAGGTACAAGTTCAAAACAATCAATAAAAAATAAGAAACCACCAGTGGAAAAGAAAAATACATATGATAGAGATTTAGATTGTATGTCAGAGGAGAATTTACTAACAATAATACAATATTCATACGTCTGTCCATTCAAAAATAGACGGAATAATTACTATTGTTTTTACTGTAAAGATTATTATCCTAAACCTGAAGATTTACGTGAACATACTGTATCACACGATACGAAACCCTTCCAATTATTAATGGGTTACAAAAAAATGCCAAAAATCGATATAACAAGAATCGATTGTAAATTATGTACAACGAAAATCGATGATTTGGGTACATTCAAACAGCATATAGATGAAGTTCACGGGAAGAAGATATATTTCGAAGCGCCTGATAAAATGTTATTATATAAATTAACATGGAACGATTTAGTGTGTGTGATGTGTAGTGACGTATTCGAAGATTTTAATTCATTGAATATGCATATGGTGGAACATTTTAGTAATTATACGTGTGACGTTTGCGGTGTATGTTTCCTTGAGAAGCCACGTTTGGATGCACATTTGAAACGTCATAAAGACGACGAGAGACATACATGTGAAGTGTGCGGTAAAGTTTTCAAATCGAATCATTATAAAGATATGCACGTCGATATTGTACATAAGAAGAAAGCTATAATAAGATGTCCGAGGTGTGATGAATGTTTTATGTCTTATGCATTGAAAAATAAACATTTAACCGAAGCTCACGGACAGAAAAGGACATATCCATGCAATTTGTGTGATAAAGTTTATAATAGACAGAAGACATTGACTGAACATCAACGTAGGAATCATCAGAAAGTATTGAAACACCAATGCGAGTATTGTGATCAAAGATTTTATTTGCCGTCAAGATTGAAAGAACATATGGCAACACATACAGGTGAGAGAAACTTCCGCTGTGAATATTGTGAAAAGAGTTATCCTAGATTAAAATCATTGCAGTATCATATACGTACACATACGAACGATCGGAGATATAGATGCCATATATGTGGTCAAGCGTTCATACAGAATGCAAGTTTGAAATCACATATAAAAAGCCATCATCCAGAATGTGATATAGAAGGTTGTTATTTCTAATATTAACAAGTATAATAAGATTCAAACTTTATACCAGCTTTTGGTGACCGAGCTTCAAGCAATTGCTGGTGTGCGGGCTTGTTCTAAAATGCAAAGTGCCCAGGTATCGGATCTTGGGTAACAACATTCAGATTTTATCATGTCTGAGCGCGCAATATGGCTATAGATTAATTTAGACATAATCCTGAATAGTACTAACAACGATCGACTCATTCTGCAGAGCGAGAAAAAATTATAGGAATTACGTTTGTCTCGCTTTGAAACAACTAACGAGCGTTGTTCGTACAATTCCTGATTATATCTAAATGAATAACAAGACAACTTTATTGGTATGTTCTGCCGATAGCTAAGTGTTGTGTGTCTCGTTAAAAATTGCGAGCCTACATTAAGTTTGGATGTCACTATAGATTTGGTTGAAGTTTGAAGTATACATCACAATTTTGTATATATCGTCGAGTGATAGTTTTTAGTGATTAGCGTGATATAGTGAATGTGTTGTTATATTTGCAATTTACATATAAAAAAGATATTTATGAATCTCCATATGTAATTATCATCGCGAAGAATATGTTGGTGATGTCACAATGGGGGGAAAAAATTGTAAGCTCTTGGTAATTGGCGCCGAGTGAACTGTCAGCTGTCAAATTTTTTTAACGTCAGTTTCGCATTTTTTTTTTAATTTACAAATGTGATCTTTATTAGAAAAGATCTCCGAAGCTGAAATGGATCTACAGTTTAGAAAAAAAAGCAATTAAATTAATTTACGTTAAAATTACGTATTATTGACTTTTTTTGAGAGAAATTTGATGAACGTCGTTGCTATGACTATAAACCATTTCCATCCATCCAAGTATTTTGTATGTAAAGTATAAATGTTTTGTTTATCTGTGGTTAATTTAGTGCTAATCACTTGATTGACTTGATCGTGCTGACATCTTTAGTTAGTAACAGGCAATTTTTCTCCCCATTAAGCAGTTTAGGCTTTAATTCAATTAATTTCATAAAAAAGAGGCTAAAATTGTTGGAAATTACTATATAAAGATTATTCCAAATCGAAATCAAAGGCATAAATTATAAATAAAACATTTTTAAGAAAAAAACGTAAATATTTATGGTATAACTCTTTTCAAATATTAAAGCGACTCAAGGTTATCTGCGCAGTGCATCTCGCAACGCCCCAACACATCTAACATGTGTTCTGCGCAATAATTGACAATAAGTTTAGAGCCGCCAATATATATGGCAGCAACTGTAACCTGAGATTTACATTACGAACTTTAGTACGTTATTTGAAATAAATTATAAATTAGTCGTGATATATGAATTATTCAGTTACAGATTAGTTTATGACTGAAATCTTGCAAGACAAGAAAACTTTTCTAGTATTTTTTTAAAGGATCTGTGTTGTCACAAGGAGTAAATAATAGCACTGACCTCTATAAATGGATTGGCTATAAGACGTGGTATTTTGTGCCTATTTGATTTTAGCACTGAGACGCGTTTAAATAAGAAAGAAGTAAAAGCTGTATTTTCCAAGCAATCGCCTATCCATTTATAAAGCTCATTGAGTAATCAATTAAATCTAGTAAAATGTAGTTAAACCTATGCAACAGTCGAAATGTAGACAAATAATATGCCTAGTTTACATAATGCCAGTACAGTAAGACATTAGCGCTCAAAACAGCGCTGGGATACAACTGGTATGTAAACATTAACTGGCGCCAGTGAGAAGACAGTCAATGGAAATCAAGTATTATTGTCCTACTACTGGCATAATGTAAATTAAGTATTAGCCTATTTTTTACATTGAAGAAAGAGCTTTTTAATAGTAAAGGAATTTTTAAATTCGGTTCAGTAGTTTTTAAGTTTAATTTGAAAAACAATTTTACATTATACTTTGATGAGTATTATTCGTAATTAATGGTCGCGTTCTAATTTAGAAGTACAATATATTTATGAATGATGTATTAATTTTATATACTCTGCAAGTAAACTTACTTTTTGTAAGTTAATATCGTAAGATTTAATTTATTAAGTTTTATAATATACTGAAATGAGATTATTGATGAGTTTTTTTGTTTTATTTACCCATTTTTATATCTAGTACCTGGATGACCGAGCTTTGTTCGGTATTTTTTTTTAAATTGTGTTTTTTGGAAATTATATTTAAGTACGAATTACTAATAAAATGATGAAATAAAGAGTAATATTTTTCGATCTTACCGATAGAAAAAGTTAAGTTTATGTTTAAGTTGATTATCGATAAAATACGAATAAAATGACATATTCTAAAAATGATTCCTAGCTAGATCGATTTATCGCCCCCGAGACACCCTAAATACTAAAATTTATGAAAATCATCGGAGCCGATTCCGAGATTCTAATTATCGCTTACAAGAATTGCTCTTTTAAAGATATAAGATTTAGGTTCATAAATATCATGAAACACGCACTTTAGTCTACCTGCTTGATCCAACATAAAATCGATAAAAAGAGTTATTAAACAACTTGACCGTAACTGGAAGCTTTATTATGAGAGAGCATTTCCGTTTCCGTCGAATTTCTACCAGTTTTCGTACTTTTAAAGGGATGTTTCCGGCAAAGTGGCGCCACCTGGCGGGGGCTGTCTTTTAGTTTTCGTAAAATAAGACGTGCCCTTTTGAATCATTGGCGTTTGAGTTCCCGTCGAAGCAACACCTACGCAGCAGTTCTGTCCCTGCGACGTTGATGACATAAAAAGTGGTTAAAGTTTTTAAAATAATTATAAAAATAAATAAAAATTAATACAAATTGAATAAGTAATACTACAAATAAAGTAAGTACGTGATAAAAATTATTAAATCTACAGTTAAAAGTAAGTGATTAATATATAATATTTAACGGTTTTTCCGTTCGTTTCAAATCATTTACGTAATTATATTTGATATAACCACATAGCTACCAGTTAATAATTTAAATTGTGTTTATTATCATCAGAAAGTCTAGAGGATAGTCTAACATAGTTTCGGTTGCAGTAATGAATGAAAAGGACTTAACACCTGAATCGCTGGCTGTGCCTGGTCCTAGTGGAGAGGCGCAAAAGCGAAGACGCAGTAGCTCTAGTAGCAGTGGTAACAGCAGTTCTACAAGCTCATCCTCTTCAGACAATAAACGAAGGTGGTCCCGTCGTCACAAGCATAAGAAAAGTAAGCGTGGCAAGCGTTCCCGCCAAATGATGGATAAGTTGTTCAAGGAAATGGGTGAGCTTCGAAAAATTGTTACCTTAAATAATGTAGACACTGCATGTAACGACAATGTGTCAGTTTATACCGGAAGTGACGAGATTTATCAGCAGCTTGATCACAATTATAGTGAAATAAATTCAGAACACGGATACTCTAATCCAAATTTGGTTTTTGATATCGAAACTAAACTAAAAGAGCCATCCATTCCTAAAACATCTGAAGGTTTCTTAAAAAAGTTAATAGAGGTGCAGCGATTAGGTAGCACCTCGTGGTCCGACATTAGATATGCTGAAACACAAAAGCTGTACAATCATACCCCAGGTTTTACAGACCTTGAAATAAACGAGGAGGTAAAAATATTCGACACCTTACGTCACCTCGCTTACGCTGACAAATCATATGCCGCCATTACATACTGCATACTCAAACAAAAAGAATCTATGCAGGAAGCCATTATTGGTCTACTTTCATTGGCAAAGAACACAAATAGTGTTGACTTCGAAAATTTGAGTAGCAAGGTTGATCAGTTATTTTGTAAGGGCGATTTGTGCAAAGTTTCATCTGACCTCTTACAAATGGTTTGTGGCCATAGAGCTGAAAGCATTGAAATGCGCCGCGAATCAATTACAAGTCAGGTTAGAGATCCTTTGGTCAAAGCAGCCTTGAACAGAATACCACCATCTACATCTTACATATTCGATTCAGAACCTTTTACATCAACACTCGAAAAAGCCGGTGGGGTCCGCAAAGCATTTTGGCCTCTAAAAAGTGATGGTTCTAGGCAAACAAAATCCAACCAATCGAATAGCCGCCCCTCGCGGGGGCATGGCGCACATAGACCAGTAGTTCCATCGCGTGGAATACAATATAGCTACCGTGAACCATGCTCTCAAATGCATGCTTATAACTCACCCTCGCGGGGTGTATGCCACAACGTTAACCATTATGTTCGAAGTCACCCAACCTCGAATAACAACAACGGGCGTGGTACCTTTCACAACCGAGGCTCGCGGCCCGATCGTGAAGGTAAGAAAAGTCGTTCAAGCACCCAAAGAAGTTCCAAAGGACTTCAAAGTAAAATTAATAGACAATGACTCGAAGCGGTTTCGGGCAGGTCAGTTAGCGCAATATCATCGGCAATGGAAGAAAATGGAGGCACCAGAAATCATATTAAAACTAATCCAAGGGTATCGCATACCATTTTTTCAAAAGCCACCCCTTGTAAACCCAAAAAAGATAAAAGGCCCCTTTCAAACTCATGTCTCGGAAGAAATGTCGGCAATTATAGAGAAGATGAAAATACAGGGCATTTTAGAAGTAGCACAGTTCTCACCAAGCTTCATTTCCCCTCTATTCCTGGTGCCCAAGCCGGACGGATCAGCCCGCCCCATATTCAACCTCAAAGCGCTCAACAAATATGTACTGACCAAACCGTTTCACCTAATAAACATGCACCGCGTGCCAGACTTTCTACAACCTCAGGACTGGATGTGCAAAATAGATTTATCTCAGGCGTATTTTCATCTCAAAGTAAACAAGTCACAAAGACGCTTCCTTCGGATCGTTTACAACCAAGAATTGCTAGAAATGACTTGCCTACCATTTGGCCTGAGTACAGCTCCGAAAACATTTTCAATTCTCACAAATTGGGTGGCTCAAGTATTACGAGAAAAATGGAACATAAGAGTTCTAGTTTACCTAGACGATTTTTTGATAGCACATCAAAGCGCACACACACTTCAAGACCACGTCAATCTCGCAATACAAACTCTGCAGAGCTTAGGGTGGCAAATCAATTACGAAAAATCAATTCTATGCCCCCGAAAGACCATAATTTATTTAGGAATACAATGGAGCCCCTGGCTGTTAAATTTTGCCAGTTTTGTTGTACCACGAGGTCGACTCCATCATCGAAAATTGTTAATGTTCCTGAACTCGCTTCCCAAAATGTCGCAGAAGGCCTATCATCTGCCAGAAATTGTCATCGAGGAACTGGAATGGTGGAAAGTGAATTGCCAGTTGTCAACACCTCTACATTATCCCCCTCCCGTTCATTTTATGGCAACAGACGCTTCAGACTTAGCTTGGGGGGCACAACTGAACGACCTAGCGTTCTGGGGAAGCTGGTCTCGAGAAGAACAACAACTACACTCGAATCAGAAAGAGTTGCTGGCTATTTTACACGCTCTCCAAATCCATGCTCATTTATTGAAGCAAAGCTCGTTGCTCATACAGTGCGACAAACAGGACTGCCGTCGCTCAATTACGGAAAGAAGGCGGTACGAAATCCACATCACTAATGAATATAACCTACCAAATTTTGAAATTATTAGACCATCACGAAATCCACTTCAGCATTCACCATATCCCGGGCAAGTACAACAGTCATGCCGATCACCTTTCACGTCACCGTCAACCTCCAGAGTGGCACCTACTACCGGCTTGTGCGGAAATGGTGTTTGCAAAATGGGGCACTCCAGTGACAGATTTATTCGCCTCGAAGATTGCTCACGTAGTATACAATTATGTATCTCGGGATTTGAACGATCACCAAGCTCTCTTTCACGATGCGTTCAGTGTTCCATGGATCTATCCACTTGCATGGGTATTTCCACCACCGTTTCTGATCCCCAGAGTTCTAACACACCTGAATCAATCGACTGGAATATTCTTGATAATAGTTCCACGGTGGGAGAGAGTGTTTTGGCGCGCAGACCTCAAAGCGCGAGCACTCGAAGCCCCGCTCACATTGAACAATTTACGCAATCGTCTGATCGACACATCAACGAGGTTACCACCGCAGAAAGTGGAGTCCATGACACTCGAAATTTGGAGATGTGGGGGTGGACTGAAGCATTAGAATCATGGAACACTGATCAGTTATCATTGCTTAGACATTCTTGGCGAAAATCAACTTTAAAAACTTACCAGGTGGCTTGGAACCGTTGGACTCTATGGTGTAACGATAAAAACATTAACCCAAAAAACCCCACTGGTGCCCAACTAGCACAATTTTTGTCCGATTTACATTGATACATAAATTATCATATAACACTATAATACTACATAAGTCAGTAGTTTCTACTTTATGTAATTCAGAAACATCAAGTCGGTTAAGTTCACATGTTCTTGTTAAACACATATGTAAATCAATTGCTCTTAAAGTTCCAAAGAGTTCCAAGTCACCTATTTGGGATGTTAGTAAATTATCTTCCTTTTTAGCCAACTACACTATAGACATAAATAATGTATACCAGACATCACGTCACACAGCACTCTTATTACTATTGTGTTCAGGAAGACGTGTACATGATCTCACCTTGCTTAAAGTAGATCCTGAGCATATTGTGACAGCACAAGATAGTGTTGTACTTTGGCCGGAATTTGGTTCAAAAACAGACAACAGTAATTACAGACAGTCTGGTTGGAAATTGCTTTCAAACACAAATAATCGTAATCTCAATCCTGTATTTTGGGTAGAGAAGACGATAGAATTGCTACATGAAAGACGTAATACTCCAAAATCGTTTAATCTTTTTATAACAGTAAGAGGCATTGCAAAACCCGCATCGCGTACAGTAATTTCAGGCTGGATAAAGGCTCTATTTAAAGAAGCTGGCATTACGGCTACGCCAGGCAGTATCCTATCAGCTGTAGCGTCCAAAAGTTGGCTGGAAAATACTCCAATTGATGAAATCCTAACTCGTGGAAATTGGCAATCAGCTAATACATTCCACAAATTCTATAAACGAGAAGTAAGGAAATCACAAGATTCACAAAATCTAACCCAATTATTTTTACCGGCGAATTGATTAATAATTATGTATTTACAAAACTGATCAAAGAAATAAAAATTTTCTAATTAATAAAATTTTTATTTCTCATCACATCTCACATTGGCGTTGATATTATGTTTAATATTAACCTTTTACAGTGGCGTCACCAGGCGAATAACAAACATATCTCATAATAAAGCTTCCAGTTACGGTCAAGTTGTTTAATAGCAGCGTTTTACCTGAAATAAAACGCATATTAAAATACTTACCTAACTGGAAGCTTTCACTTTAATTTCGCCCTGGTGAAAACAAAGCCAATGATTCAAAAGGGCACGTCTTATTTTACGAAAACTAAAAGACAGCCCCCGCCAGGTGGCGCCACTTTGCCGGAAACATCCCTTTAAAAGTACGAAAACTGGTAGAAATTCGACGGAAACGGAAATGCTCTCTCATAATAAAGCTTCCAGTTAGGTAAGTATTTTAATATGCGTTTTATTTCAGGTAAAACGCTGCTATTTTCTAAATAACAACCTATAATACATTTCTTATTTGGCATTTATATAAAATTAAACTAACATTTTTTAATTGATGAAAATGTGTTGATAAAAAAATCGATTCAAAAATTAAACAACAAAAATATCAGTAGCACATCCCTATTCTTGTAATTAATTTTGACATTGACAGATCTAAAATCATAAGATTTCCGAAGTCTATGTTTTTATTATTTCTATGTGTTCCCTTATTTATATAAAGTTTACAATGATATAATTATTGTCTTGGAAATTAACTAAGTTAATTAATATGGATGATAACACAGATATAATGGTAGAGCCTCTACCATTACTGGGCATTTGTAACCTGTGTTTGCACGATGGTGTAGTTAAAAGTATGCTAATAAAATATGAACATGATGGAATAGCTGAAACATACGTTGAAATGCTGTTAAAATGTTTCTGTATCGATGTAAGTATTATCTTACTAATATAATGAATGCGAATGTTTAGATGAATGGATGTAATGAAAGTATCTCCAGAACGGTTGAACGAAACTCGATGAAATTTGGTATACATGAAGACATAGTCTGGAAGAACACATAGGTCAGCGGTAGGAGTCGCGGGCGATAGCTAGTAATCTATAACTATTGCAATGAACTTGATGACATTTGTTGATTTTTTTTAAATTGCGATCTAAATTTCTTAACTGCCAGTTATAAATGAAATTTTTAACGCGAGAATTATATAAATGTCCAGTATTTATTTTAATGTTTTGGGTCAAATTTGATTTTAATTATAAAAAATCCCATTAGGCCAATTAAGTCTAAGTAATATCCCCATTGGGTTATTATGCTGAACACCCTTTTAGTTAGTTAATCTTAGCAAATATTAATCTATATGCTTATTGTCTTATCAGTAAGTGACATGAATTTGCTTTATTTAAATTACAGTTGTGTAAGTTGCCAATTTGTATAATACACAAGCAAATAGAGACTTTGCAAATTGCATATAAAATTTTCCAAAGTATTTTTTTTTTATCATCTGTACCCGTCATAAACAAATATTTTTTTTTTATATTATAAGGTGGTAAAGAGTAAATGGCCACTTAAATTCTTCCAAATAGTGAATCAAGTTGTGTATAGATATCCACAATTGCAGATGCATTGTCTCCCTTAAATAGATGGAGAAGAAGACACAAAAATATTTCCCCTTCACCTCATCCCTTTACCATCTTTAAGCTAAGATCTTTTTCAAAATAAACTTACAGCATTTTTTGGTCAGTGTTATTAATATTATAATTGCCAATGTTTAGATGGATGGATGTTTGTTTGAAGGTATCTCTGGAATGGCTCAACGGATTCTGATGAAATTTGGCATACACGTTGAACATAGTCTGATAGAACACATAGGCTACTCGTTTACTTTTTTTTAATTTGAGAAGATCGATATGAAGGTGACAGCTGGTATAAAATTAAATAATTTATTTTCAGGTACTTTCAGTTGATCTAGAAGATACGAAAAGGCTAATCTGTTACTCCTGTATTGATGTGTTACTTCATTTTATGAAATTTAGAAAGAAGGTTGAGGCTTCATTGAAATCTTTAGAAGCTATAAAACTGCAAAGTAAGTGATAATTTTTATCATGAAAAAACCTGACCTGATATGATGTTACTTTAAATTTACACAGCAAATATTTATCAAAAATTAAAAAAAAAACGTTAAATTTTGGTTTATACTAGTTTACATAGGAGCCATAAATTAATCTGACTTGTTCGTAATTCACCTTTGAAAATGATATAATATCTTTCCAGAACAAACATTGCCTGGTGTAAAACAGGAACTGGCGATTGAAGATCTGATCAAAGAAGCATGTGACAATGAATCTGATGATCATGTCGGTAAGTGACAACTGTTTTATTAAATGGACCACTGGCAAAGAATTTTACAATACCATACCACACAGAAGACAGGCGTGAAGTGGAAGCAATTCCGTCCTACATCTTTTTTTTTATATCATAAGGTGGCAAACAAAACGAGCGGCCGCCTGAAATCACTGAAATAGCGAAGTGACAGTTGCCCATAGACCAACTCAATTGCATATGCGTTGCCTACCTTTAATCCACGGAGGAGAGGATGCACAAAAAGAAAATCCTTTCCATGCATCCTCTCCTCCAGAAAGTCCACTTCCACTTCCCATCCTTTCCTTATAAAGAAAAAGGGTGGGAAGGGAAAGATGACTAAATTAGGCCTACGGGATGCACACTCATCAGACGAAACGCGAAATTTCCTCCACTTGACGCCTGTCTTCTGTGTGGTCGTGGTATTTCTCCGGGCGAGCCGGGACAATTCATGCGAAGATGTTAAAGCGGGCTCTACCACTGTTCTACACCACCACCACATTTATAACAAATTTCAGAGAGATTCATGCAGATGTTCTGGTTACTTCCTAATACCCATCCATCCATACTCATATTTTACCTATTTATCTTTATGTTTAAATTGACTTTTTGTTATTACTAGATTCCTTGGATGCAGTATTTGATGTCAAACAGGAGTTGCAAGACCTAATGAATGATGAAACAGGTATATACCTTCTCATACATAATAAATACAGTTGAACCAGGATAAACGAGAAACCTCTATTAATGAGAAATATATCTCAGTTCATCAGATTTATTCTAGTTCTATTTTGTATCACAAGCTGTGATCCGTGCGGATTTTAAAACTTAATTAGTAGTCTATGTGTTCTTCCAGACTATGTTCTATATCTCTGTCATATTTCTTTGAGATCTGTCCAGCTGTTCCGGAGATACCTTCTGACAATTAGGGAACATACCCATACTACGTGACCTATTTTTTTAGTTTTTTCGACCACTCCCTCCCCTCGGTGACCACTCGCCACATGCCAAGACACCCCCATTTATTTTTTACGTAGTAATTCATAATTATGATTTTTAATCATTTCACAGGTAAAAATTGTAAAAGAAATAATTTGGCTCATACTCTTCTTTATAGCATAAGAATACATGCATTCTTAAATTACTATTGAATTATGTATAATGAAAAAAAAAAAACAAGTAACGACTACGCTAGTAAAATTTAACCCCCCCGTTCCTGTGACTGACCGTAGTATTTTAAACACTCCGCTCCCCCCACTTAACGGGTCAAGTAGTATGGGTACGTTCCCTTATTTAAAAATAAGCATTAATAATGTTAGTAAGATATGTTTAATTTATATTTCAGATGTAGATTTATTGATAAAAGGTGAAGATTCAGATGAATATATACCAAAACGTACGAGACGTAAAACATTATCAAACAAAAAGAAACTTTATTCTATTAAACCTAACTCTGATACAGCGGAAACTGAGGGTATGCTGAAATCAGGTTTATTTCCGTTCAAAATATACAAAGATAAAACATTTTCATGTGTTATATGTCCAAAGAAATCAACAAAATTGGATGATATAAAAGAACATATAACTGAACATACTATATCTAACATTCATATAGCATTTAAAAAGATAAGCACATCGAAACTTCAAACATTTTATAAATATTCAAATAAATTAAGATGTAAGTTATGTAAACTGGATATATCTAATTATAACGAATTAATAGAACATATAGATATATGTACACGTTTAAAAACAAACAGATGGAGTAAATTGCCATTTAAATTGGAAAAGGATCAATTGGATTGTCCGATATGTAAAAAAAGATTTTTAAATTTTGTAAATTTAAATACACATATGAATATACATTACCCCAATCATATATGTGAGAATTGCGGCAAAAGTTTTGCGTCACAAGCAAGGTTACGTGGACATATGAGAACACATGAATACGGTGATTTTCCATGTAGATATTGCGATGCAGTTTTCGATAGGGTCACTAAAAGGGAGAATCATGTATCAAAAGAACATAAATCAGGATTAAGATATGCATGTAAAAGATGTAATATATCTTTATCATCATTTTATACAAGACAGAAACATTTAGCCGAAGTACATAATGAAGAATTAAAAAGATATAAATGTAAAGCATGTACACAAAGTTATATAACTCCGGGGCATTTATCGAGTCATGTTAGAAGGGATCATTTGAATGAAAGAAATCACAAATGTGACAAATGTGATTTGGCATTTTATACAAAAAATGCATTGAAAATGCACATGATCAAACACGATGGGGAAAGAATACATGTATGTCATATATGTAAAAAATCATATCAACGTTTAAAAACATTAAGAGAACATATGAGAATACATAATAATGATAAAAGATTTATTTGTCCTGTCTGCGGTAGGGCTTTTACACAGAAATGTACATTAAAGGGACATTTAAAAGTACATGATAGGAAAATTGATGACACAAAAGTTCAGGATGATATGTGTACGAATCGAGCACTTGTCATATGTAGACTCGATGCCCCTACCGGTGTTTAATTGTTAAACATAACCTACAAACTTTTACTTTCGCGTATAGAATTAAAAAAAAAGTTTATCATATCTTACTTGAGACTAAGTTCTATATCTGGACTAAATTTCAATAAGATATATTCGGGATTTTTGTGCAAATATTAGATATTAGTTTAAAAAAGAAACATTTCAGAAATTACGCTCTTTTCACTTGTCTGTCATATGACATATGTCAAACATTAACGCGGGAGAAAGTGGTCTAAAAATATTCTTATTCAATCTATTTCAAATTGAAATTTTCGTCTCAAATCAAATAATATTTATATTTCAAAGAAATATAACTTTATTTATAGATATAGTCAAACAAGGATATCTAAGCCTATGAGAGGCGACAGTAACGCCTAAATAATTTTGTTGTATAGTTCTTTTCAAATATCTTGGCGGCTCAAGGTCTGCTCAGTGCCCTCCATCCCACATCAACTACAACTTAATACCTAACGTTGTGTTCGCAAACTTGCCCGAACTTAAGAGCCGCTAAGATATTGGCAACTACTATATAGTCCTAAGTGGGAAGCGAATTTAAATCTACGATAAATATTGTACAAATTGTATGCAATTTTTTTTTAATATATCAATGTATTTAAAATATTAAATATAAATTCTATAATTCGAATATTCTTTTTCTTATCCTAAACAACAAAATATACTTTTAATGCGTGTAACATAAATATTGTTTTGACATTTGCGTTTTCGAACCTCCTGTGGAATGTTTTACAAAGAAAAGTTGTCACCCGTGAATCCGCGCGAAATAAGAAAACTTTATTAGTAGCCTATGTGTTCTGACCGACTGTCCTAAATCTAATTTAAGTCCTAAAACTAATTTTCATCAAGATCCGCTGATTTGCAGATACCATCCAGATGGATGGTATCTGCAAATCTAAATGTAGATAGATTATCTATCCATCCATCCAAACATTCGCATTTATAATAATAAGATTTATCAAGATTGACAAAAACCATATATAAACCATAGTAACAAGAGGTATTAAATACTTTTCAAAATATTTTTTTGAATAAATATGAAATTAATATAAACAAAATCATTTCTTACGTGTCATGTATTTGCGTAGGTGATTACAAAAAAAAATAATTTTTAAAATGTTGCCTGTCTGTATATCTGTCCGCAAGGGCGCGTTTGTTCCGCGTAGTATTCAAAACGGGTGGATTATGATGGGAAGATAACTGATGAACGCGCGTTTTTTATTCTGCACTGCTAAAGTATAAAATTTGATAACCTTCAGTGCTTAAAATATGCAACTGGACTACACAACTATTGAACTTTGCAGGTAAGTTGAGTCAAATCGTTTTATTTGATACCAAGGTGTATGTTTTTAGTTTCTTTCAAACGTCTTTTCCAGACACATATAAAACAAACAGTAATATGTATTCAGATGTTAAAACAAAGAGCTATTGTTTTTTGCTTTATTAAAAATGCAACCTTCCGATATTTAATCGAATTTTAAAGTTTTCAGTAACATTTTAAAAATAGGTATCGACGCGTGAAAGCCGCCGTTTTTACGTGACATTTTGATTTTTTAAATTTTTTTCTTAATCGTCAACAGTTTTCCGTGTTTAAGGTACAGATAATAAAATAATGCTACGAAATAAAAAATACGTGTACGGCTCGGGTTCGGCGATGGTTCCCGCTTATCTTCATTTTGGTATTCTAATATTGGAGAAGTTTAAATTATTTAAGGAAGAGATTGCTTTGGTAAGTATTTATTCATGATTAAGGGTTATTTATCTGTTCCACGTGGTCTGTAGCCTAAAAGGTTAAACCATTTTTACGGAGAATTTGTATCGTCACCAGTAATTATATCAAAACTAACTGTCCGCGACTCCGTCCGCGCGAAAAAAAATCGTAATAACTAGCCTGTGTTCTTCCAGACTATGTTCTACATTTGTGCCAAATTTCATCAAGATCAGTTGAGCCGTTCCGGAGATGCCTTCAAACAAATCCATCCATCCATCGAAACTTTCGCATTTATATTATTAAGATTAGTAAGAGATTTTTGGTTGACTTTTCGCCCGATAGAGGCACTGCACAAATTTTAATACAAATTTGGTCCAAGACACGATGGTGCTTTTCACTAATATTCGTGCTAGGCTCTCAGATACATATCATAGTCTTATTGACCCATAATAGTTTTAAAATTAATTATTTGTAATGACAGTTAGATGCACATTCTGGCGCTAAAATGTCTTACGGTGAGATGGCGCAGATGTCAGTGGATATAGCGCTGTCCCTCACTCGCATAGGAGTGAGAAAAGATGTGATCTGTATTTGCTCTGAAAAACGTATGGAGTTTATACCAACATTGATAGGAATATTGTGCGTTGGAGCTACATTCACGACAGCCGATATTAGTTGTAAGAATGGTAAGATAAATTAAATTACATTTTTAAATAGACAATTTTTAGTAAATTAAATTAATTTGGTCTTAAGTCACTGCAGCACGAATGGACCGCTCAGCCGGTGCAATACCACGACCGCACAAATACGGCTTTATTGCGAAGTATTTGCTCATTTCCGGAGGTCAAATTGTAGATCTCTACCCCTTCCCATTCTTTACTTATAAGAAAAGAATGAAAAGGTCAATTGGATATGATAGAGGACAGGACGTATGGAAGGGGGAATATCCTGTTTCTGTATGTCACCTCTCCTCTCCATTTAATCTATATTTCTAGTCACTGCATGCTTATTTCCACCTTAAAAAAGTGTATAATTAAAAAAAACACTGAACTACAGAATAATTCTTCCAGCTTCAATTCTTTGTCGTATAAATATGACAAGACCAAAAATAATGTTCTGTTCGTATACCACATATAAAATACACGAGGAAACTTTCAAGTCTGTGGCAACATTAGAGAAAATTATTGTCTATGGAGACAAGCCTGTGATTGGATGTATACTCTTCGAGAATTTTCTGACGGAGCATGCCCATATAGAAGGTACTTTTACAAATACAATGAACATTTTTTGCATATTAAATCTATTTAGATGGAATTCATTAGTCTGTAGTACAATTTTAAAATGTCAATTTTCAAGGACACGTCAAAATTCGACTTATTTTGTTACACGAGAGAGACGAAAGATATAATTTTAACGGTACTCGTCCATTGGCTCGCGCCGGACGCGCAGGACAAACCAAATCCGTCCAATACGTGCGTTCGGTACGTTCGTAGCGGGCCAATGAGCTAATTGCATTTCATTTCAATCACTTTTTATATCTATGGCAATTTTATAGTGTGTTTTTTTAAAGATTTTTTAGCAACATCAGTAAACGGTTGGCATGATACAGCATTGATATTGTATTCTTCCGGCACAACGGGACAACCAAAGGCCGTCCCCCTTACACACCTTAATTACATTCTTTGTCACCAACATGGACTTTGTAACAGGTAATTTATTTTTATCTTACACAATTTTAATATTGTTAGGAAAAAATCCGACACTGCCGGTGTGGCGCAACACTAGCCTTATTAAAATATTAACGGTTATGTCCCCTCACTAATAATTCCGATTCTTAACTTTGTAACGAACATTCGCGCCAAAGGATTAATGTCTTAAAAGTATGTAGTAGCAAAAAAGTTTTTTTAAATCATAATGGGGCAAACGAGCGAGCGGTCACCTGAAATCGCTGAAATAGCGAAGCGATCGTTGCCTATAGATATACGCAATTGCATATGCGTTACCCACATTTAATTGACGAAACAAGGGATGCACAGAAAGAGAATATTTTCCCTTCCTGTAGTGTAATCATAAACGTAGTGTTGTTTGTCTTGAGCGAACACGCCATTAGTACATGCCGGAGAGAGGGGACCTCAGTCGTTTTACGGCCTTTGGATCGACAACACGTGTCGGTACGTAAACGAGACAAATGCTACACCTCCCATGCACCATTTCATCCGGAAAATCCACTTCCACTTCACATCTTTTTCTTACATGAAAAAGGGTGGGAAGGGAAGACACTCATCAGGCTGTATGTATTTTGTCCATAGCCCAGGGCCGCTCCCTATCCTAACGATACGTATTCCCCCTTCCTCTAATTAACAAATATTATTTTTAATACAGTCAACACACAAAAACAATGATGCTTAGTACTAGAGAGTGGTACTATACATACGGGCTAAATCACACGATAGGAACATTGCTCGTAGGTGCTACTGTGGTCTACACAAGAGACCAGATCACTGACTATTTAAAAGCCATCCAAGATTACAAGGTTAGAGTTTACGTAAAATTATTTTCTTGCTAATATTATAAATTAGCTGTCGCTCGCGACTCCCGCGACTTAAAAATAAAACTATTGGTCGCAGCGTAATGTTATATAGCCTAAAGCCTTCCTCTATAAATGGACTATCCAACTAAAAAAAATCAAATCTGACCAGTAGTTCCTGCGATTAACGCGTTTAAACAAACAAACAAACAAACAAACTCTTCCGCTTTATAAAATTGGATGGAAGGATGTTTGTTTAAATATATCTCCAGAACGACTGAACGGATCTCGATGAAATTTGGCATACATATAGAATATTTTCTGGAAAAACACATAGACTACTAATTATGTTTTTTTTTTAATTCCACGAGGACGGAGACGCGGGCGGCAATTAGTATAAGATACATTATTGTGGTGAATCGTTCTTACAGTGAAGGAGCTGTACATATATATGAAGAAATTCTTGCGAATTCAATAATATCCTTACTGGGGACATGTAAAACAGCCTATATGAGTAGAAAGTCTATTTTAAACACTTTATACATATGTCAAATATAGCCCATATTACTTCAAGGTTATTTATTCATTTCATAAAATAAATCGTTCCTTTTTAAATTACTACTTTGGTTAAATTATAATCGTAAATAAACTTGTTATCAGATTAGCATTATACAATTGGTTCCAACAACAATTAGAGAACTCGTCAATTCTAACCTACAAAATTATGACGTATCTTCATTACTCTGTATGATGTCTACAAGCACTCCAATAGACGCAGATTTAATGAAAACTGCATTGAAGAAGTAAGTTTTACGTTAATTAACTATTTACTTTTGTTAGGAAGAAAATCCGATACTGTGCCGGTGTGGCGCAACACTAGCCTTCAAATGTCAACGTTTATGTCACCTCACTAATAATTCTGACATTTGACTTTGTAACGAAAGCGCGACATTGGCGCCAAATGATTGTAATAATGTCTAAAACTTTTATATAAATGTTTACGTTTTTTATTTAGTGTAAATGTGTTAGTGGTCATCTGATTTCGTTAAAATAGCGAAGTGATTGCGTGATGTAAAAATTTACTATTGCTGTGCTTTTATTAGACGGGGAGGGATAGACATTAAGAAAATGTTTCGCCTTTCCATACCCTTTCCCTTCCCATTCTTTCTAAGATTTGTTTCGTGTTGCACCGTCCGAACGGAACATTACAGCAACATGCTTATAATCTTTTACTGTTAAAATACGGTGCACAAAACTTTCTATAGGTTCCCAAAACTCAAACAAATCTCTCAAATGTACGGTATGACTGAAGCTGGTTGTTTATGTGACGATTTAAACACACCTAAAGGTCCCAAACAAGGAAGTGTTGGTTGTGTCAACCCAGGAGTTGTTTTTAAGGTACGTTTCGTTAAGTTTGTCTATCAAATAAAAAGGTTATAATTCTTTAACGTAGCTAAATTTTTTTATGATGTTACTAGCTGTCGCTCCCGACTCCGTCCGCGTGGAAAAAAAACATAATTCATCTGAATCCATGCTGAATTTCATCAAGATCCATTCAGTCGTTCTGTTACCTTCAAATAAACATCCATCTAAACATTCGCACTTATATTAGTAAGATTTTGAAGATTATTTGTTGTAAAATGTATTATTTTTAATCGTTTAAACGCCAATATCTCATTAATGAAAAAATACATGGTTATGTGATTCGTAAATCTATGGCGCCTCTTTTGTACAACGCCCTGGACAATCGCTCAACCGCGCCCTAACGCCGATACTGTATATTGTCATCCCTTTCATTTTCATTGACAAAACAGAGATAACAATTTATAGTTCAAGAGCCAATGCAATAATATTCTACCGATTATATAGTTAATATGTATTACTATTTTATAATATCGGTCACAGTTATTATATTTCTAGGTGGTAGATATTAATACAAGGGAACCTCTAGGACCGAATGAGACAGGCGAAATATGCTTTAAAACTCCATCTTTGATGCCAGGTGAATATTTGAAAAAACAATTAAAAAGTGTCTAATCATAGCTTATATAATTACGAAAAAAAAATATATAGATTTAGTAAAATAATTTTGGTTCTTTTGTAGTAATTTTTAACATTAATTTCTCAATAAGTCTTTTAATTAATATAATACTAGTAGTAGCACGCGCTTCTGGTCGCACGAAATAATAAAAAAAACCTAATTAGTAGCTTATGTGTTCTTCAAGACTATGCTATAAATCTATGCCAAATTACATTAACATCCATCCAAATATTCGCATTTATATTAGAAAGACTAGACTAGATTTTATAACTAAAATTAAAAATAAATGTAGCCATCCAGATTCGTTTATTTATTACGTAACATCCATACATCCAAACAATCGTATTTTTTTAATAAATACACAGAAGAAAATAAAGGTACGATATTTCAAACAGGTTATTTAGGGGATTTATCTCAAGATTATTTAGATGAGGAAGATTTCTTTAAATCCGGAGATATTGGGTACTACGATGTAGATCGCTATTTCTATGTAACGCATAGAATAAAAGACGTCATCAAATACAAAGGAGCCACGGTAGGTATTTTATTAAAAAAAACTTATTAAGTAGACTATGTTTTCTTGCATACTATGTTCTACATCTATGTCAAATTTCAGTGAGATCCATGTAACTGTTCTCGAGACAGAGCGATTAATAACGATCTATATTACTAGTTGTTGCCCGCGAGAAATTAAAAAAAAAACTTTAGTAGCCTATGTGTTATTCCAGACTATGTTCTACATCTATGTCAAATTTCAACAAGATCTGTGCAGCCGTTCTGGAGATAACTTCTAACAAACATTCTTCCATACATTAAAACATTCCACATTTATATTAGTAGGATAAATAAAGAAAATAAACTGTCTATGGTATAAGTTATTTATTATTCAGGTGTCTCCCAGGGAGATAGAAGCAGTACTTCTGCAGTATCCAGGAGTTAGGGAAGCTTGTGTGGTAGCAGTCGACCATAGACACGGCGAAGTTCCCGCTGCGGCTGTAGTGGGTGATGACGTCACTACAGAGGAACTTATGACATTTGTGGCTGAACAGGTATATCACCGTTTTACAGATAAAGAAAAAAAACAGCGTTATAGCTGATCTCTATAAATGGACTGGCTATAAGACGTAGGATTTTGTGCGTATTTGATTTTCGCTATATTAGCGCCGATGGTAGCGGGATGTAGTGGTGGTGTGGATTCGAACTTAAACATGACAAGATATTCCTTTATCTTACATTTTTTATGCATATATCTTTTTTTCCTTTTTTCAGTTGACATCAATCAAAATGGAAGGTGGTATAAAGTTTGTTGATTATTTACCGAAAGTCGCAGGCGTTAAATTGGATAGGAAAGCAGTTAGAGATTTGTTTGATATCTAAATTCTGATTAGTAATATATTTAATAAATAATTTTGATTAAAATTCTATATTAGGTATATGGTAACTGGAAAATGGCGTGTTTTATATGACGATTTAGGAAGTTTATGCCAACAAGATTTCGTGGCTTTTTTTTTATATCGCTTTTTGCTTTTTGAAATCACTGAAACTACGAAGCGACCGCTGCCCATAGACATACGCAATTGCATATGCGTCGCCCACCTTCAATTGACGGAGGAGAGGATGCACACAAAGAAAATATTTTCCCTTTCCATGCATCCTCTCATCCGGAAAGTACACTTCCACTTCCTATCCTTTCCTTATAAGAAAAAGGGTGGGAAGAGAAAGAGGTCTAATTTAGGCCTCCGGGACGTGTCTTATTTCGTCTCACTTTTGTGCTTCGAATTATTTATCTATGTCTTATAAATCTATGATTTTTATAACCTAACGGTAATGAACTCCGTAAGATCTGTTTATATGTTAGGAACAAAAAAAATCTTATGTTTATAAATAAAACCACAATATTAGATGATTAAAATTTATTATAAGAAAAAAAATAAACAAAAATTCAATCCGACGTAACTACAAAAGTTTGGGATAATTTTTATTATAACAATAAATATAAGCGTCTATGACAGATAAAGACGCGCCAAAATTGACAAGTTGGAAAAAAGATGGCTACTTTCTATATTACTTATTCGTATCACATAATAGTGGAGTAAACACTACTTACAATCTAATTAATTGTTTTTTTTTGTACAATGTCTAAATGCGTTTCATACTAATTGAAATATATGCGTTGTTTTTTTTTAGAGAAAAGGCAAAGGTATTGCAGATATTGAGTTTACTAAACATAGACAATTGGTGTTGCAATATAAATCAGAATTTTTTATTTAATGAATTTAATTTGAATGTTAAATATTTTTTTAAATATCCATTCCAAGGAGTTTCTTATCGAAAAGGAACTCTCCGAGTGAGGAGTGGCGGTCGAGCATCTTCTTGAGTGTAGACGCTTTGCCCGCGAGGTCTCTCTGGCCCTTGTATTGTTCTTCCAAGAATTCACCAGTCAGGTAGTCCACGAGCTATTGTAATAAAATTATATTAAAGTTTTGTAATATAACTAAGTACGCAGTTTAGTTTTTTAAATTTTTGTAATATCTTGGTGAAAAATGTTCTTTCCTTTTACTTACTATCGCTATAAAACATTAAATAAACTATGGTTTAAAATACGAGATTGTCTATGGTTAACTTACATGGTAGTCGTTGAACTTAGGATCGGACTCGCAAGCGATGATGACAGACCGAATGCTCTTCGTCACTTCGGTTTCCATTTTCAGAGCGTGCTCAAGCGCGTCCACGCCGCTCTCCCAAGATTTACGTTCAGGGGCCTACGAGATAAAAAAAAAACCTGGCTACAAATATAAAAAGCTAAAGCTATAAAAGCACGATTCTCTCTACAGACTACTGATACTTAAAAAAACAATTCCTTGACAACTAGCTACCATAGTATACATATAAAAAAGTTTAGTCTAATTAAGTAAAACCTTTTACGACTTCTAGAAAATACAAAAATCTATGAAATCAAGAAATAGAACATTTTCTTAATTTTTTAAAAACTTTATCAACTTTTACAAGTATGCGATAAGCATACATTTTTAATGTTCTTGATAGTTTTAACATGTGTAAATGCAAGGTTTTGATAAGAGTCTAAAATTCAGTCATCGTTTATTGTCATACTAGTCTGTACGAAATTAAAAAAAAATTAGTAGTCTATGTGTTCTTCTAGACTATTCTATATGTATGACAAATTTCATCGAGATCCGTTCAGTTCTGGAGATACCTTCTAACAAACATCCGTCTAAATATTCGCATTTATAATATTAGTAAGGTTAACTCACCCTAATCTGTATCAGCGAAGTGACATCAGTTTCCAGTTCACCTCTCATAAGCAAATAATCAATTAACTTCATCGCATGCTCCCTCTCTTCAGACGCTGCATCGAAGAATAACTTCGCGAAACCTGGTCGATTGATCTAGAAAGCAAAACATCGGTCATATGTATAAAATTAGGTATTAACTATTTTTAATAATCTATTACTCTTTGACGGTTTAAGACGGACATATTCTATACTACTATACTATATTCTTTTCTTATTCCCTATTTTCCTATTTGTTCATTATAAGAAAGGTGATTTCCCCTTCCCAAAGGTTAAGAATGGGAAGAGAATATCTTATTTTCGGTTATCCCCTGCACCTTTTTGACTTATTGCAGTTGTTCTCTAGCTTATCGTGACTTTCTACTATAAAATATGATGACGTTACTTACCCCATCTCTAGAGAAATGAGCTCCCATAGCAAGATACTGCAGCGACGCGCCAACTTCAGTCTGAATCTGACGGCGCATGCTGCCGCGACAGCTCTGCTGCATCGTTATCCATCCTTTCGGAATGTTCACCGGGTTTACATTGCCTGGGGAATAACAATAAAATTAAAAAAAAACTAAAAAACCTCTTTGCATCAAACTATATGACAGAAAAATCTTTGGTATGGAAAATAAGTGAAAAAAACTCCAATCGTCAAAAACCTGTCCATGGAATGTAAAACGTAAAAGAGTTCTTTCGTATATATTACCGAGATTTAAAAAAAGACTGACAGTCAAAAGATTAAAAAAAATGACGAACCCTAAGAAAGGTTTTTTTAATCTGTTTTAATCATTTGTAACTTATGCGTTCATTTTCGATTTCTACGAATATTTTGTTGTAGCAATCGTTAAAATGTAATTAGTTATTGATGCCAGAACGTCGACATAGCATTGATTAAAATGTATCATGTTTACTTGCACTGCCAAGCTGCCAAGGGTCAATGTGCAAAACAAAATGGCCGCCAACACAACGACGCAATATCGCACCGACTCATTGTTGAATTTTTATTCTATTGTTCTAATTATTTATGTACATATACTATTATTTCAAGTAATATTGCTAAAATCAATACTTTTAGCCTTAAATAATAATTACGTTGAAAAATTTTTTTTTGTTCAAAAGAGAAACAAGTACTAAAATTAGACGAAATATCCAAAATACGACTGTTAAAACCAAGGTCGGGTCTATGTCTACTGGAATCGAGGATTCAGCGTTTCTTTTATTTTAATATGTCTACTTTTTACTTCCTCCTATTATACATAATAAGCAAACAAAGAAGTACTTTATCCTGGCTGTAAAGATTAAAAACCTTTGTGTTGTTTATCAGAGAAAAAAAAATTACTCAACATAAACATCAATTGATCTTTTTTATCTACAACCTAAAGAGACATCTCAAGTGGGCGATAAAAGGGCACGTATTTTTTATCTGCTTTCGTCAATTGTTTCCATGTTAAAAACGAAAATGACATTTTAAGGTTAAAATTAATACTTTATTTCGTAATGATTTCTAACATTGTTTACGTCGAGTCTCCTCTCTCATTCTCTTTGACAAAGACAGTGACAATTTAATACAGACTTTATAAATCAGAGGTCGTGAGTTTGAATTAATTTTATTATTATAAACCATATCAAACAACAAAAAAAGTTAATTGGAAACTTATAGCTGTCGCCCGCGACTCCGTCTTACTACATGATCCATGCAGCAGTTCTGAAGATACCTACCAACAAACATCCATCCATCTAAACTTTCACATCTTACTAATAATAAAAATGTGATTGTTCAGATGGATAAACAGTCATGTTACCCCAGAACAACTGAATGGATAGATAAATTACAGCCTGGAATAGCACACAATGGAATAATACAATTTTTTATATAACCCAGCCAATCTCTTAGTTTTTAAGGTTAAAAGAACAATTGGTTTCAATACTTGTATTTATTACTTGGTACTTCCCCGAGTACATTCAGTGAAGGGACTTTACCGATGCATGACATTATTATGATTTAATTTTTCTTACATAATCGTGGGTAATTTCCCTAAAATATTACAACTACATTAATAAGGAATGGCATAACTCATGGACCGTCCAGTATTAACTAGTTTTGAACTGTTGGGGGTCCATCTTAGAGGGAGTGTTTAGAGTTCTTAGGGTCCTCGGGAGCCCCAACAGGTAGAAGACTAGTCTGCGCCGTCATCAGGGAATTATATGTTAGTTAAGACATTCCTAATGTGTCATAGAAGTTTACTCAACTTAATTCAACCTATTTTTTTATCTAAAACACCTTGAAGGACTGTTGATTTGTTAAATCTACCCTCATCTGTGAAATATTTATACAGAGACATATGTCATTTGTTTTCTTCTCTTTGGGAATACTGAGATGGAATATATTTATAATGAACTTAAGGTAGTAGAATCTGTCTGTAATTTTTAATTAACAATAATTATAAGCATATATTATTCTTAAATACATCTCAAAAATTTGAAAAACCTGAGCACCGGAGCACAAAACTGTGGCAAAAAAAAGTAGAGGCTTTTGGCTGGAGTAAATTTCCTCAATGTTGTTATATATAGTATGAAAATATATTTCGAAAATTGACTCTAAGTCAAACTTGAATGAAACACTATTGTTTGGTTATGTCTATGACTTCAAGAATGTTTATCTTAGTAATATTATAAATGTTTGGATGGATGGATATTTGTTAGAAGGTATCTTGAAAACAGCTGTATGGATGTCACTGAAATTTAACATAGATGTAGAACATAATCTGAAAGAACAGGCTACTATTTAATATAAGTTTTATTCAATATTACATGGATGGAGATGCAGTCGACAGCTTGTCTATATATAAAATACATCCTTGTTTTGCTGTATTTATAATCTTATAATTCATATTAATTTAACACATGTGCTAATAACAATGATAAATTAACATGACCATAAATATTATATTTTTTTATCTTGTTTTACAAAACATTCATTGAGTCTTGTTACTGGAGAATTTTTGTTAATTAATAAGATAAACCATAACTTCCAGTTCCTATACTTAAACTTTTTAATGTTGTGTGATGAAAGGTCTTAAATAAAAGTAAAAGAAGAAAAAATCACAAATAATCTGTGACTAAAGATTTGACAGTTATTAAAACAAGTTGTTCTGCACAGAGTATTGCAAAATATCCGTATACGTTTTAAATTTATTCAATTAAAAAAATAACGAATAGGTGTAGTTTGTAATATCGCTTTGTCATTGATTGCATAACGAATTAAAGAAGGGTTCCTTTTAATTTATCATAACGCAAACAAATGAGGGTAAAACAAAATCAATAACAACAAGGCAAAGTAGACTTTAAAACAAAGATGTTAAAATTATCTTTGCAAATCGAAGTCATCCGCTTTGATAATCGACACCGTTTCATACGCAATAGACAAAAAAGAAAAAATAAAATTTTAAAAATAGAATACTTACATTGTTTCGCAGAAATGGGGATGCAAACAGCCAGTAGGGCAGCGACGGCGAAAAGTACAGCCTTCATTTTAAATCTACAAAAATCACAGATAATTTGACGACAAAAAAAGATTTTTCAGCAGTACCGCAACGTACGAAACCTTGTGAAAGTCTAGCCTTTACACTCACTGGTGCAGAAGGCGACTTCTCTTAACACTAATAAATGAAAAACAAGGGCTATTCCTACAGAAGGTTTAGATTATACGAGAAAAATATTCACTACGCAGCGATAACAAAAGCATGTCGTGTTGACAGGCGCTTCGGAGTAAATGACATGCGGTGCGGGAATGAGACAGATGATGAAGCAAAGCCCGGACAAGGTTTTGTGTTCCGAGTGCGTGGAATATTTTTGTTCTCAATTTGCTTATTTGCAAACTATACACCTTCGTATAACAATTCAGTTGCTGAGATAAGGTTTTTATAAATGCGTTTTGCTTCCTAGTCATATAAAATACTTAAAATCAGCGAATTTGATGAAATATGTCGTAATGGTTTGGAACACAAAACCTTGAATTTTTGATGACAAGGAGGGATATACGTCATTGATAGGTCGTTGGTAGAGGGAATCGGTGCGGGGCAGGGATTTAGAGATACCATCATAAAGATTTACCACACTTTAAAGGAAGCACTGCGCTCTTGTTCTGAGTATTTTCGTTAAGTGTTTACTACAATTTTGTACTTATTCTACTTTGCTGTTCATATATAAGTAAGTACGTATTAAATTAATCACTGAAATAGTGCATTTTCAATGATGTCTAGAATGAAATGGAAAATATTAAATAACAACTGGCTACACTAACTTTAAATCGCCAACTTCAGATGACGACGAGACAATAATACTTTACCTTTGTAATCGCGCACACTGTCACTCAACGACTACGCGGAAAAATAAGTGATAAATAATACATTTGATTTTGTCCCGTCTCGGGATATTTATCAGTTTAATCGAGCTCTTTGTGTTGAAAGTCGCCTTCTGCGCCAGTGTGTGTAAAGGCTGCACTTTCGACGGATCTACTTTTTCGTCTTTCTCTGCCTTTGAAAATTAATTCTGGTGAGGTTTTTTTTAATATTATTGCTTCCGTTTAGTTATTATACAAAAACTGTATTGCGTATTGATTTTTATTACGACTTAATTGCGGGTATTTTTGGATGTGGGTATTATGCCAAGATTGATTGTTCTAGATTTTATCATATTATGACAAATCTGTCAATATACATATAACATTGTTTCCTTTGTTGAATAATTAAACAAAATATTAACGAGAAAAAATAATATTAATCTGTCTGTCTTCTAAAGTGCTCTACGTTTTTTTTATCATAGATTATTTTTATTTATCATTTTTAATTGTTTTGATTGCCAGTAATACTTTTATAAATCAATTAAAAAGATAAATCACTGTTCTTTATTTAAATCTTCATCTGTTTGTTTTATTTCTAATTTCCGTAATTATTAAATTGTGTTACTTAAAAATACACTTATTTAGTAAGATTTTGTTTTATTTTCTTATATAATTAATAAATAAATATAAAGAATATAATTAACAAGGTTATTGCAATATGTTATATTTATTCTTTTTGTATTTTTAACACATTCAATGCTAATATATGGTCTAGGTAGTTCATTATTATATTAATTCTTGTCTTGCATGGGACATAACTTATTTGCAATTTGGTACCTCTAATTTCAATCTATCCTGCATAACATCTCTTCTATTTTTAAAGAAATGTTACTCTAAACAGAATGGCTTGATTTATGAGTTTTTTCAATTGTTACAGAAGAATGAAGATGTTTGCATTCTTGTTTGGATGCATGCTTGCATCTGGCGCATTCGCTGCTGACACCTGCTATCAGGATGTCTCCATGGACTGTGGACAGGCTTCTAACAGCCTTGGTAAGTAACTGTGATCTTGTTACATTTGTCCAAAAACATATTAATTCATCCAATATCAAATGGAAAGAGTTCAAATTTTACATATGGGTCATAATTATCCTTTTGTTAATATAAAAATAGCTGTCGCCCGCGACTCTGTCCGCGCGGTATTTAAAAAAAAACTTGATGAGTAGCCTATGTGTTCTTCCAGACTATGTTCTACATCTATGCCAAATTTAAGTGAGATCCATATAACTGTTCTGGAGATACCTTCAAACAAACATCCATCCAAACATTCGGATTTATAATATTAGTAAGATAATTTGCAATGTTGTCTGGTTGTCATATTGTCTGCCATTCGTGTATTTAAATTGTGTAACATAAAATAAAAACAGCACTTGAGTTATTTTGTTTATCCATTTATTTACGTCAACGACAATAGCAACCTTAAAAAAATATGCTTTGGTACCCAGTGTTGCCGTATGCAAAGTTTTAATTTCTACTGTTTCATTTATTAATTTATCGTGATTTGACTATAATTTTTTATTTGCACATATACTCCGACATATTTCAAAGTTCAAATTACTTTTATTAATTTTCTACCAATTCCTACCAGCTCTACCAAGGTGTAACGCGGTATTCGGCAACTACGGTCGTCACGGCAACGTCGCAACCGAGATGCAGGCGTACGCTAATCTGCATCTAGAAAGGTCATACGAGTATCTTCTATCGGCGTCATATTATAATAACTATCAAACAAATCGCGCTGGCTTCAGTAAACTGTTTAGAAAGTTGTCCGATGAAGCTTGGGAGAAGAGCATTGAACTTATCAAGCATATTACCAAGAGAGGTAAGAGTTTTAAGCCAATATTTAGTATTCACGGTTCACATACTTAACATTTTTTTTTGTTAATAATTTGTCTTTCTTTGTTAATAAGACTTATTTGAACATCAACTTTTTGCAATATAATTATTATTCGAATTTGATATAGATTTTTGAAAAGAAAACCATGTTATCAAGTGTTTGCATAGCTGAAACAGACAAAAATGTCATCCGTTTCATTTTCTATGAAAATATTCTGTCGAAACGTACTTGGCTATGGTATGGCATTGGAATATCACTGTTTCCGGAGTCGCTCAGTCGATATTTTAATGTTTGTGTACAAACACTTTTTTCCAAAGAAAATAAGGGAGATAGGACTATTGGTTTTACGACATTAGAGAATCAACGTAAGACGTATTTCCCAGGTGACACCATGGACTTTGCCCGTCGCAGCACACAAGAAGAGAAGACAGACAAGAACTACACAGTGGAACTGCACGAATTGGAGTCTCTTGCTAAAGCTCTGGACACACAGAAGGAACTCGCTGAGAGAGCCTTCTACATTCACCGTGAAGCTACTAGGAACAGCCCTCATACTCATGACCCTGAGGTATAGTATTCTAACCACAATATTTCTGAATTGTAGCATGGCAACATTTATTGACAGTAAACGATTTAAGTCACTGTCAAACTTTACGTTTAAGACAAATTATTAAATTTGCTTTGTTTTCCTTTTGTCATATGATGATGAATAGCTTGAACAAGCAAATCGTTCAAAATATTTGATCATTTAGCAGACGACGTTTTAGACGTGTCAATTACCAACGATGTATAGGGATGCCATAGACAAAACTTATTACAGTTGCTATTTTATAAAACTTGCCATCAGCTCACGAGTCCCTATCGTACCGACTTCTTGAAGGCTATGCCCAGTTATTCTAAGCTTTTCCAGACTTGTAACACTTTTTTTGCTTCCAGATCGCTCAATACTTGGAAGAGGAGTTCGTTGAGAAGCAAGCTGACACCATTAGGAACCTGGCTGGCCACACCGCTGACCTCAAGAAGTTCATCTTGGCCAACAACGGCCAAGATCTTTCCCTTGCCTTGTATCTCTTTGATGAATACCTCCAGAAGGTCGTCTAAATGATTAAGACATAAAAAATTATAAACACTTAGAAATTCTCCACTATTTAAATTAATTCTTACAATAAAATCAAAAATATCTACCAATTTAGTAGTTTTTTCCAGCATTTATTCCTTGCAACACTTTTAAATGTCAGTTGTACAAATTCGTAGGCTGTAATAATGTGATTTTCTCCAATTTAGTTTGTATAATTCTAAGATTTATTATAATGTAAGTTTATCGTGAAAAATATATGTTTAGTGCATATGTTTGTTTTTCAGTTATTTTCAAATAAAAATTATTCATTAACCATCAAATTGTTGTTTTATTTGAGTTTTGTACTTTGAATAGCTTTTGGCCGCGATGTTCGCGCGGAATTAAAAACAAATTTAGTAAGTAGTCTACGTATTAATCTAGACTGTGTTCCGTTTCGCCGACATATGTTTCCGTTTAGCCTGTTTGGAAATAAGGATACGTGATAACAAACATCTATCCATCCATTTCAACTTTTTCATTTATAATATTAGTAAGTTTATGAAATAGCCAATCAGAAAGAACACGCGAATAACTCCTAATAAAAGGTGAGTTATAAAAATTAAATAGTTAGGAAGAAACTGATTTTATAGACATTTTAGAGGCCTTTATGTGGTAACAGAAACTAACCAATGGCATTTATTTATCCAGGCTGGGTCAATGTGCAGGTGTTGGCAGAAAGGCTAGCTAACTTTCCGGAAAACATTACCAAAGATATTTTATACACTTTAATTTAGTAAAAACACTATAAAAACAATAAATTATTTTTCCATTGTTATTTTTATCCATAAATTAAACGTCATATTATTACGTACGTAAATTCTAGAACAATAAGTAATATTAAAAAATATACGACATTGTATTGACTTCGCTGAAAAGACATTTAGTTGACTTCACTGTCAATTTAATGTTCTTACGTAATATTTTACCCAATAATTAATAAATAACTTTGTCGATGTTAATAAAAACCAACGTATTATTAGCTTTAAAACAATAGATAGTATTTTAAAGATATTTATTTGGTGTGCTGTTGCTACGAAGTTGTTAATTTATTTCGATTTTATAAAACTATTTTAAAGGTAACTATTTAATGATTTTTGTAATTAAACTTTATACGAATTGATAAAAATGTAGATTAATCTTCTTTTATATTTACATGATACGTAATAATTTCTTAGTTGTTGATTTTGATGAATCGACGACGGAATACGCGAGCTATTTTTAAATTTACATTTTACTTTTTTTTAGGGTACTATAAATACGGCATCTTTTTTTAGTGCACCGTTTTTTGTTTTTCTTAATTTTGTGTTGTGTTAAAGCGTAATGTCTTGTAAATTTTTAATTTGTTTGTTATTTATTTGTTATATTGAACGTATTAAGGCGCAATTTTCTGAAGGTGAGTTTTATTAGTGAATGATTGCTGTTAAATTATTTGTCGACTTTCAAAATAATTAGGTTACTCGTTGACAAATACTATTGAGAAAGTATTTTTTGGGTATATTAAAATTAGATTGTTTATCTACGTTTTGGATTAATCTATTTTTATCTTGTTGTACGTGGTACTGTAGATGTTTGATTGCCTTCTTGTTTAATTTTCAGGTACTCAATGTTACTACAATGAGTACAGAGGCATTTGTACGAGACCAAGAAAATGTCAATCGTCTGTAAATTTACCGGTAAATCTATAGCATCTTGTATTTTTTCTTTAATTTGAATATTTAAAAATAGTTAATTAAATTAAACCGAATACTATTGCCGTAATACTTGCGTTAAAAGATATTCTTGTCTTTGGTTTTGTAAATACAATCTATGCATGTCGACAATTGACATTCTGAGTGTAATCGTTTTTAGAATCTTATTTGTTGTATATATTATTTATATTATCGAGTACTTAATGTTTACATTTTTGTCGCCAGGATTGTCCGAACGGACGTAGAAACAGATTGGTTTGCTGCGCCATCTCTCCATATCAACCGATAACTCCAATCCGACCAATAACAACACAACGGTATGTTATAAAATATATTTTTTTTTCTGCGCAAATTTCTGCGTTTTTACTGCGCAAATGTACAGTCAGGGACTTTCACGGTGTTCCACTAATCTTATATTGCAGGATAACTACTCAAGGAAATCAAAATGGATGTCCCCCTGTGTCACAAGAGTTGACATCGCCCAAAACTGGCCGAAAAGCTTGGGATAGTATGTAACATTTCTAACGTATAAAAAATAAAACAATATTCCATTTTCGAATCAACCTATATTTAAAAATACAGAATCTATTTCACTTAATTATTTTATCAAATTGTTAAACATTTTTAACCTAGTTCAAATGCTGAAAATAACTGCTAATTTCACACTAAGAAAGTTTACACGTGGGTTTCTGTAACAAAAATCCCCTTTTAAAACAGATTTTTCTCTGTGTTTTGTGAAACATAATGACAGGGATATGTTTACAGAGATGTTGGCCTTAGAAACCAACAGTTAATCAAAGTAAATGTTCTGTGAAATCCTCTTTCAGAATGCATAGACTACCAAGACCAGTTGGTATACCCTTGTATTAGGTCATCAGATTACTCCGGTGGCATGACGCGTGCGCGTCGCTGTCACCACAGCACCGACGCTCTCATTGTTGGTGGATCAGTTGCTGCCAAGAGAGAGTTTCCACATATGGTAAGATATTTGGTGTTGTGAGCGACGGCACATGAACGCGAATATTATGTCGAATTAAAACTGCTAATCTAACTTACATCTTACTAATATTATCAACGCGAATGTTTAGATGTATGTTTGTTTGAAGGTATCTCCAGAACGGTTGATCGGATCGCGATGAAATATGGCATACATATAGAACATAATCTTTAAAAATACAAAGGCTACTTATTATGTTTTTATTTAATTCCGCGTTAAAAATAAATAGACATCAATCTGTAAACTCTGATCATAAATAAATGATACGAAAACGTGTATTGAATTCTAAGTCGATATAATATATAAGGATATATATAATAATATATAGGATGTAAGTGCCTAAAGTTTTGCAAATGTATGCAGCTGAATGCACAACTTTGAGTCGCCATGCCAATGACTCCATATTGTTCATACATACAGTCTTTGATATATTCTTAATGTTAGGAAGAAAATCAGACACAGTGTCGATGTGTCGTAACACTAGCCTTACTAAAATGTCAACGTTTATGTCCCCTCACTAATTCTGACACTTGACTTTGTAACGAAAGCTCGTCATTCGCGCCAAAGGATTCTAACTAATAAAGTCTTAAATTAATAACTTATAACCGACTCTATGTCGGTGTGTCAGTAAGACTAGGTTCCAAAGGTGTATACAATGCAGGTTCTCCTCGGCTTTGGTAGCAGTCCAGCAGAGGCAAAGTGGGCTTGCGGCGGCACTCTCATCAGTGAATGGTACATTCTCACAGCTGGACATTGTACTTCCTCAAATGGCACGTACGTATCTTACTAATATTATAAATGCGAATGGATAGATGGATGGATGTTTGAAGGTATTTTCAGAAAGCCTGAACGGATCTCGATGAAATTTGGCATACATGTAAAACATAGCCTGGCAGAACACTAGGCTACTAATTAGTTTTTTTTTTGTTTCGCTCGGACGTAGTGACGGATGACAGCTTGTAATATAAAGGAAAGGACTCGATTTGACTGAATATATGTCGCTAAAGGTTAAGCGCCAATAGCCTAATGGTTAGGGTTACGGATTTCCGATGCCATTGTCGAGTGCGAATCCCGGCATTCGACTATTGTAAACTATATACAATCACAAGTCTAGTTTTTAGTTGAAAATGTTACAAGAATTATAATAGTATATTAACAAAAATCTGCTATTATTTTAGTGAAATAAAACAAACAAGGTACGTCCACATGGAGACAAGATGTGGATGATCTGAAATTCGAAATTAAACGAATTTTTAAGTTAAGGTCTAACAGTGTTGCCTCTACGTTGTCTTCGTTTAGAACAACCTTATTCATCAGTTGATAGATTGAGTAATATTATTTAACACTCTTGCTTTAGAGAGGTGAGCTATGCACGTTTAGGTGTTCAAGACAAGAGAAAACTTGAAAACAGCCAGCTCTACAAAATACAGAACATAATCAAACATCCTGAATACAATTCACCATCTAAATATAATGACATCGCGCTACTAAAGACTGCAACAGAGTAAGTATAGTGGGACATAATCTGGACCATGAAGACTTCCCCTCAACATTTACCACTCATCTGTAGTAAATTACTTAATTTTAACACCCCATCTTTTAGTCCTTTTGACTCTTTAAATATCCATAATTTAGAGCGTTTGTGGCTCAGGAATCAAGCAATTGACTTGCAATCTGCAGGTCCTGGGTTCTAATCCCGCCATGTACCAATGTGTTTTTCCATTTCCGATTTACATATGCACAGTCAGCGTCATATAGATCGTAACAGACAAGATATGAAAATATATAGGTACACCAAAAGTAATCAATTATATCGGTACAACAAAAGTCCTAATTAATAGATACATTCACCCTGCTCAAATACATCGGTACATACACAGCGTCAAATATATGAGTACATGCATTCTTTCTTCTTCTTCTTCTTCTTCTTCTTCTTCTTCTTCTTCTTCTTCTTCTTCTTCTTCTTCTTCTTCTTCTTCTTCTTCTTCTTCTTCTTCTTCTTCTTCTTCTTCTTCTTCTTCTTCTTCTTCTTAGCATATCATTCGCTGGGTTATATGTGGCTCGTTCACGTTCCGACACGACTTGCCACCTCAAAGGTCTCATATCGACTGACCTAGTCATTGCCATTCCTCGCTTTATATACAGGTGACTGTACCTATGTTATGTATACACATAAGGTTGACCGAGGTTAACATCGCCGAATGCTATTATCGATCTACATACTATTTGTCAACCATAGGTCGAAGACAGTCTTAAAAATGCATTTTATTATTGTTTTTGGTCGAAATCATGACAATATTTGTATATGTCGATGATGAATATACTACCCTCGTAGTAACGTAATGTTTATTTTATCATTGTAATACGTCGATATTGCTTCTTCAATAGACCCGAATTAATTTGTCGCTTGCACATGTATTTCGATGTGTCATCGTAGCGCACTTTGTAGTGAACAACTTAGACGGACTTGTATCACAAGTATATAGAGATAGGGTTCAATTTTGTCAAATGTTACGATATTTTTGCACACCTTGACTGCTTCTTTACTTATGACGCTGTGGCTGCTACGATATTTATGGGCACCTTGCATGTACTCATATATTTGACGCTGTGTATGTACCGATCTATTTGAGCAGGGTGAATGTATCTATTAATTTGAGGACTTTTGTTGTACCGATATAATTGATTACTTTTGGTGTACCTATATATTTGCATATCTTGTCTGTGACGATCTATATGACGTTGACTGTACGATTTACGTGTGTTCTTACGATGAAGGAAAACATCGTGATGCTGCACATATCTGAGAAGAAATGTCAAAGTTATGTGTGAAGTGACGCACTGGACTAGCATTGATTATGGCCTAGTCACCCCTAACTTGCAGGCTCCGAGCCCCTCAGTGGGGACGTATAGTTAGCTGATAAATAAATTCTATTGCAACATCACGCCTTTTACTACCCCTTAATTTCCACATTCCATTTCTTATTTAATCATTGTATTTTACACTCACACTTAAAACCTTTAACCACGCCTTGCCTTGACTGTACCTGGAACCATATATATATCACCATGTCTATACCCTTCCTTTCATTATCTTTCATCTTTCACTACCTCACATCTTACAACTACTTGTCACCACTCTTTCAACTTTAATTATCCCTCAATAGGCCTCGCTCATCATCATCAGGTCTCTATACGTTCCAACTGAGGGTCTCGGAGCCTTTTTTTTTTTTTTAACGAGGGGAAATGCACTTCCGCACCCCTGCGCCGGGCCAGTGTGCAATGGCGCAGGGAGTGTGGGACTCGCCTACAGTCGTTCGGCCATACCCACTAAAACCCCTCTAGCCCTCCTCATCGCCATATGGCCGGGTTACGGGTACGCGTGAGCACTCCTCCGCGACCCAGCCGGCGACCGTCCGCTACGTCGGACCCTCACGTCAGACCACGAGAGCTGCGGGTGGGCAGGATAAACCAGTACCCTCCCACAGCCCTCGCGGCCTCCACACGTCTCCGGCCACGAGGGATGCAGGAGGGCAGGATAAACCAGTACCCTTCCCACATCCCTCGCGGCCCCACACCTCAACTCCAACTACGAGGGATGCAAGGAGGGCAGGATAAACCAGTACCCTTCCCACATCCCTCGCGGCCCCTCCATCCCTCCGGCCACGAGGGATGCAAGTAGGGCAGGATAAACCAGTACCCTTCCCGCATCCCCCACGGCCCCACCACCATAGGCAGCACGGAGGCAGACAATCGTCTACCTCCGGCGCCTCCACCGGTTGGGGCCCGGCTAGCGCGCTAGACCTGTCAGAACACCATCGACTAGTCCTGCGCGCACCGCCAGTCCCGGGTCCGGCTAACGCGCTAGACCTATCGACACCTCGTCGACTAGTCCTGCGCGCACCGCCAGACCCTAGTGTTTGGTTCGCGGGGCTTGCGCCCTACCCCGACACGAATGCCGGGGCGTTCCCCTATCCACCACCCGGGGACGCGCCACGTCGGAGTTCACCTCTCCGCCCACCCGGACAACCGAGCAGGTCCGTGGAGGGTCTCGGAGCCTACCCTAAGTGACGTGACTAGGTGATAGTGAATGCTGGTTCAGTGCGTCACTTCACACATATCTTTGATATTCACAGATATGTGCAGCATCAACATGTTTTCCTTCACATTAAGAAGGCCTAGCTATTTTACCAATATTATAAATGCGAATGTTTAGGTGGATGGCTGTTTGTTTGAAGGTATCTCCGGAACGGTGGAATGGATCGCGGTGTAATTTGTCATACATATAGAATATAGTGTTGAAGAACACATAGGCAGTTTTTTTTTTAATCACGCACGAACGGAGTCGCGGGCGACAGTTAAGCGTAATATTAAATTCAGAATGAAGTTAAGTCACGAGGCAGTTCCGGCATGTCTGCCTGTGGAGAATGTGTCTCACGAGAAAGCAGTCGCCACGGGATTTGGCGCCACACGCAGCAAGGGGGACGGTTCTGATCTACTCGAGAAGGTATTTGTATATCTGTTTGTCTGTAAGTTTATGTACTTTAACGACTTAATCGATTTAAAACGTGGTTCTCGATAATGCATTGTGATAAATTTTATTTTTATTATCTATCTTAATTATATAAATGCGAATGTTTGGATGTATGTTTGTTACGAAGTATCTTTAGAAAGGCTGCATGGATCTTGATGAAATTTGGCATAAATGTAGGACATAGCCTGGAAAAACATACTTCATGGCTACTAATCTTACTGTAATCTATCTTCTATAAAAGAAAGTGATGTTAGTTACACTATTTATAACTCAAGAAGGGCTTTACCGATATGCCTGAAAATTGTTGAGGAGGTAGCTTAGAGCCAGGAGACGGACATAGGATACTATTTATTCATTTTTTTTTTAGAATTTATGCCTTGAAGAGCTGATATTTATTTAGTTTTTTTATATATCCACGCGGACGGAGTCGCGGGCAACAGCTAGTAATAATATAAATACGAATGTTTAGATGAATGGATGAATGTTTGAAGGTATCTCCAGAAGAGCTGAACGGATTTCTATGAAATTTGTCATACATATAGAACATAGTCTGGAAGAACACATAGGCAACTAATTGTGTTTTTTTTTTAATCCGTACAGACGCAATCGCGGGTGACAGCTAGTAAATAATACGTTTAATATTTAAAGGTAACGTTGAACAAATTCTCGGATCAGAAATGTATATCATCACATCGTCCTCAGAGGAATCTGAACCGAGGCTTTGACGTGAACACGCAGATCTGCTACGGGGACAAGAATCAGTCTAAAGACACGTGTCAGGTGAGTTTCACACGTTGATATGCAAACAGGCTATTTATACACAACTTTTTTTTATTAAAATTATAAGTTTGCCACAAACGAGCGAGCGGTCACCTGAAATCGCTGAAATCGCGAAGTGACCGTTGCCCATAGACATACGCAATTACATATGCGTTGCCTACCTTTAATCCACGGAGGAGGGGATGCACATAAAGAAAATATTTCCCCATCCCATGTATCCTCTCATCCGGAAAGTCCACTTCCACTTCCCATCCTTTACTTATAAGAAAAAGTGTGGGAAGGGAAAGAGGAGTAAATTATTCCTCCGGGATGCACACTCATCAGACTGCACGTCTTCTGTATGCTCGTGGTATATCACTGGACGAGTCGGGACTATTCCTGCGAACATGTTAAAGCTCGCTCTACCACAACTAGATTTCGTCCGCAACTCTATCTGCTCAGTATTAAAAAAAATAGTAACCTATGTGTTCTTCCAGACTATGTTCTATATGTGTGTCAAATTTCATCAAGATCTGTTAAGCCGTTGTGGAGATACCTTCAAACAAACATCCATCCATCCAAGAAGTAAGATAAACTTGATGTAGAAATCCAATCATCTATTAGAGAACTGACATCCACGATTTCCAAATCGATCTAATCTTACTAATATTATAAATGCGAATGTTTAGATGTATGTTTGTTAGAAGATATCAACAGAACGGCTGCATAGATCTTGTTGTAGAACACATTGGTACATGGCGGGATTAGAACCCAGGACCTACTGACAAGTCAAATGCTTGATCCCCGAGCCACCACGCTCTTTAAGATGCCAGAACTTTACTCCATTTGTCTGGATCGCGTATATGTCCGGTCCATCTCCATTTAAATCATCTTATAATCGTAGCAATATTTCTTAATCCTGTTGTTTTTTTAAATATAAGCTTTAAAAGTTATAATATGTCTGTACCTATAGTATTTCTGATACAGGGCGACAGCGGTGGACCTTTACAAGTGAAGAACCCTCACATAAATTGCATGTATACAGTAATCGGTGTTACGTCATTTGGCAACGGATGTGGTACTGTCGGTCTGCCAGGAGTTTACACCAACGTGATAGTATATGTACCGTGGATAGAAAACATCGTCTGGCCTTAAAATACAAATCTCCAACATACCATCTAACGAAGGTTTAGATCGGTGGTTCCAAAACTTGTTTTGTCTACTGCCCACTTTGAGAATAAATATTTTTTTAGCGCCTCCATATTTTCACATATTTAAAAACCACTATAACTTCAAATTAATCAATTATTATGACCTATATATGTATATTAACGGAGAATTCTAAACGCAACTTTTACTATAACCCGCAACTTGAGACCTGCAGCACACACAAGGGGACGTTATCGCACATTTTGGGAAAGACTAGTTTAGATGGATGTTTGTTTGAAGGTATCTCCAAAACGTCTGAATGGTTCTCGATGAAATTTGTCATAGATGTATAACATATGTTCCATATTGGCAACTTATTAAGTTTGTTTTTTTAACGCGGAAATGGAGTCGCCGTCGACAGCTAGTTTCAAATAACTGTTTTTAAAAAGTTTATTTTTATAGTCTTTGTGTCAAAAATGACAGAATATTTTACATAACTTTATTATAAACACAATGTTTGAGATGAAATTTACGTTAAATATTAAGTGCTACATACTGCAATACTTTAGTGACAACTTCATCGGAATTGGCTAAGCTGTATCTAAGATTAGCGTGCACAAACCCACAGACAAACAGACGAAAATTCTATTATAACAATCATTGCTTTGAGCTTAACGTTGATTAAGGTCCGTTTTAAGTATTTTTCATATTATTCTTAGGAGAAATTTTACAATAACAAATATTTCAGGTCATACGAGGTCAAATAGTTTGGAATATCTATTTTTTTATCAGTCACGTATTTTATCCGATAATAAGATGTCAATCTTCTATATCTGATAATAGCTTCTCGTAGTTTCTTTTTATCGTCAAAGCTTAGCAATAGAAACTCACAATGAGACGTAGTCAGATGTCAAATAAATTGCGCGCCAAAACACAGACAAAAAATATTCATCTTTAGTCCTACGAAAAAAATAACAAAATAAAATTTATGGTCACCCTACTTTTATAAACTTTTTAAAATTATGCGTAATTTTTGTTAATATTACAAATCAATTTTTTAAACTTTTAAATTATACGTTTAACATTCAATAGAGCCCTAAAACAATAAAAAAATGTAAAAACCACAAATATTGTATCTTTTAGGTTAGAATATGTCATGTAAGAAGGCGGCAAATCATAACGTAGTTATGATTCAATTAATCTAGACCTTATCTGAGTTCAATGTTCTATTTGTTGTTCTATTTTTGTTGTATAAGTTATTAACAATATTATTTCCTAAACAAAGGATGGCACAATTTTGTAACCTACTTTTATCACTAATGAGTCTTGTTGAAAATGCGTAATGCGTTGTTTTAAAACTGATTTAAGTTTTATTTGACACTAAAACTCAGAGTTGTCACTAAGTGAGTGCATAGTGCAGATTAACTCCTAAATTCGGTACCGTATTCTTACTAATATGCGAATGTTTTGATGTATGTTTGAAGTTATCTCCAGAACGGCTGCTTGGTGTCGCTGAAATTTGGCATAGATGTGAAAAACATTCTAGAAGAACACGTAGGCTACTAATAAAGTTTTTTTTTCCATTCCGTGCCGATGAAGTCGCATCGGTAGTCATAACTGAATTATGATAGCTCACTAGCGCCCTCCTGTCAATGTCAAAATATTGTCACAAGACCCTTCTTGTACTGTACTTGTCATGTTATGTTTTTTATGTCATTATTATGACTATGTAGGTTTCGAATCTCACCGGCGAGGTTAGAAAAAGTGCATTCGCTTCGAAGCGATTCCATGACGAACTTCAAAATTATATAGAACTGACGCGGGACAATCTCGTGACTTAGTGAAAGTTATGGTCAGTTCTATACAGTTTTGAAATTCGTTATAGTATAGCTTCGTCTTCTTCTTTGTCGTTGCAGTCTTGTCAGACTGGTCGTGGTCATCACGTATCAGTGACCCGCTTTACCAGGCGCCGCCACTTCTCCCTAGTCGCTGCCTTTTTTGTACATTGGTGCAGGGGGACATCCACAGCCGCTCTGATTTGGTCGGTCCACCTCATAGGCGATCTTCCTCGTGGTCTATTGCCCTCAACTTTCCCCTGCACCATAGCTTCGTAGTGAATGCATTCTGTCTAGCATCGCAGATATCCTTGTTGGACTCAAGACTCTTCATAGTTTATCATTTGCAATATGGATATTTTAAACAAAAACCAACAAAATAAATTAGAAGCTTTATTGTTCAAACATTTCACTATATTATTAGTTTTTCAACAATTCATTTCATTTTCTATTTGTAGTATTATTAGGAACATTTCGCAGATAATAAAAGAAAAAAAAAGGAAAAATGATCTCATGATTTTAATACTCATCAACAAAATAAAGCACAGGAAATAAACCAACAATATTTACAAGAATATGATAAATACTATTGATTACAAAGTTCATTTTTTTTACTTATTCTAATAAAAATCTTGCAACAAAAGTTTTTTATTTTGTAACTGTTTAAATTTCAAAAATCTCACAAAGTTTGTTAATCTATGTTCCAATAAAGTGTCATTCTGAATTACATAATCTATGATTGAAACAAAATGGCGGGTTACACAAACACTTATTAATACGTGTAATCACTTAAATCTATCTGAACAGTTTCGTAATTGGAATGAATTTTGTCGTTGGCACTAAAATGGAGGGCTTTCGGTTTTTCGTATAAACATTTTTTTTTCTCTCAATATAATTAACAACTAGTTTTAAACGCTTTATAAATTTAATCGAAGCTCGGAATTATTGAAATCGTCTCGTAGTCAGACTTGTGTGAAATAGTGATTTTTTTTTTAATATATCTTCATTTCTTTTAAGGCATTATTTTACTTATAAAAGCGTACTAATTGGTCTGTAATTAATGGTACAATTTGAAATCCGCACACTTAAAATACACCATTATTATTTTAATGTTGGTAGCAATTGCTTGTCATTTTTGCTTCATGTTGGTAAATACATTTTCACTTAAAATAATTCACAATAAAGAATAATATATAATTATTAAAACCATTAGTATGAAAAAGCAAAAAAAATTATAAATTAATTCTAAAAAAATATGTAAAGATATATTAAAGTAAAATTAACATTTCAAAGATCTTTAAATATTATATGTTTTTAAATTTTTATAATTTACAGATATTTTTAATACTATAATAATGGTGTAAAATTGTAAATATTTAAAAGTAATTTAGGATTTCAAAATGTAACCAATATTCATATAGATTCAAAACTAATATTATTATCTATAAACAAAGATTATATACACAAATATTGTCTGTAATGTAACCAGAGTTACATGATCCGGAGTGATGTGAAAAAGGCTTAGGAATTTGTTGCGGTAAGTTCCTTCAGTGTTGCCATAAATAAAGTGACATTTGAAAACTCGATTATACATCAAATTTAAATCCATCATCAATTTAAAACTTAATTTAAAGAATTAATGATTTCTTTAAGTATAATTTGTGTATACAACTCTGTCTACATGTATGACAAATAGGCACTTTGTCGGTTTTCTCTATATTATTTTATAAGTTGTAAGCTTTCTATACATTAGGCAATAAATACGTGTTTTACGTCCACTAGTAAAATAGCACGAAATGTAAAAGAAAAAAAAACATAGCAAATATAATGTTACTCTTACAATTAATATTGGTGTATTTCATTTTTTTTTATATATATATAGAAATAATTTACAATTCATTTAATTATTCGTATTCTACAAACTACCATCGCAAATCTACATTTTATCGTATAAACTATAGATTTTTGAGCTCTATGGTTGTCACTGTCAAGTGACAGCAGTTAGTGTGACCATTAAAAAAATTATTTAAAAGTTGGTAGTTTTTTTTTCAATGTTGGTAGTTTAGGTCACACTGGCTGGTTAATTTACTCAGCTGCATTTATAGTGATAGTCTTTCCTTTAGGATCGTCAAAGCGATCCATAGTACGGATATCCATCATCATCATAATACCATAGAATGTGATAGCCAGGAATATGAAGACAACGAACAGACCTGACCAGATAGGTACCGAGAAGAAACCGATGCAGTTGAATGAATCACCGAAGACCAGATCCGATGCGTTCATCGTCTTGAAGAATGGTTGAACCTGGAATTTTAAAATGTTTATGACATGATATTCCTTATGAATCTCCCTCGTCTTTGTCTGTCTCTTTGTAAATAAAAGAGATAAAATATTTGGGTATTTGATTTGTGATTTTACAGCGCCATTTCTATAAATGAATTCATAAAACCTATAATTAATATAATAATTTACGAGAATAATGCAAAATTAAAGAAATTCCCTAATGATTAATGACATAAAGAAAAATAAACTGTAATAAAATTATTTCGTGATTAACTAAAAACACAAAAGCCTCTAAAAATAAAAATAAAGTGTCTTAATATTTGAATCTTACTTCTTATTCATGTTATAAACGCAAATGTTTAGATGGATGTTTGTTTGAAGATATCTCCAGAACGGTTGAACGAATCTCGATGAAAATTGGCATACATATAGAAAATAGGACTGGAAGAACACATAGACTACTAATTATGTTTGTATGTAATTTCTCGCGGACGGAGTCGCGGGCAAAAGCTAGTTAAATATAAAAGTGATAAGATATTTTTGTACGTGACTAGAAATAAATATACGGAGGCAAATTAAAAGAAAACATTGGCATTTCCGAATCTGTGAAAAATTATTAGAATTCTGTTATACGTAACATTATATCAAACCAAAAACTCTAGAATATAACAAACTTCTAACGCTGTATTAATCTAAATAGGTTAATTCTCTTTCAAAGCGTAATCAAAATAATTATCGTGTTAGAAAATTATTAATAACTGAGTTAACTCACGCCAACTAAATCTCCATTTGAGAAATACAAGAAAAATAGAATTGTAGATTATCCATATTTTTTCAGGACAGTCCTAATAATTTTCTAAACAACAAAGAACTCCGTATTTTTATGATTTATAAATAAATAAATTGAATCGCTTATTAAACAAGAAAAAAGTAATTTTGAGTACATTCATATCCAAACTATAGTTGCTATAACAATGAAATTTAATTTAACATATTGTCGTTATATCTAGAACTTGTTATAGCAACACTAGATGTCGCCCGCGACTTCGTCTGCGCGGTATTAAAAAATAGATGTTGGCCGATTCTCAGACCTACTCAATATGCTCACAAAATTTCATGAGAATCAGTCAAGCCGTTTCGGAGGAGTATGGGAACGACAAATGACACGAGAATTTTATATAATATATAAGATAAATATATAAACGAAAGAAAGAAAGGAACAAAAGAAAATATATAACTGTACAAATTCCATAATAAATTAAAATATACGTAATAAAGAAATTAGAAAGTATACGAGATAAAATTTTGTTAACTCTCTATGATCCCAAGTGAGAAGCGAATGTAAAACAATGAATAAATCATTGTTTTACATTCCTGTGAACTATAGCTTAATCTATTTTACTTTAAAATAAACGGACTAATCGACATGCTCCTTTTTGAAGTCGGCTAAAATGTCTCATTCAATTTGAATTTTGTACACCCAGTATAGCATGGTTCACCCTACATTTGGACGTTGAACGCTAGGATCGATCGCGTTACCCGCCGCGGCGCCAGACTGACTGTCGCCGCACAGCCGCCGTTCCCAATACATACTTGTTAATCATTATACTAATAACGAATACTGTGTACCCCCTTTTTAAGAAAATTTAGCGAATGAACATGAAAGAACATAAAAGTTAATATGTAGTATTTTCAATCTTACTAATATTATAAATGCGAATGTTTGGATGTATGTTTGTTAGAAATTATCTCCAGCTACATGGATGTCCAGCTACAGATTATAAACTGAAAGAACATGTAATCTAAAAATAATGTTTTCTTTTCGCAATTATCCGCTGACGGAGTTGCGGTCGACAGCTAATAATTTTACTAACATTATAAATGCGAATGTTTTTTGCTTGAAGATATCTCCAGAACGAATGCATGGATCTGGCTGAAATTTGGTATAAAACATAGTCTAGAACACATAGACTACTAAATTAATTAATTTTTATTTCCTCGCAGACGGAGACGCAGCAGCTAGTTATATTACGACAGTGTCTATCGACACAGTGATCAGATCAAATGCTCTTGATAGCTACATATATACATACATTTTATTTTAACAGTGGTAGAGCCCGCTTTAACATGTTTTCAGGAATTAACCCGGCTCGTCCAGTGAAATACCACGACCACACAGAAGACACGCGTCAAGTGGAAGCAATTCCGCGTTTCGTCTGATGAGTGTGCGTCCCGGAGGCCTTATTTAGTCCTCCTTCTCTTCCCATCCTTTTTCTTATAAGGAAAAGATGGCAAGTGGAAGAAGACTTTACGGATGAGAGGATGCACTGAGAGAAAATATTTTCTCTCAGTGCATCCTCTTCTCCGTCGATTAAAGGTAGGCAACGCATATGCAATTGCGTATGTATATGGGCAACGGTCACTTTGCTATTTCAGTGATTTCAGGTGGCCGCTCGCTCGTTTGCCACCTTATGGAATAAAAAAACATACAACCAACAATACAAATTATCTTATGGTATCGCATGTAATATTTAAACCTAGATGGGATAACTTATTATAAAATAACATACCTCCATATCTCTAAAGGTGAGTGAATAGCTGATTGTCCCATTGATGCTGTTAAATGTTACCCTTTCACCGCATCTGTACGA